CGAGCCCTGCTGTTAGGTCTATATCGGATGCGCTTCAAATACGAAAACTCAGATTTTTTAAGTGCTCACTTCGCTTAGCATCTATATGATAGACGGAACACTATCGCTTCCAAACCAGTTGAAAAATCTGCGGAATCACATATAAAAATACGTCCTCGAGAATAAAATACGCGTGAATGTACTTTTGAGTCAAAAAAAGCAGATAAGCGTTTCGTATAAGGGTATCACACTACTGGACTAAAGCGACTGTTTTGACTCTTGACTATGTATATGCACAAAAGACTTTGGGAGCCTAGAATTACTTTAGTGGACAGAATCTCTAGGATCTATAGTTTTGGACAGCCTTTAAGCCTGCTTTTTTTAAAATTTTTGATTTTTTCCTGAATAATTGGACGAAAGCGGGATCCGTTCTGTTTACTGATGGGTAGCCTGTTAAAAACACTGCTGTACCAGATTTCAGATCAATTCGTTGAGAAGCAGATGAGTTACGGCAGTTGTAAAAGTGGATTTATAGTTTTGGCCAGCACTGTATGACAGTACGTGAAACCATTATGCTTAGGCTCCCGCCAGAGTGCCAAAGTTATGCCAGCGCTACGCCAGCATTTCGATCGATACACGTGTATTTCTTTGGGGCGGGGCTAGCTCAGCAGGTAGATGTCCCCACGAAATACACGTGTATCGATCGAAATGCTGGCGTAGCGCTGGCATAACTTCGGCACTCTGGCGGGAGCCTCAGGTATCAGGGTATGAGAAGCTTCATAACCCAGATAGAGTGAGATACTAAGCGTCCCCTCTTAGATCCCCTCCCCTCCCCGCGGGCATGTACGTGCATACGGGCCTAAGATTACATTTTTATTGCGAAGTGCTAAAAGCCTAGAGAATTGCCGTAAACTTTGCTATAATTTGCGTAGGGGTCGAAAACGATGTGTGCAAGAGCTCAACGGTCAAGCCGCAAGTTTCTATAACGCATATACTCCCAAGCGGACAATTTTGAGTTTGATATATATACAGATTGTAAAAACAGACACTTTCCCGTTATCCGGACCCATTTTTTCAAAGAAAGATACCTCTTCTGACCATGTACCATATTTGGTCCCAAATTCATAGGAAAGAGTGTCAACCTTCTGCCATGTGCCAAAAAAATTTGACATGTCATCTACTTGTTTAACAGGTTTTACCAAGATTCGGTGTTGCACTACCTTGCTAGGGAAGTTCAATCTGTATTTTAGTCAATAATGACCCCATTTTCAACTAAACAATTCCAGAAAGAGCACTGTCTTAATAATAAAGTCATTCCGTTATTGTCAGATTAGATCTACCATGGAGAAGTGCGTCAGAATTTCATTTATTCAAACGGCGAAACAAGCAGCAGCGAGATACTGCAAGCCATCATTTATAGTCTCTTCTGGCTAAATTCGCATGGCGGAAAATTTGAAGAGGAAGACAATTTTGAATCATTGCTGAAACCAATCAAGATGTTTAGCGATAAGTTTTAGACGGTTTCGCTCTTATAGAAAACCGTTGAAAGGCTTCTAGTTGGTCACAAAAGCTTTCTCATCTCACCGGAATGATTTCAACGAAAAAAACATAGAGTGGACCAAAACGTGTCGATTTTTTCCTGAGACGTGTCGGGGAGACAGTCTTCTCAGAATTTATGACAAATTGCTCTTAGACTAAAATAAGTATTTCACCAGAGCTTTGAAGCAAAAATGGGTCCGGATAACGGAAAAGTACCCAAAAACACTTTGCGGCTTAAATGGCATAATTTATGAACGAAGCATTGCGGTAAAGTGCAAGATTCATACTTGGAGTCAGCAGCTCTGGTTAGCTTAGTGCAAAAGTTTTCAGAGTTTGCTGAGGCCGAATAGGGCTGATGGCTTACTCTCTTCATAACTCCTACTGTAATTTTACAATAATGAGGAGCGAACAGACACTCTGCAGTAAAGGTCTAAGTCGAAGCCACTGCAATATGGTGCTCAAGTAAAAGCAAAAGCACTTCTTCTAAGGAATTATCTTACAAGGGAAGTCTCTTAACCCTTTCGGACCTGGTGGTGGCAATTGCCACCATCAATTCAGAGATCTACTATACTGGCGCAAGAACATCATTTCACTACTCATTGCTCTCAAAAGCTTCATATAGCCTTTGCCTTCCAAATGTAGCTTCGAGACCGGGTGTTCATTTGCTTCTCTGTGAATAGCATGTACATTTCTGTAAACAAGTGGATTTCAACCAATCAATAATTTGCGCCGGCTTGAGCACCGTTTCAGTATCTCGTTTATTAGCCAAAAAATATTCATAATATTATCATAATGTTTTAGTGCGATGCTGAGCAAATGTAATTGTTAACTGTTTGCGGGTCCACATGTTTCGCGGGAGTTTTGAAAGTCCAAAATAAACGCAAAACCAAAAAATTGAAAAATCAAAAAGAAATAGTTCATAAGGTTAAGCAGACTCCAAATTCCGCTATAATGTTAATCATATGGTAGTAAGTAAAAAACACTAGGAGAGAGGCTTCTCGGCTCACTCGCAAAAACTCAGGTCCGAAAGGGTTAACTTAGGTCGGGCTTTTGAAATGAGACACATATGGTTGGAACCAGCCTGAAACGCTGATTTCAAATCTGCTTTTTTTAGCTGCGAAGCGTTTCTCGAAGCGAGTTATGATTTTTAGTATGTGTCATTGACAAAAAAGTGGTGGAAAATCACAATAACATCAAATTGAGTCATTTGGCTTTGGGATATAATATGCATTTGAACCACTACCCTAGATGATGATACCGTAGCATGCTTAAGTCGGTCAACACGCAAAATTTGCTCAGGAAAAAGCTCATAACTCGCTCCAGAGGAACGCTTCGCAGCTAAGGAAAGCAGATTTGAAATCAGTGTTCTAAGCTAATTCCAACTTTATGTGTCTTATTTCAAAAGCCCAACCTAAGTTGAGTGACTTCCCTTGTTAGATCGCACATTCTATGCATTATTTTGGTGCACCCTACTATGCATTATTTTGGTGCACCCTACCCACTGGTGAAAATGACCGGCCCTTGAGCTTGCTCTCAACGAACATCTGGCATGTTCGTTATAGCATTTCGTTATTTCGTTTGTTTTGTTAGATGATTTAGCGAAAGGAGGCAAGGCAAATTAATCAGCGAATACATAGCGCCCCCCCCCCGTCCCTCGAGAATGGGTCGCGAAATCTTTGAAAGTTGCTCATAAGGGTTATAAAATTGTGCAAATGACTTGTTTATACTTGTAGATAATTAGAATAATTTTGAACATTTTGTAAAAATTCAATTTAGCCTTATAAAAAATTTCGGGGGCGTGGCGTCAGCCACGCCCCTTTTTTGAAATTTTGGGGTTATCGGCCCACGAACATTTTGAGAAGCATACCAAAAAATTCTTCTCGGTGCGTGGCTAACGCCACAACTGGGTACGCCACTGCAGGGTCCGTATTAATCTGCCCTACCTAGTGGCAACATGCCGGCAAGGTGGCACACATTGCGGGAAGTTGCCAGCTCCGTCTCATCTCAAGGACTGGACATAGGTTTTGATAGCTTCATGTTATCCTAGTCCGCAATCTTATGTCCACTAGAATTTTTACTACGCAGCCCGCCGCAAAACATTGATATCACGCGTTCTTGAACCTGCATGCCTCGAACTCGAGCGCGCTACCCAATAGACCACTCGAGCACAGTACACTCCTTGAAGAATATGGATAGGAAGACACAGGCAAGCGGCGCTTGTAAGAGGGTGTGATCAATACCGTGTGTGGTAGACTTTGACCCTAAAGACAGCTGATCGGCACGGACATATAACACGCTGAATTGCTACAAATGAGATAATGTAGGAAAAAGAGACGATGCTTAGTAGTGTTTAGCGACGAAATAAATTTCTCTTTCATGCACATTATGGAATTTCACAAGGGCAACCCTAGAAATGATAAAAATTACCATTTTTGGAAGAAATTAGAAATTTTGGTGTCTTTGCCTAAGACGTAGTTTATGTGATATGCCGTAATTCCCGAATTCACAGACGCCGGCGGCAAAGGTGCCAGAACCTCGCCATGGTAGGGGCACGTCGAGATGTCGGCAGCTTTCTCTCTCAAAAGAGCGCGCTATTTCTCGTGTTCTCTGACCTGCCGGCAACTACCACCTCGCGGATTTCGACGGCCGACATGTTGCGCAACTGACCTCGCGAAGTTGCCGGCAGCTCCTCGTGTACTTCCCAATGTTTTTCCACAGGGAGATGCCGGCAGTTTCAAATTTCAATTTCAATTGTGGTTTCTATATAGTCGCGGTGGCACCTTCTCCAGGAATTTTCTTGAAAAAAGCTTGAGACGGCCTAGATTTGGGATCATAGTTTTTGGCGACTTCCACGGCAAGGTGCCGACGACCTGCCGACGAGACCTGCCGCCAGGTCGGGTGGATTCACTACCGGCCCAGGTGCAAAATCTTGGTACAAACACCAAATGCTCGCTCGAAAGGCTTCTACATTTTTGCCTGCATTTAAATCTAACACCAGTAGGAATTTACTTATGAGTAATATGATGCCATTTGCCGTATTGCAAGCTATAAGTTGTGCGCATACTTAAGCAGTCCCATAGTAGCTTGATTGCTCATTTGACACCGAACTCAACCGAGCGCATCTAGACCACAACAACGTTGGAGTTGATGTATAAACCTTTGCTCCTAAATACCCTGTTTCCTAACTGAATCTTTTTCAGCCTCTGAAGACGCCGTCTTGCCGAAACTTCTGCCAATCTAGTATATCATAACAACGGTACGGCACTATATAATAATTTGCACAGACCGTAATTCGAAGGAAACGTCCTCTTTGAATTGTTGAGTGCCACTTTATGGCGAGCTTTGATTAAAGTCTTTTTAAAATACCTTGAGCAAGTGAACTTTCCAAATGGTTGTCTGAATCATTTTGCAATCTCACTTGCTATGATCTGACACTCAAATTTATCATCATTTATATTCATTTTCAATCAAACATGATTTACAAGATATGTACTAGTCAAAACATGAATATGTGTTTTTCCGAACATGTTGAACATCTTTTTGTTTTCCTATTTCATTTCATTTGCTCTTTACTTCTTAGAAGGGGGGTGTCGGCGTCCTTCTCATCCTTTTTCTCTTTCGACTCTTTCTCTTTATCTTCTTTTTTTTCAGGTTTCGACTCCCCCTCTTCCACATCTAACAGCGGCTTCTCAAAATCATCATCTTCTTTCATCAGTTTATTCCATGTTTTGTAATCTCCAGCATTACCAGCTTTTGCATTCTTGATCTAAAGCATATATTTGATGGGACAGAAATTTTTACGTGGCATCCACCAACATCTTTTGCCCTTTTAGCTTCTTCAACTTTGGGCTTATGATCCAGAAATGTGTCTTCCTGCTTTTCTTTCGCTTCTGTATTCTTCACTACAGGCTTGGTTCCTTGACTTTTCGCGTTCACGTCAACTTAAAAGATGACTTTAGGCTTACCGTTCACTTCTTTATTTGGTGGGACTTGAAGTTTCGCGCTTCCTCCGCCTTCCTGAAAGCAAGCTTGATAGTTTTACAATATGAGCACATTTGGCGTTATTTACCTTTCTCCTATCTTTAGGGTCACTACTCTTTTTACATTCGACCAGAGGCACTATTGCGATGAGAGCACTGAAGGTGAGCACCATCAAAGCCTTAGCATACCGAAAACTTACCTGAGCAAGAAGATTAGCATCGTCTCAATGGTGCTTGATAACAGTTCGCTTCTGTAATCCATTTTCTTGAAGACCGTCTTTGGCTGGTGTAGACTACAAACTAGACCATCAGTAAATGCATTCTTATTTTGGACGTAAATGTTTTCTTGATCATCCAGTTCGTTATCAGCTCATCTAAGGCGGTATACAGGGTGTCCCAAAAAAATGTGCCTACTGTTTGAATATAAATAACTTTCTTGTAATGAAGTGTTTCGAGAAGCTTTAGGAACCGTTCTGTAGAGCGAGGTTGAACTTAGATTTACAGTATGAAGCGAATCATCTATCGCTCTTCATTACTGTAGAATTACGGTAGGAACTTCGACAAAGAGTTTAGGTTTTTGGAGGCTACACTCTGCCTCGGAACGAAACCAAACAAGCCAGAAACTCTTACACTACGGTAATGGGAGCCGCTGATTTCGAATTTGAAATTACCATTTTGCTGTGATGCTTCTTTCCTAAGTTAACCCCGGTAAATCGTGATAACTCAGTTCCCAGCATTTGCCAGAAATGTAATTACACCGTCAAAAAAGCTGAAAACACTCTTAAAAGTTGTTAGATGGAATCAGCATGCGCGAAAACCCTAGTACACGATTTCTCAGATTTTTTGAAAAAAATTTTGTTAGGTGGTATATTTTACAATGGTTCCATATGCTGGAAGTTCTTACCGTAATCCTACAGTAATGAAGAGCGATAAATGATCCGCTTCATACTGTAAATCTAAGTTCAACCTTCGCTCTACAAAATGGTGCCTAAAGCATCTCGAAACACTTCGTTACAAGAGAGTTATTTACAACCTAACAGTAGGCACATTTTTTTGGGACACCCTGTATATCAATCGCCCGTTAGGGTAAGGGTTTCCATTCAGATGGCATCCGCTTCACAGCTTGGTGTCTGGGGATCTGTGTTCTTGTTTGTTCATTTTTGGAGGCTTTACTACCCTACTACTTATCGCCCTGGTGATTTGTCTTATAGAATGGGGTTGGAGTTAGTATTGATGCCTGATCTTCACATTACTACTACAATGCATATCTACCGTTTTAAATCCATTTTGCCTATAATAGAAGCTTAGCACTTGGCCCAGCCAGTCCAAACGAGCTGTATTTCATCGAACTCAATTTGAAACGCTGATTTTAAATGCACATATCCCCAAGGAAGTATTTTGAAGGAGTTATGAGCGTTTGAATGTGCGGATTTGTCAACTATTGTAGAGCACGTTCCTCAAAAACGGTTTGCAAGCACTATTTCAAGTTTTACGAATGCTTCTTTCCCATTATTAGAATTATCTACACATATACAGTTGTGAAAGTGGAATGTGAAAATTCTCGGCGAATTCGCCAAAGTCGGCGAAAAACGCAGAATCGCCGACATTGCCGAGAAATTTCACATTCCGTCATAACTGTTTGACTGCATGCATGATGTAAATCTTCAAATTTCCGCTCAAATGGATCACTCAGTGTGCTGACAACAATTTTTACATTGTTTTGCTGCTGGTGACACATTTTAGGGATGAGAATCCGCCAAAATACAAGATTCTCAAACTTGGGAAAAAATTCACGAGAACGTGAGTTTGTATTTTCATAATCTGACGAAAAGTGCAGATAGGGGCCTATGCTAATCACAACCTGATAGCGTTCTTTACAAAGTTTCTAATTCACAAAAACACGCAGGCAAGTTTTTTGATAGACGGGCGAGAAGTGCCAACGAATGTTCAACCTTGTGCGTGGTTTAACTGAACTTTTCCGTTTGAAACTTCACTGTAGAACTCTTTAGCGCGAAATAACTAGGATTTTCGTGAACAGTGGGTTTAAAAACTACTGTGAGTGAAGTTTCGGGTAAATTCAAGGTTTTCAATATTTCAGCCAAAACCGGTGGCGATTTCAAGAGCGAAAATCGAGAAAAATCAAATGGCGCCATTTTCTTAAAAAAATTGAGCATAGAGGTAATCCGATCTGCTGATTACAAAAAACACGTCTGCTCCCCGTGATAACTTCATTCCGTAGAGTTAACGTTGGCTAAATTTCAGGTAAATTTCGATTCTAACAAAGTTTGCTAGCCATTCTCGCCTTCAATTCAAAAGATACTTTGCACCATGTTTAGCTGCTATGAAACTCACGAACCTTTAACGAATAATGTTTATATTAGCTCTCTATCTACATTGAGTATTGGATTGCGCCCTAACAAAATCCCTTTCGCAGAACATAATTGAAGCCTCAGATTAAAACTAAATGACTTTCTACCCCTATAATGGGTATTTACAATACCGCTCACAGAGTGTGCAAAATTTCCGCGAATGTCGCGAAATTCCGAAAAATCCGCGAAATTCCGGGAATTCTGCGAAATTCCCGGAATTTGGCGAAACTTCGCGACATTCTCGGAATTTCGCGGAATTTTCGGAATTTCGCGACATTCACGGAAATTTTGCACATTCTGTGAGCGGTATTGTATAATAACATCATAAGTGGGCGGGGCTTACAGTTCACAGCTAAAGGTGAAAAATCGATATTTTGGAGGTTAGTGAACCACCAAATCCTCAAAAATTGATAGAATCGGTATTATGAGGCTGTGAAATCCCGAAAATCGACAAATATCGATAAAATCGATATCCTGGAGGTTTCGAAAACCCGAAAATTGACAGAAATCGATATCCCAAAAATTGACAAAATTGATATCTTGAAGGTTGCGAAACCCCGAAAATCGGTAAGATGAGCGAAAAACTAAGCGAAAAATTCTAAAGACTCTATAATAAGCTCATTTCCAGTGCTTTTATACAGCTGGAACTCCTCCAAACAAGCTCCGCCCACTTTCCACTTCGCATCACGACCAAAATCAAAGAAAATAAGAGAAAATAAGGGGAAAATAAGCGAAAATCACGTTTTTTTTTTCACCCTATTTACCCCCTTTCTAGCCGTTTTCAGCTCCTAACCAGGTCCATATAGGCCGTCGGGTAACTATCGCACGCGCTGCGGTAATAAAGAGAAGGGGAAAATGAGGGGGAGAAAGAGGAGAATTTGCGAGAGCCTGAACTAAAAAAAAAGAAAAAACAAGTCCGGAAAGTTTCATAGATGGGCTCCCACAGACGGAGCCCTTGGATTTTCTCCGAATTATATATGGTGTCCCTCTCGAATACAAACTGAAATATGGCCATCCCAGCCTGTCATGCCTACTCTCCACGAAGATAAAATCCAAAATATGCTTCATCGCCTGTATAGCGCCTCCTACGCTGAAGCTATGGAGCACGAGCTACCCCTAGAAAATTAGAGCTACCAAAAGTACATATCAATGACCACATGAGATTACCCCAACCCTACAACTTGCAGAGATACAAGGACGCAAACTCGCCCTTATTGACAGATTTCCCAAGTTCTGTTAATGCTGTGCTGTGCTTAGTGCTGTTAATTAGGCGCTTTTATTGGAAACTTGTCATTCTACGACCTTTCTCTAAAAATCATATTTTTAGAGATCTGTCCAATAAAACAAACTCCAACCTCATATCTATAATATTCGCAAAGTTATTAGCCCCCCAACATGCATGCTCAGGCCATAAAATCGGCTTCTTCAAAATTGCCCCGTAATTCCTTCAAAAATCATGTTAGACACCTCTTTCGCATCTGAATACGCCATATTTTTTGTAGCCTGCCATATGCAGTTTGAAGTAAGCATCGCTCGCACAGGAGAGACTAATAAATTGGTAAAACAATAATTTTCTCTCTGCTGCTAGCAGATGACCACTATAAACCCTGTATAAATTTTTTCATCGAAGTTTTTATGCTGAAGTAATCTGTAAGCTTTTCTACGCTTTTCTACAATTATGACAGTGCCAAACAGTTGTGACAGTGGAATGTGAAAATTTTCGGCGAATTCGGCGATGTCGGCGAATTCGCCAAAATCGGCGAAAAACGCAAAATCGCCGACATTGCCGACATCGCCGAGACTCACATTCCAAAGTCATAACTGTATATATAAAACTCAAAATTTGTAAGCGTGTTCGTTTACTTGTTCGTTCGTTATACAAACGCCCGCCAATGAACCGATTCAGCTGGAACTTTGCACACATATTTACTCGGCCCCGGAGGTGGTATAGCGCCAATTTTTGCGGCGATTCGCTGAACCATTCCATTGATTTATTGATTTTTGGCATAAGAATGAGTTCTCGACATCGGCTAACAAGTCATTTCCATGATTTCGTGTAAACAATAGCAGTGGAGTTCATTCGATTTTCGCGGTAGGAATGATGCGGCGATTCAAGGCGAGCCTAGAGCGGGTGAGTTACTTTGATACAGAAGACCCTTGCAGCGCAGCCTAATGGCTAGCTGGGAAGGGGAGGCGCGGTGGTTGGGGGGGGGGGGGGGGGCTGGAGCAAGCATCAGCTGAAATACCCAGGCTAGACCGGGAAAATCAGCTAGTAACATTATAATCAAGCTTTCTTAGAGTGCCTTTCTAGCAAACTCTGTTTAGTGGAAGTTAAACAAGCTCATACTCAATCGCTCATAACTCCTTCCAAATAGTCGTTTGGCAGACAATAAACATATGTGATATCACCGTTTGAAGGCGAGTCCGATGATAGACAGCTTGTTTGGATTGGCTGGATTAGGCTTTTGCCATTACCTGTTTAGTGGACAGCTATGGTAGGGTCCAATCTACAACATACATACTGGACAATACTTGTGCTTTAGAAATTCTAAGAACAGATGAAATAACGCCATAAAAATCCATTTTAGTAGGAGGTCTGACTATTAAATCTATTTGAAAACTAGTGCCTCACCTCCGCTTCGCACAAGTTCGCACTGGCCATCATGGGAAGTATTGCGTAAACTCCTGTAACAATATTGGCCTTCCAATCGAGAGACAGCCATGTAACCACAGAAAATAAACCTTACTTGTTATGCAGCTCTTACCTGCATTGAAGCAACATAAATTTTATCTTACTGTAATTTCGTAACAGGCCAACTTACAGACCGACAGATTGGAGGCTTACTATAATTCATGACATGCCATTTTATTAGTAGACTTGATCTTATATCGTAGGATAGACCACACATAATGCACAACGTTATGATTGATAATGTGGTACATTTATCTCATATGCACAATGACTAACCGATACACAGGCTGACACACCCTGAGAACGCTTGGGAATTTTGGGACCAAATCCTTCAAGATTTTTCTTCTTTTACTGCAACTAGCTGACGTCTCGATCCGACCGTTCGGAACGGGGTTTGGACTGGCTCGGTGGAGGGTACGTAGCGTTTGATCCAAAGCGTCCAATAACTTATCCTTCCTCTGTTTCCTTCCTTGTGCAATGTCATCTGGTTGATGCTCTAGCGGAGACCAAGATTAATGCAGATCTTCATTGTGCAGACATTACTAAGCCATTACTAACGAGCTGTGACCAAATCAGAGCCTCTGTGGCTTTGAATAATGGGGAAGTCAGAACAGGGTCCGGCATAAATCGGTTTCTAGGCTTCTTGAAAACTAAGTCCCTCTTGACTTTCGCGAAATTTTACGAAGCCCCCTTTGAGCGTTTTGGTTGATCTGTTGTTTGTTCTAAAGGGTTGGGTTTTTTTTCTGTAGTCGACAAAGTGTTTTTTCGAATAGTTTACTTGAGTGTTTTCGAATTTTCAGACTCTGAAGAAGGCGAGTTTGCCGATCTATGTAATAAAAATCTGTATCAATCTTGGTCTCGGCTAAAGCAATCAACTAAAAAATTTCAACTATGCCAAGATTCATGTATAGTCGAAGAATTTTTTCTGCGATAGAAACGCTGATTTTAAAACTATAGCGCATTCCTTCTCAGTTTGATCTCCAATCCTCCCTTCTACAAACCCTGTCCACTTCAATCGCAGTCTTGCTCTTTTCTCGCTCTTCTCTTTTTTTTGTTGATGTTTTTCACTACAATAACACTTGCAAGAAATTTGCAAAATTGTTCACTCCAAAAACAAGGTAACAACATTTTATCTTGGATCAACACAAATTTACACAATCAAGTACAAACTACAAATAGCTACTGGTCATTGAGGTGCCAAGGAACGATTGCGATACGCTATGTCCAGGTGAAGTGACTCTTGGAATTCTGCGTGGAGCAGGTGCTGCCATCGGTGCTGGTTCTTCGTCAAGTTCAGCACCTAAGGAATTTTTTCAGTAGTTATGCGCTCCTATGTATGCTATCTCACCCATCATTTGTCGTTGTACAAGCATTTTGTACATGCCTTCCTGATTAATAAGTTCTCTGTGAGTACCCATTTGCTCAACGCGGCCCTAAATGTCATTTACTATCCGTGAGAATGCTTCGGCTATGAAACCCACATGGTTGATAACAACGATCTTGTCGGCATTTTCTACGGTACTGAGACGGTGAGCAATCAACACTACAGTCCGTCCTTTGAGATTCTTTGAAATTGCTTCTTGTACCTGAAAGCACTAAATAATGAGGCGGGAGGCGTACGCATCTTGTTTAAGCTTTCGTTATGTTAAGTTTACAACTTTTCAATCAATAGATTTTTGTGTTTTTTTGCTTTCGGTAAATCTTTAACAGATCTCAGCTTAGTAGATTTCTCAACTCTCCCATTCAATTTTTTTTCGAACAAAAGTATAGGAAAAGCGCGAAAATCTGCACGATTGGTCCGTCTTCCCTAGGCAATATATAAAGTAATAAGCCCTGCCCACATGAGATTCGGCTTGATGCAGCCTCCCAGCTGCCTCTTCCATATCATCGTTTCCGTATCTCTCTCTCTCCCCCCCCCCCTTATCTCAATGACTTCATCCTTTTATTCAAACTATTCTATTTATCCTTGATTTAATCTTTGTTATGATTAATGTGAGTTCCATGTCCCATGTTCGACTCTCGATAAATTTCGGCATATCTTTATGAATGCTGTAGTTACTGTAGCCGGCAATAAGATGGTTAAACCGTTTATTCGGCTAACGTTTCGGCCTAGTAGGCTCTGTCAGAGCCTATAAAGCATAGAACATTTGGATTTACCCCATCGAATATCTCATCATTTGCGGGAAAAATCTGAGAAGTGGACAAGATTCCTAACCAAATCTAGAATATAACTGACCTTAGCCGATAAAAGTCGTTAAGGACCACCGCTGGCTGGTATGCGCTGTGCGATAAATGAGAATCTCATTTTCCGATCGTATTTACACTTATGTAAGGGCAAACTGGAGCCTTTGCTTCTGCTTGACCATTTCTCTCTTAAACCTACTTATCCTCTACCTCATCCATTACATAATCAATGATGTATTCAATCCGCCCGGAGGACGCGCAGGAGATAATTAGAGGCGCGAGCACTGCGCCGGAGATTTGGCCAGGATCTAAGAAAACTTGGCAGGAATCCATAAATTACTAGTTCGTAAGAAAACCTACCTCGTAACTTAGCTGGGGAAAACGCTAGAGAAATAGGTGGGGCAGTTTTGTAATCTGCGTTTTCAGCCGCATTTTTAGGAGAAATGAAAGCGGAATTCACATTTACTTTAATCTTTGAATATGAATATCCCCAGAAAAACAATAGCTACGTCGAAGTACTTACACTCAAGTTTCAAGATTTTTAAGAATTATTGAATGTCAAGAAACCGAAGTAGTCAAATCGTTACGCTGAAAATCGGTAGTAGAAAATTGAAGATTAATAAATTGTTCACGAAATCTTGCTCGAATTCGAATGGTGAACCATCTGAGAACCATAATGGTAAATCTACACCTTACAGAAAATTTAACGTCAATGTGATGCAAATTCTCAATTTCTGAAAAATTTTCAATTTGGTTCGAACACAATTTTGCAATCATTTAATTTATCAATTCAAGGTTTCATCTTGGACTGCTGACTTTGAGTTTACCTTCCCCTCCATTTTCCAACTTGAATCGTGAAAAATCTTTATGGCGAGTTTTTCGAATGCCAGTTATTTCATTATGAGAAGCCATGAAAAGTGGTTTTCAAAATTTACTCGTATTTCTCGTGCTTTTCCCAAGCAGAGTTATGAAATACGTTTTCATATGGTCTCCTTCAAGTTTCTTTGCTAAGTTTTTTGGATCTTTGCCAGATTCTCCCAACAGTGCTTGCGCTCTTAATTGCCTCCTGCGGATATGACGGCAGGGCCCTTGGTTCCTCCTGCTACGCCGCCATTCCGCCCCTGTCTGCTACCATACTTTTGTATTTGTTTCGTTTATACTGCTTGATAAATGCTTAGTAAGAAATCTTAGTTGACCAACATACAGTCGAATCGTTTCGTATGATCATGTGTGTCATTGCACACACTGTCCAGCTTTGGCGTCCTCATCCTGGATTCTAGGAACAAGCAGCCCTTCCGCCAAGTGTTTTCGAGGTTTTCTTCAGAGTTTTTCTCCTTTTTAGGTACCAATCTTCACAAAGTGATGTAAGCGATAACAATGAGCGGTTGGTCTTTTGCGTTTCTACAATTGCAATTCCACGATGGGGACGCCAAAGGTGGACAGTGTGTGCAGTGACACACATGAGCATATGAAATGATTCGACTGTACATGCCGGTTAAGAGAGTTGGAAGTAAGCGCAAAAGTCCAGCTTTGGAACCACTCAAAGCTTGACGACAGTCTAATAACATAAAATATTACAAAATGAATAAGAATCGCCAAATTTCCTTTCCAAAAATTTTGAACCAAAAGCATATGGACAGCAGATAGTCTAATTTTTTCATTGTTTTTGAGAAGAAAGGAGTCTTCATTGAAAAGGATGTACTTTTCTATATTTTTGTTCGCCACAATTCAGAGATTAATAGAAGAATCTACTGCATGCTTCAACTGTTCACCCACTTAAAGGACAAAGTGACTAGAAGACTCCCCCCTCGAATTACTCGACTCAGTGTGCTGATAAGGAAAGGGACATAACTCACGCAATTTCAGTCGCCACGCGATTTGGCAATTTGCCATATGTCTTCAATTTCAATACTGGAAGACCTCAAATGCACAGCATGTATAACCTTCGTAGGTTGATAAAATGCCCCCTCTTCCGTACATTCAGAAACGTAGGATAAGTTACGAACATTTGGAGTATTGCCAAATCACGTGGCGACTGAAATCGCGTGAGGTATGCCCGAGGCCTAAGAGTTCATCGCCACTGATTGTCAAGGGCAGTACAAGTCAAAAATTGATTTCGCTATGCATTTAGTTGCTTTTATGGAAATAGATCGCTTTGTATATCATACTGTAGGTCCTCTTTTCTCTGAACCTGGTTGCCTTCTTGTATATTGACTAACCAGGTGTTCACTTTCAGAATCCAGAGCTGATGTAGCCTCATCCAGCAGCAACACGACCGGATCTCTTACCAATGCACGGGCAATGGCAATACGCTGCTTCTGACCACCTTTTGAACAGTGATGGGTAGATTGTGGAGAAACCTATACGACTCCAACCCTTACCTGACATCTGACTACCTTTCTCTCCCACATCCGTGTTATATCCATCGGTAGTGTCCATGATGAATCCATGAGCATTTGCTAGCTTTGCGGACTGGAAGGGGTCATCAAAAAGTTCATGAAAACCCTGGTACCAGTGGCGGTCCTAGGATCCGTTCTTGGGGAGTGGGGGGGGGGGGGGGGTGTGGAACAAATTTTCTCCAAATGAAGGTGCGTGGTATTAGCCACGTCCCCGAAAAAGTTTTTACAAATCTAATCTGATCTTCAAAAATTTTTAAAAATTATGTTGATTATTTACAATTGTATACAAATCCCCTACACATTTCTACCTCATGTAGTGATTTTCAAAAATTGGAGACCCATTTTGGGGGGGGGGGGGAGGGGAGGGGGATAGAGCGCGAGCCTGCGCCACCTCCTTCGGTCCGCTACTGGTACTGGTAACTTACTGTTTGGACTTGCTCATTCGTATAGGTATCCAGACCATAGCCGACGTTCTCTGTCACCGACCTGGCGTACAAAACCGGCTCTTGTCCCACCAACGCGACCTGAAGGTAGGATGTAGGTACATATGGTTTTTGTTTGAATTACCTTGGTATGCAAGTACTTGTGGTCATATTCTCTGATTGGTACGCCATCTAGCAGAACCTGGAAAACAGCAACATTAACCCTTTGATTCAACTGGCTTGGTGGCTGGAAGGCGGGGCTTCTTGACCTAATCAAGGCTAGATAATGATCAGAGAGCACGCGCGCGAGAGAGACGCAGACTGCGTAGAGGACGCGAGCTTGATTAGGTCAGCCCTCTAGCCGCCAAACCAGTTGAATCGAAGGTTAAGGGATATGGTGCTAGATGATAAATTGCGTTAAAAAACTGCTGATTATTGATTTTTATCGACAAAATTCTTGTGAAAAGGCGTTTGTTGCCTTAAAAAATTACATTTTTGGCGGGTAAATAACCAAATCAAAAGTGCTTGATTTTCGCACTTTGATTCATTCATCAGAAGTAATCATTTTATTGAGTTTACCGAAGTTGAATCCCCACCTCTCCACCATTTGGCTCATAGAAATGCTCTAACATAGCTATACAGCTTGATTTTCCACCTCCAGATGGCCCGACAAGCGCTACAACCTCTCCAGGCTCTACGGTAAATGTGAGATCCTAAAAAAGAAGAATAAATTCATCACAAAACATTTGGTTGAGCCAAACCGTCATAATTGGTAGGTCTGGTCTGATGGGGTAACTGAATTGCACGTTCTTGAACTCGATACGACCAACAAGCTTGTCCGGCGCGTATGTTCCGTCGTTCTAAGTTGGCCATACAATAGAATGGTAGAAGATGGAACCCGGGCAATCGTAGGTATCCGGGCTCCCATGTGGAAATTGATGGGGCAGTTTTTACCAAGCCATCGCCCAACCATCAAATCATATGATTCATTTACAGGCGGAAAAATCAATTTTGAGCTCTCGTCGGTACCGTATTCCTTACGTGCGGGACCTACCAGCATCTTCGAGTACGGTACTGGGCAAAAGCTTAGTCTTGAAATTTGTGTCCATAAATGATTAGTATGAGCTCTGGTTTAGGTGATGGTTTTCAAAGCTCCCATTCAATTTTCACACAAGGGGCCAGATTGCCTGGACATTGGTTTCAAATAATTAGCACTTACCCTGACTTTTGGCTCACGATCAATAAACTCAAAGACTTTTCTAGAAGCTCCTACGGCTTGCATGAGACCATTCCAGACTTCACCAAGTTCCTAAATTGATTTTGAATGGGATTTTATATTCCTTAGGGGAAGAGATAAGAAAGAAGCACTCACTCTCAAATTCTCTCCCAGCTGGAACTGATAGAGCAAAAATGAAACGAGCAAGCCGGATTCGATCTAAAACATTGAAAATGTGATTTCCAAAGAGCTCAAGCTTAGAGCCGATAAGCTTCGAGAAAATGAACTTTGTTTCTGTGTAACGGCCGAGCTTATATAGAGGATGCATTGTCGCCATTAGGCTCCGCCCACGCGGACAGCTAATACAAGTGGTGATGGAAAGAAGTGCGCATTTGTTGCATTGGGTCGCCATTAGGCTCCGCCCACGCGGACAGCTAACACAAGTGGTGATGGAAAGAAGTGCGCTGGGTCGCCATTAGGCTCCGCCCGCGCGGACATCTAACACAAGTTGTGATGGAAAGAAGTGCGCGTTTGTTGCAGATTCCCGCGCGGAACATTCCTGTTCGGCGACCTAATGTCCTCTATCCTCCGAGCTTGGCATCCATAAATAGCTGCAAAAAGCAGAGGCAGAGGTTATCTTGTTTTATTTCGTTCCATTCATTCCATTGCCTTCGCATTGCCTTATCAAAGCTTTCATTCATTAGGACTTCAATTTTTTCTGAATGACTAGTAAAAAGAACCTACAACAGCAGTTTTTGCGCCTAATATTGTATCCTCAAAGATCCCTTACTCCGAAAAGCGCAAGCCATCTTTTTACCACTTTTTGTGTCCATTATCACTTCCATGCAGTTGTTGGCATTGGAGCGTATAAAACTACCATATGCCACCTCTTTTGATCCTATTCCTAGCGTTCGATTCATTTATTCTTGTAAGTCGCTTTGATTTTTATTGTATCCGGTTTGATTACCCAAGTTTGAAGTAAACTCTTGTGCAAGTTCCAGGTAGTTGCTATTTTTGGTTGCCAGTTAGACAATACCTCATGGCTTACGAGCATATGGTCCATCTAAACAGTTTCGGGCTGATTTAATTAAAAGAATACCTTTGCTTGGATGACTAGGTGACCTCCATACCATAGTACTATGGTAAGAATTGCCATTTGTAGGAGCTAAAGAAGTTGCATTACTGTAAAAGTAGAATAATAGAAGGTAGATTGTTAAGAATTCGCCTCATTTGTCCAGATCAGTCCAATCACACAAGCTACTTTACGAGTAGCAATGGCCAAAGTCTCGTTCAGATAGCCTAGGAACCTAAAAAAATGTAAATAGTAAGAAGCTTTTCTTTATTTTGAGTAAGGCTTCGTTTTACATTTTCCTGGCAGGAATTTTTGTAAGTCGAGAAAATAAGGAATACTAGGAAATTTGAGCTAACCTTGTTTACCCTCTACTGGGGTAAACAAGGTTAGCTCTCTTTTTTTGCAAGTTGTAAATAAAAAGCATACTTACCTGTAGCTCTCGAAACGTTCGCAAGCAAAACTTTTTACAGTACGAATAGCTGAGAGGACTTCTTCAGCTACATCATTAGCATGAGCAACAGAGTTTTGGGTTTCTTCGGACAATTTCTGAATTTTTACTGGTCATCCAATTTCATATGAACTAAGGCAATAAATCATGAACACACATACATCGTACCATACACCAAATACTTTGTTAACCAGGAAAATCAAAGGTACAGTAATCAGGGTAATCATGGATAAACGCCAGGACAAAGTGGTCATGAAGATTAGAGATCCGAACAACATAGTGACGTTCCTGAAACGATAAGCTGTGTACACGACTCATTACGCAACCATTCAGAAAGTGACAATCTTACGCGAAAACTGGTCCCCGATTGTTTCCAAATTCACTATTGTGAAGAGATGAACAATTTTTATTTTTACAAGTATGTCTGCTTTCTCTGTGTAGGTAACAAGTGTTAGATGTGAAAAACGCAAGCATTCTCCGAAGAGGACCAGTTCTCGCACAAAAATCAATAACCATTGATTCGTACCGTGTCAAAACATTCATGTAGAGGGATAAAGTGTTGGACATCGTTTGGCAATCAGATGTTAGACGGGAACAGATCTCCCCTAAAAAAAGTCAAAAAAGTGAAAAATTTGTGGGAATGCTGTACGTTTTAAACCATCTGGAGATTTGCTATTGGAATATTCGTAAGAAATTTTGCATCACTATATCGAGAGGGCTACTTTACCGATAGTTTCCCGCGCTGACAAATGTTACGGGCAGTAACATGTTCTGATGCATGACTTGTGGCAGATGTCCGCCGGGACAGTCTTTTCGGTATAACATCTTCTTACCCTATTATTTGTTTTCGAGCATGTCTTAACCACTCACCAGTCTTATTTGCATCGAAAAATCCAATTTCTTGCTTGATTACAGCTCTGAATAGATCGTTACGGATTTGCCGATCGATGGTCGCATGAGCATAGGTGAAGGAACCGCCTCGTAATCCACCAAATACAGCGCTGAAAAATTTTTAAAGGATTTTTGTGGTTATAATATGGATTTTTACCAGCTCAATGACAAAATTGCCATGATGCCAACTGTACGATGAAGTCGTTCATATGATGCTTGTTCTCCAAAAACAGCTGATACTACCTCACCAGTATAGTAAGGTATGAATACTCGACCTATAACGAAACTAGGGTAGAGCACATTTTTCCTCAAATTCTGAAAATCTTACTGATTGAGTAGCAGAAAAGAAAGAAAAACGCCATTCCATAATATTTCCATTCTCTAGCCATGTAACCAAGCAGACGGAATAATAGCACGAAAGTTTCGCGTTGTTTTGCAGCTTTTTCAGCCTCTTCCTACAAAATGCTCAAAAAATTGCTTTTTTGTAAAAGTTTAGCTTTACCTCCAAAAGTCTCTCCTCATAGCCATCATCACCAAAATGCAGAGTGGACGAGTATCCTCCTTTCTCGCTTACACGGGTGAAAACATTCGTCCAAATAGTCTGAAATGAGCAGCTATCAAGCGACTCACAGGCATCACGCCGCGACGCAATGGTCTGCATCGCGGCTCTGATGCCGATGAGTTGCTGCGCATTAGCACAAGGCTCGCTGTATGCTAGTATTGATTGATCTTGTGGGCGCCTATGACCGCTTGCAGCATGCACGCGCTTGGTAAAGCTATAACTACACTTGCGTAAACTCACTTGAACAGCCAATGATGCAAATATGCACCATATCATCAGAATCCAGTCTCCAACAGCTAACTTTACTGTTTCGACTTCATAAAAAGCCAAGAGTTTTGCAGGAGCAAATGCAAGTATAACCAACATGACAGCGAAGACGACATTGCTGGATTACTGTACAATTAATTCCATATTCGAAAAAATTGGAATTTTGTTACCTGGCTTTTGATGCCACATCACTGAAACCACTAGGTGATGTCCATGCTGCAACGGCTCCACCAAGTAGCACACAATCTCGCAAAAGAGCCACTCCCTAAAAGTCTGGCTTTATTGCTATTATTCAGTAAAACAAAGCATGACATCGAAAGAAGAAAAAATGTGTATAACCTCTCATGCAACTTGCTTGGCGGCTGGAAGGCGGGGCTTTGTGACCCAAATGAGGCGCTCGCTCCCGCTACGCAGTCTGCGTATCTCCCGCGCGCGTGCTCTTTGACCATTACCTAGCCCTAAATAGGTCACGAAGCCCCGCCTTCCAGCCGCCTAGCAGTTGAATCAAAGGGTAGTCAGCAAATTTAAAGTACTCGGTTTCAATGCAATTTATATTCTGCTTGTAAAGGTAATGTTCACCAAATTTTGACTACTACATTTCTATATCCCGCTCGTAATTTTTCTCTTTTGGATGTTTTGTACACAAATTTGTGCTTCAGAACTAATAAAAGTGCCCGAACTGATTTTGAACATGATTGGGCGTTACGCGGGCAGACATTCGAGCAGCTGTCAGTCACATGGGCGGAGACAATCCATTCAACCGAGCAGCGATTGGCTGAATGACCGCCCGCGCCGCACCTCTTCCGCACACCAAAAATGAGGATTTCAAACCGTAAATTCTAATGACACAAGGTTAGTGGACTATATGCAATATACGAAAAACGAAAATTCATATGACAAAGAAAGACAATAATTTTCTATTTTATCAGTGCCACCATTCACAAAAGCTTTTTGTCTGTCTTTAGGCATTGATCACAATTTTTATAAAAAGTAGCAAATATGAACTGGATGTGTAGAAAGATATGCGATTTTCTAGTAAAATAAAGCCTACACTTTAAACCTTTCGTGCGTGAATAACGTGAATAACTTGTAACTTCACGCTTAGTTTATTTAGCCTTATTTTCTCATCTACTTATTGCAGTCAATTTGTACTCCTTTTGCTTTTGCGCTTTTCTAACTAGTTTGAAAAGTCCAACAGCGGAAACAAATGTGAAAATTTCATAATCACAAATTAGTGTATAATAATAGCATGTTTGCCAACATTCGAGTATCTAGACCTTAAGCAACAATGAGAGAGTGAAATGAGGCAACCGAAATTTTGAAAAATTAGACTCTGATTTTAGATCAAGTAAATCAGGGTCCAAATGGATGATAAATTGGATTTTTGTCTTTGTAACACTGAGTAATGAGAGGCAAGTCAACGGGGTTAAAAATTTTCAAAATAAGACTAAAAGTCCTACTCATGGAGATTGATATCATTCAAAAATTGATGTCAAGTGAGAGCACAAGCATCAATAAACACTGATAGAAGGATTTTGAAGGTGCAAAAATCAGATAACTCACCAAAAAGTCAATGGGATTCGTGGTAAATTTGTAGTTTGGAAGATCAAACCAGTGCTTGATATTGTCGGTAGTGAAAAACTGAAAAGAATATTTGAGCACAAACCATTCTATCACTTGTGGAAAAGATACTACAGCACAGAGATCGACATACCTGACCATTCCAAGCCAAACCAAAAATATTGACGACAATGTCGATTCCAGCAAAGAATAAGGCAATTGAAAGTGCTTGATTACCCGAGTAGAATGAGCTCATTGCTCCTGGATTAAAGCTATGCATCAATATGCTTGTTTTTGAAAAACTCGATGAAGTTTCTCACAGACAAAGTTTTTGATCGAATTTTTTATTACTGTACATATAATATTTCTTAAGATAATATGGCTCAAGAGAAATCAATCGGAAATTTGTTTATTGAGCAGTGATCAAGTAGGAGATGCTCCGACAACCATAATATCTAATCTTCGTCTGCTGATAAGAAAAGCGCAATGCTTAAGCCATAAAAGGACCAAGCACTTCGTTGCAACTGTGCACTGACTATTCTGGTCGGATTACAGAAATAAAATACATTTTTCATGAATACAGAAACGCTATAACAAAAGCCGTTCGAAACACTGAGCTACATCACGGTATACATTCGTATAAAACACTACAGTAGTCAGTTTTCCTTTACCATATTCTATTTAACGAACTTGAGAGCTTGAGATTTTTCTTTTATCTTCATGGACATAAAATGCGTAAGCATCCTATAAATGCACAGACAAGCTTCTTTTTTCCTTTTGACCCACAAAAAATCCAGATAACCCGGACAACTGACCGGAACTTCCGTAGAACGTTTGGAAGAGTTCCGCGGTCACCTGCGGAAGTTCCGTAAACGTGCTACGGAAGTCCTCAAATGAGGTGTTACGGAGTTCCGAAGAATGCTAACCTGCGGAAGTTTCCGCTTTCAACCTTCACTTTTGCAATAGTAAACAAAATCCTGCGAAACCGCTGCAAATTTTGCTTGTCCTGAGGAAGTTCCGGAGAATTGTCTGGGAATAAAGATTGAGCATTTTGCAGCAGCAGCACGAGATTTTTATACGAGTTTTTCTTTTGCCCTCTTGCGGTGTAGACTGTATTAATCTTATTTTATCCTTCAATATTATGACAATACTTGAATATTCCGAGCAAAATTCCGGCACGGCTTCAGCACGGCGCTGGCACAACGACTATGGACGCCGCTCCAGGTTCGAATGTGAGCTCGAGTGCGTTCTCGGCTGGCCAATAAATAATTATTATTCAAACAAATACAGCATTTGAACGATACAGCACACAATGTCACAAATGATATCGGAACTGGATATTTTGCAGGATATAGTATGATACGAGCTACGATAGGCACTTTGTGAGCAGTCGCAAAAATTGAAAATACGCGTGATATCAGGTGGGTCCGAAAGTTCGTTTTTTTTTAGAATTATCTTTAAATCATTCAGAATAAAGATAAACAGATACTCTGAGAACAATTCTATGCAGAATTTCTTCCGCTTTCCAGCCTAATGTTTCTGTTCGGATCCCTTCAATGTTCGCTTTATTGCTTTTACCTACCATGACTTTTGCTATTTTTTAAAATTTTTGTTCTGGACTTTTGGAAATACTTTGATAATTGTAAGCTAGAATAAACAAAATGCAATGCAGTAAAATTTTTTGACATCGACAGCTGGCTTTGCAAAACTTTTGACAATATTTTTTCGATGCTATCAATTTCCATACTATAGCACCCCAATCCTCATAGAATATTGAACGGCAAACAGCTAAGGTGTCATTTGATGCAGCTCTTTCTCCTCTCCTTGAAAGAAGTTTTTCCTTTCCGATTCGTAAAGGCCTCGAGGAAAAAATTGCCATAATTTTTGATTTGGATTCGGCACCCTGGCCTGCCTGCGAGCGGTCGATTTGTGATCCCTCTGCCGTGCCCCCATATCGGTTGACGACGCTGGCTACATTCTGCTGTTGATTTGGCTAAATTCTTCTGTGGATCCTGTATTCTACTCCTTCTACCTCCTCACGATGGCGACAGAGACCCCCATATATCCCCTCCAACCCATCGAACGACAAAAGAAGCGCAGGATACAATTCGACGCCACACCTCCTGACTTCAATCAAGCCGCGGAAGAGCTACTAAAAGACGAAAACCTCCCACCCTACGCAAGGACCATTGTGGCGTTTTTGATGGAAAACCGGAAACTCTACGAAATGGTAGCTGAACAGAATCGTGAGTTACTTGTTCAACTTAAATCAATGTCTGAGGAAATCAATACATTGCGTAAGGATAACGAGCGCCTTAGATCTTGTATTGAGCGATCACCGCCGCAACCTCTGCCCTCTACTCAATGTTCGATTTCTACATCTCATTCCAATCCAAACTCTGGTTGTACGTGTGAAGAACGTGATCGTCTACACTCTTTAGTGATAAGCGGTGTTCCAGAGAATAGATGCCCTAGTAGTTGGATGAGAGTAAACCATGATAGGGATTGTGTTAATCAAATTTTTGACTACCTCTCTATTGATTGCATACCCACTTCCGTGTATAGAATGGGAAAACCCCATCACACCTATAATAGGCTCCTAAAGATTGTCATGCCGTCTCGTTTTTTTGTGAACCTTGCGCTGAAGAGGGCACCTAAGTTGAAAGGCTTCCCATATGCACATGGGATCTACATCCGCCCCTCTCTTACAAAAGAAGAGAGGGACAGATTACGCAACGAAAGGGGCAATCGTTCCAGCGCAAGGCATTCTGATTTTCAGCAAGGACTAACACAAGGTATCGATTGTATTGAACAACATGTGTTATCTGAAAACGCGCAACCTGGTACGCCGGGGCGTGTGCCTTTAAACAGTCAATAATTCCTCGGATTGAAGGTAGCTCTTTGAAGTCTTTGCTTGCTAATGCGCGTTCTTTGTGCAAGAATATGGATCATCTCAGGTTTCTTCTTACTCAACATAAGATTTCTATAGTAGCAATAACCGAAACTTGGTTGAACGAAAATATTTCTAATAGCTCTCTGTTCGGAGGTTTGCCTTGGGATTATGATATACACAGATGCGACAGGTCGGATAAGAGGGGAGGAGGGGTATTACTGGCCATTGAGAAAAAGTTGAATTCGTTTTTAGTGTTCAAAGAGTCTGTTTTAGAGGGTTACGAAATCTTGTGTTGCGATGTTATGACATTTACCACTTTGCGACTTATTTTGGTATACCGAACCCCTTCTTGCCCCGCTTCTGGTACAGAACAATTGGTGAAAGCTCTTTCCGATCTATTAGCCTGTCAAAATCCCGCAGTCCTTATGGGGGATTTCAACTTACCAAACGTGAATTGGGAAGACCACTCCACCTCAGAACCACCGTCCATATCTGTCGGAAGCTTCATTCAAATGTGTAGGCTTTACAAATTGTCGCAGCATGTTAAATCCAATACATGCAGGGAACATTTACTTGATCTCATATTCACAAATAGGAGTAATTTGGTTAGTGAAATAAGCGTGGAGTCTCCCCTTGGTAGCAGTGATCATTCCTCGCTCAGATTTCAAATAAGCAATTATGAAAAAAGAGAGACGGAGTATGTCAGCTACAGGGATTTCAGAAATGCAGATCTAAATGGGTTGAGGCAGCACCTAGCTAATGTTGACTGGTATGGTTCCTTCATGACCGTTACCACGGTGAATGAAATGTATGAGCTGTTCCTAACAATAATTAACCATGCGATTGATCTCTACGTCCCCTGGTCCTTGCGCCCTATGGGGCAGATAAATATGCCTGATTATCTTCGTAGACTCTATCAAATGAGGGAGCGAGCTTGGTTAATTGCAGCTGATAGTGACAACGCTGAAGATAGTCTAAATTTCAAAAGATTAAATGCCAAATTTACTAGGCTGCTTCGGAAATACAACGCATCTTTTGAGAAAAAGGTAATCAACTCTGGAGATAGATCAGCGTTCTATAAAATGATGAATTCACGGCTTAGAAATAGAAGCAAGCTGGGAGTTCTACGTAAAGACAATGGTGTGGTTATAAGTGATGATAAGGAAAAAGCTGAATTTTTTGCGGATACTTTTGCAAGGACCTTTGCTGAAGAAAAAAGCTCTAATGAGCCTCAAAGGGAATTGCCTCCAATCTTCCCAACGATGAGTGACGGGGTTTGGTTTAGAAGTGAAGACATTTATCTGCTTTTGACTAGGTGGCCTAAATCAACTTCTTTTACACCTGACTTTTTGCAATTACAATTTATTAAATCAGTTGCAGACATACTTTCTGGGCCATTACAACATATTTTCAATTTGAGTATGATGCGAGCTGAAATTCCTGAGCGTTGGAGGCTCTCCTTTGTCACACCGATACCCAAGAAAAAGCCGCTGACTAGTGCAGAAAATTTTCGGCCTGTCAGCATAACATCAATATTCGCAAGGCTTTTTGAAAAAATATTAAAAAAACATATTGTTAAGCATTTAGAAGAGAACAATGTGATTTCAAATGCACAGCATGGATTTCAGCGTGGCAAATCGACGGTTACAGCAATGTTACAAGCGGTCAATGATTGGACATTGCAGTTAGATAGGGGGCAAAATATTGACGTAATCTATCTAGATTTCACTAGGGCGTTTGATAAAGTGCCACACTCCAAACTGATGATCAAGCTCAAGGCTGTAGGAGTACATCCGAGAATAATATCCTGGATTGAAGCATTTCTAAAAGAACGGACCTTCGTGGTTCATATCAATCAGGCGTTTTCATCTCCTAGGAAAATGGGATGTGGGGTCCCTCAAGGAGGCGTACTTTCGCCTATACTTTTCAACATATATACATACGAGCTCCCGCTTATACCACTGTCCAAAGATACTTATTGCTGCGCATTTGCTGATGACTTTAAATTGTATAGAACAGTCAACGATGAAGTTAGTCGTAGGCAGTTACAAGACACTTTGAATGAAGTTTTTGATTGGTCAGAGGATTGGGGTCTGCCTATTTCACGTGAAAAGACCAAAGTACTTCACATGGGCTCAAGCAACCCTGGATATAGCTACACAATGGGAGGAACAACGCTTGCAGCTGTTGATAATATAAAAGACTTGGGATTTCTGGTCAGAAGCAATCTTTCCTTTGACAAACATTGTAAGACAATTGCGGATAAGGCAACGATGGCTACTTATAACCTTTACAGAGGATTATCATGTAATGACCCTGAAGTCTTACTGAGGGCATATAAGACTTACATAAGACCTATATTGGAATACGGTACGGTGATCTATAGTCCGCACACACGAAAAACAATTGATTACTTAGAGAAGGTTCAAAATAGTTTTACTAGGAAACTGTTGATAAGAACGGTCGGATTCAGATACGATCAGATACCGAGCAGTCGGGTTCGTAACGCAAATCTGGGTATACCTACTCTTGCTTACAGAAGGAAAAAATTCGATTTGATTATGGTGCATAAAATTCTATTTGGTGAATGTAAGCTTGACGCAAGAAATTTTATTGCTACTAGATGTTCCAATACTAGAGGAGGGACTAGGAAGCTTATAATACCAAGGGCAAGGCTAAATGTAAGGAAAAATTTCTTTACGTGCCGAGTGGCCCACGATGTGGATACGATTATGAGAAAAAAGATGTTCGTAGCAAAGCTATCACTGTTTAAAAAGTTTCTAAGAAGCTACCTTCAGTCTTCGTATTAACAATTCTACCTTTTTGTCTGTTTGTTTAGTTTAGCAGTTCGTTCTATTTGTTGAGTTTCTTCCACATTTTTTCTTTGTTGTTGTTTTATGTTGACATAGGAACTTTCCTATGCAATAAATAAATAAATAAATAAATAATTCTAGTTTTGTGACGCGTCCCGTGCTGCACCCGAGAATTTCAAAATTCAATCTTTCAAGACTGTAGAAACTCATTTGTCTTTTAAATTTAGTGTCTGATCACAATCGGTTTTTGAAGGTTCCAATTTGCAAAGATTTCATAGTGTTTAAAGCGATTGTATACAATACCACCCGCAATTTGTGAAAAAAATGGCGGCGCCGCGTGAGTTAAGTGCCGCCGCCATTTTTTTTCACAAATTACGGGTGGTATTGTATTTCAAGACTTCGCAAATGTAAAGACTTTTGGACTTTCTTTTGAAAGTACTGAAAAGTTAGCTTCCGATGCTAAAAAATCGGGTTTTGTAGCGGTTTGTTTATTCTATCCAACTGTTACTCAAGCATTTCCAAAAGTTTAGAACAAAAATTTCAAAGAATAGCTAGATTTAGGGTACGTGAAATGCATGGGTTGAGGATTTTGTCGATTATTCGAAACATTGGAGACATTGGAACAAAAACACTGCTCCTGGAAAAAGGAAGAAATTTTGCATAGAATCCTTTGTAGGGTAATTGTCTGTCTTTACCCTGAACGATTTGAGAAGAGGCATAATAAACGGCACGAACGTTCGGACCCACCTAATATATTAGGTCGTCCCGAAAGTATTTTCGCTTTTTTCAAAGAATCGCCACGGTCCGCAGAACAAACATCCTTTGAAGATCTTGGAATCATTCGATGCAATTTTTTAAGCTTTTTCAAATGGTCATCTTTAAATTGCAGCTTAACAAACGAGCTCTTAGAAAATAACCAAAAACTGCGACCCACGCTTTTTACCAAGGTCAAGTTTCGCTATTTTTCTAAATTCTCGTACTGATTCTCCGAAGAAGCCCAAGTACCCTGCGGATAGAGCAAATCAAGTAGGATACAAAACAATTTCCGCCCCTTCCAAATCTTACTTTATAAAATTTTTAGAAATATTTTTTGATGCTATCAAATTCTATATTTCGTCAACTTGAACCTCACAGAGCATCACTCGAAAGCAGCTCGGGTGTTATTCGATGCACCACCTTCTCCTCTTTCAGGGACATGTTTTTTGTTTCTTATTCGTAAACTTTTAGAGGGCAAAATCGACAAAATTCATGTTTTTGATGGCGCCCCCAAGATGTACCCGAAAAATTCAAAATCTGATATTTCGAACCTGGAAACACTCATTTGTCTTGTAAAATTAGTAATGAATCTTAATCTATAAAACTGTGAATTTCTTAGAGTTTGACGAGTCTTCGTCTGTTATGGGCCTGCTAAAATTCGGTAGTGTTGTTTGAAATTTTGTCAAAAAATCATGGAGAGCTCTGGGAAGGAGAAAGAAATTGGTTTATATCCTACTTGGTTTGCTCTATCCGCAGGTTACTTGGGGTTCTTCGGAGAATCAGTACAAGAATTTAGAAAAATAGCGAAACTTGACCTTGGTAAAAAGTGTGGGTAGCAGTTTTTGTAACTTTCGGAGAGCTCTTTTGTTAAACTGCAATATAAAGACAGCCGTTTGAAAGAGCATAAAAAACTACATCAAATGCTTTTAAGATCTTCTAAGGATGTTTGTTCTGCGGACCGTGGCGATCGTTTGAAAAAAGCGAAAATACTTTCGGGACGACCTAATATATAAAAAATGAGAAATTGTGCAATTATCAAGTCAAATAAATTTATTTTATTTTGTTTTATTTCGATTCACCTCTAGGTGCAGCAAAAAAATAAACTCAACCAAGCAATTTAACAAACAAAAAAACACTAAGTCCTAGTCAGAACACAAAATATGGCAGAAGCCTTCCTCTAAAACTATAATAACTCCCGATTTAGAGCGTGAGCTCCCGGTGCTAGCTGACGTAACTCAGATAATGAGCAGTGTCTGTAAAGCTGAAAGCATAAAAGGATAAAGGGATCAAATTTAATGCACAATAAACCTCCTGCACATTCTTACAGAATTCCTGCTTTATTTGACAAATCAAATTTGTAAAGATACTTTTGTTTATCTCCATTTTCTTCAAGTTACAAGTGCGCGTTTCATGGCCCTCTACTTTCCCATATGAAAAACTGCACTTCATTTTGTCAAACGCATCCCCTAAGGTAAAGTGCAAGTCCAGTCTTTTGAGGGATTATCATGAATGCCTAAATTCAACCACATACCATTACCTCAGACCTAAATAGACTTAATCTATTTAGATCAGCGATCGTTTACTAGCAGTTCATTTCCGCTAGATACCGCTAGAGGCAAACTCGAATAATTGATGAGATTTATGGGTACTTGGAGGCTGATACATAACCCGAAAGCTTTATTTGGGGCTTCTCACATTTCCGGTCATCAAGAATTCAGGACAGCAGAGCTCGCATTTTCTGAGCCTCAAGGAGGTGGGCTGGAGCAGAAGGATGCTCGGAAGTGTCTGAACTCTTTAGCTCAGTGCCTGTCTTAGGTGTTGACTTATACTCCGCGTTCATTCTTATATTTAAAGTTAAATCTAAATGCATAAAACCATTTCTTTTACAGATAGCTGAAATTGGCGAATTGAGAAGCGAAAATGCGCGCTGAAGGTAGAGTAAGAATTTTTTACCAGCACAAGTTACAATTGATTTTCAGAAGTGAAAGCCATACTTACACCACTCTACGACAACTACGAGAAACATTGTCAGAGTGGTGACATCGACAAATGCATGGATTTCTATCATCCGGATGCTGTGATGGTAGAAAAAGGCAAGACCGCTGCCTATGGAAAAGCTCGTGAGTTCGACGTTTGGATTACATAAGACAATTAATTCTAAACAGCTTTCTCTATAAGAATGATTTTTGAAAATATCACGCCTAGGCGCTAAAAAAAAATCCAAGAGTAAATCGCTTTCTCAAAAATTCTAAGAAAGTCCGGGAACAGTTCCAAGAGCTTCTTCACTCAAATTACAGTATGCCTACCGATTAAATTATTATGTTGTTATGCAAAATCTTGACTGAAATGATTCTTATACTAGTGAGTGAACCAGTAATTCAAAGGTGCTATTTGGAAGGGCGTTCGCCTTGGAACCCGCCGCGGTTTACCGCTATTGCAAGATTTTTGCACTGAGCTAACGATTCTTTATATATTAGACTTTACACCTACTCCAAATCTTCATGAACAGAGAGTTCGATTATCTACAGAATATTGTTGAAAGTTTACTTATAATGATTCCTAACGATTTTCCTACATCAAAGCGGATTTTTTTTTCATTTCTTGTCATCACAGCTTTGGATTAAGTCTTGCTCGAAACTTGTTCATACTTGTAAATAATTAATAACTTTTAGAAATTTTCCAAAATTCAAATCAGCCTTGTAAAAAAAAGTTTTAGGGGCACGGCGCCGTCACATCCCCTTTTTCTAAAATTTGCTGGTTATGGTCCGCAAAAATTTTCGGAAGCATCCCAAAAAAAATTTTCAGAATGTGTGCTAAGGCCACGCACGGAGAATTTTGCCCCCCCCCCCCTCCTCTCTCTCACTCTCCCGAGTGGTACGCCACTATCTCACCCATATTTATTAGTTAACAATTTATTTATCTGTCCGTTTATCGATTGATTCATTAATGCATCTAAAGAAAATGTTTTTACCAAAAACACCAAAAATCAAAAAGAAAAGAATTTTTTGTGTTTGTCTATCGTTTTTGTTTCATACATCCGCGATGCCCTGGTGAACCTGTGGGAGCGTACCGGACCGCAGAAGTTCACAGTTAGTCTTCTGTACCACCTAAAATACCAAAATTAATCTGTAAAAATTCAGAAATCCAACGAAAAGTACGAAGGCTGTGACGACTATCTGGTCCTCACCTGTGATAACACCATGGACTCTGCAAAAAGAGGCAAGGAGACAGCCAAGATGGTACAGATCTGGAAGAAAGATCATGGCAAATGGGTCATCTATCATGAAGAGTGCGATGTGAAAAAGTAGATGTTGAAGTGCTTAAGGTGCTCTCTATGTTGTGATGTTCATCATCAATAATAAAAGTGATTCTGTTTACGGGGGTTTTTTTCTGAGGGGGGGGGGGGGGAGGGAGAGGGAGGATAGGGAAGGGGCACTTTAGTGATCGCAAAAGCCAAAAATCATAGGGAATGCCCTCGACTCATTTGTAACTCAATGTGAGCCTGCACACTATGCGCGACAATTGACGTGCCCCTTTTGTGACTACTTATCAGTAGCACCGAGGGTGTAAGTTACTTACAGAGTTATGGAAACGTACAAGTGATTCATACCCGTAAATAATTCAAATGATTTTTCAAACTTTCCAAAATTTCAATTTAGCATTATAAAAAAATTTATTTGGGAAAGTGGCTGGCGCCATGCCCCCTCTTTCTAAGACGGATTTAAGGGCCCTCGAATTTTAGAAAAACATGAAAAATTTCTTTGGAAGCGCATGGCCTTAGCCACGCACCTTCATCAGCAAAAATTTTCGTCCCCCCCCCCCCCCTGTTCGAAGGGAAATCCTGGCTAAGTCACTACTACTCATGACAAACCATATCCTGCGTAACAAACTGTAGAAATGCTACTAATAACTAATACATATCTAATCAAATTAGAGCAGACAAGGAAATGGGGAAGCGTTACTGCAAAGCTTCTAATCTTACAAGTCGTCAGGTAGCGCGCGTGCTGTGCATTATGCACATTGATCACAAATGACTCAACGATATGATGTCATCTTACGTACTAGCTGTTCATGTTCGTAAGATCCACTTTTATTGAACTTGTTGATAGTTTTCTCAGCCACAAACATCATTCAACCCTTTCCCTCGCCAGGAAATACGTAAGCGGCTACCTGCTGAGTGAAAAATGTGCGAAAGCGATTGTCTGGACCTCGGCAATTCATCAAAGGTTACGGTAGACCGCAGAAAGCGATCTATCAAACTAGTGAAAGTTCCTGGTCAAACCAAAAGACTCCAAATTGTTTGCTTGTAGCTTTTATAGAAAAGGATAAGCACTTGCATTGCAATAAAAATCAGACATCAAACTATAGTATCCCTTACCGTATTCTCACAAACGAAACGTTATTTTTTATGTTGGGCATACGGAAGTAACACTGCGGGAAATAATGTTGTGATCCGGAGATTTAAAGGAGCTTCATTTTGGAAGGGATTTTATAAGGTTTACTGTAGGTCTCTAATTGAGTAGGCACCCTGGCTTAATTCAATTCCTGATATTCTTGCGTTTACATTTTGTTGTTCTTCCCGACTAATGCAGCCACATGTGATAATAATATTTCCAACAACAAAAAATTCCGGAATTTGAATAAGCGGGCGATTGGTAAACAGTGGGAAGCAGGATTGTGACTTATTCATCTTTGACCCATATGTAATCCTACTTTGCAATCAGAGTTGCTTGGAAATCAGAATACAAAAGTAACTTGAAGCATTTGCATAATTCCTTAATTACAAACAAAGCTGATTGAACAGGAAAATCAAGTATATCTCAAATTTCGTAAGTTTAGTTAGTCTGCCACATTTTTCTCGTAGATTTGGAGGTCGGAATGCTAAAAAAAAACAATTTTGAATGCTTCAATAATCAATCCCGGTGGTTGTTAAGCTGCCAATGCGCGAATATAGAAAGCAAGGTGATCTTATTGACTAACACTATATTCTAATTTCTATACAGTATCGCTTACTGTTGAGAATTCATTCAAAAAATTTCGATTTGGCGGCGTTCATTTTGAGAATAAGAATCGCGTCATCTTCAAAAAGTTTTTTAGCATCTTACTGTACCCTTTGACTTGTCTAAGAAGTTTTAAAACATGAAGCAAGCAAGAAAAACAAGTTCGAATTTGTCGCATGCACGCGCAAGTGGCTTTTTTCGGACCTTTAAAACTCCATATGAACTCATACAAGTATATCTACCGTAACGGCTGCCAGAAGCAAGGCTTATGTGCATATTAAGAGAAGTTAAACGCAGCACAGAGTTCTATATTATAGGTTTGGGAAATGATAGTGTCTTGAGGGGTGATAGAAAACTCAAGGAATCATGAGTACCAGTTCTCGCAAAAAATTGACTTACGAACGTAGATTGATTCTGAGTTTGGTTACGTTAATAATAAAAGCGCGTCCATATTCTGCACAGCATGATTTTTCTAATTTTTGCGATTGAAGGTTTTTGAACCATCAGATCGATTTCATTTCTCCCATTGCTGTTTACAAAGATAACAAGAATGTTTTGATTTTTCTTTCCAGAATTATCTAGCCTTGATCGTTGAAACCGTACAATGTCTCGTCTTTCGCCCTTATTTGCGACCTCGTGCAGCGAGAGAAGGGAGGGGCGGGGCGTTGGCGCAGCGCCAACGCGCGGCTGCCGACGAAATCGTCGATGTTTTCTTGGACACGAGCGTAATCGGCAGTGTCTCTGCGACAGGTTCATCGCCTGGTGATCGTCCATACACCGTGTGGGTCTAAACTCTCTCCGCGCTGCATAATCCCTAGTGGGGATAGCCCTATAAAAGGCTCACGAGGTCGACTAGCTGGTAACACTGTTTTGTGCTGCAGAAATGACCGTTCCGACCGTACTCAACACTAACGAAAAAGCTCAAGATTCCGTGGAATCCGATGCGATTTGTATAATTTCTGGTGCAAATGCTCGTCAACTCGTCTATATACTCTATGTAGTAATTATATTCACGGCTGCTGCTGTGTTGTATATTTTCCCAAGCAAAATTGTGATTTGCGGATTTCTGGCGCTGATGGCGGTGCTACTCGTCTCACTTTATCCTCTGATAAAATTCGCTATGAGAACTGAGGACAGCGATTTGATTTGGGACAGCGATGGATTGCACTGGTTCCGGCAAGATGAGGTTGTTGAACAATACGGTGACTATGCAAATGATCTGGAACAGTCCTTTAAGATCACACCAATGAGTTCGAACTATTATCTTAGCTATGCTTTCATCTAAGTCTTTTTTTTTTGTCTTATAGCTCGATATCATGACCGCCTTGACTTTCTTTTGTTCTCTCTATAGCTTTCATTAATCTCAAACGAACTCTCATCTCTTCTTATTCGCGGGTTGTAAATAATCATTGTGGATTATTTTTCCAAAGGCAGTATTGTACAAGTGACAATAAAGTTGCCTTCACCATGATCTCCAAAAAAATTTAAAACTGCTGAATGATATGGAGGTGAAGAAAAAATACTTTTCAGTTATTAGAAGTATCAATAAAATTTTTTTTACCCAAGCCTAACCATGGGAGATTACGCAGAGGAATAGAATTGTTAGAGAAAAATACTGTCCTCAAAATAAGTTTGATGAATTCCATTTATGAATCCCTCTCACCATAAAAACTTCTTTATATGTGATTTCGTCTTGTATATTCTAACATCTGCCGTTGATTTTGTTTAGAAAACAAAAACTGAACTCAAACAAATAACGAGAACTGGTCCCCGAGATTTGGCATGGACAAAATGACTGGGGACTTGCCGAGTGTTTGGAACCAATTAAACCTTTCATAGTTGCTTTAAAAGCTGATATATCGAGAAGTTTTCCATATATAAAAAATTGGAGATTCAAAACCCCCATTCCAGGGGGAAGATGTTTTGCAGCATGTTCCCTCATTCCAGGGAGGTGAAATTATTTTGAAATGTGGAAAACATCTTTTCGTTTTTTCAAAGCCGTAATTTGTCATTTCTACACTACAGGACAAAAAATCGTAATAAAGAATTGACCTCAGTACGTTCCAAAAATTATAATTGAAAAATAACAATAAATTTTGACCCCTATTAGCACTGCTGTTGAGTGCTTTTTTCTGGCATGTTGCCAACCCCATTCTTTGGTCGGTTTTTGTGATAGAACAGGCCCTCTACCACCCGCATGCGATCAACATAATTTACAACCGAAATCACTCGTGCGTGTGAGTCATATTGTTAGCAACTCGAAAGTTTTCTTCCTCTGTGTGAGGGGAGGGGGGCAAAGTTCAGCATATTTTCTGTTGACGGGTGGTGATGTTTTTGAAAATTTTGCTAAATAATGTACTTGTAAACTTCCAAAGAAATACTCTAATTTTGAGGATACTCTATGACAAAATATATAAGCATGGTACATTTTCGTTATCATGCTCCATCCTCGATAATAAGTTCATTCGGAGGACTACGCATTGTCTTGGGTTGAGGAAAAGCCAAAGAATTTATTTCTCTCTCAGCGTGAGGATTATTTCAGAAAAAAAAATGTTTTCTCTCTTAAAAAATCTCATACCCAAGGGTTGAGTGGTCAGATGCAGTTTATGTTTGTCGTGATATAAAAAATTTCTCAAAATCAGAAACTCCTGAGAGTGAACCACATTTCTTTTACTACTACATAGATCTTATCATCGAGGTTAAGAAAATTGAGGAAAAAAGAGCTGTACTCGAGTCTCGAGTTGGCAAGGATATGGAAACACTAGATACAATTTGCAGCATTCGTTGTCCCATGAGTCTTTTCATAACTGATTTCACACCGCATAAGTTTGCTCTTCTTATTGTTAGATTTCTAATGGGATGCGGGGCACCAATCGGAAGATTAAAGCGAGCTCTGCAATATGGCTTCCAAAAGTTTGTATCAAGCTTGATCCGCAACGAGTTGCAAAACAAAATGGAAAAAATCCAAAATTTCGAAAAAACGAAAATAATCATATCTCAGTTGAAAAACATCTTGCGAGGTTCCCACTTGCTCAAACCCCCTGAAGGTAGATCTGTGGCTGGCTCGACTCATCGCTCTTTTCAACTGTTTCTTGTTCGTACATGTCTCAGAATCTCACTCCTGAGTTAGTTTCGTTTGCGAATGGGTTACATAATGTTTTTTTTTCCCACTTTCGAGAGATGATACTGGCGTCAGCTCCTCTCTTCCCTATTACTAACATAACAGACAATGTTTCATTTGTGTAATCAACATTCATGTGACAACATTTTCTTTCTAACAATATAACCAAAGAGTAAAAAGAGCGGATAGCACACGTTGTTTGATAATCTCGAATATGTTCCTCCAATAGTAAAATCTAGCATACGTAGTAAAGAGCAAATAGCACGTGCGCATGCGTTTGCGATTTTTATTTTAATGTGGATAACCATTTTTGAGCCAGAAATCATACGTATTATGCTCGAATGCGCATCAAGCAATGAGCGTGCCATTGTCTAAATTGTCCTATGTAGTGAGACAAGAACTCCAAACAAAATCGAGTGTCAAAAGGAAAGAAAACGAAGACAGAAAGGGAGCGTTCAAATGTCTGAACAAAAGCCTACAGGGCTCCTAAATTGCAGAGTCGTTTGCACCAGCGATCGCGCGACCGCGTCGCGCCAGGGCATTTTGCTGGCGCCGGCGCCATCGATCGAGGCGGCGCCATTGATGCCCGGGCGCGACGCGGTCGCGCGAACGCTGGTGCAAACGACTCTGCAGTTTAGGAGCCCTGTAGCTTCTGCACTTGATTGCTATTACCGCCGCATGCGGCCCACTTGCGCTGTCTCATTTCGTGGGTCCCTGCGACCGATGGATAAGAAGTTAAATGCTGCGACACGACCGTTGTCTCACTGGGACGCGTTTTCGCCTTAGGACTTGAGCTTCGTACATTCTGGTTACGATGGGTTGTTGTGGGAGTTAGTAGTGGGAATGACATGCTGAAAAGACAATATTCATCCGTAAGAGAGGGCCTTCCGCGGATGGTTTTAGAATATGGTAGACTTCGTCCAGACGAGGATGGTTCTGCAACATGCTATTTACAATTACGACATCGATATGCGCTGGAAGAATGATCTTGCCCAGTTAACGTAAAGCGCAAACCCGATTTCGAGCGATTTCGCAAAAAGGTTATATTAATCCATTAATTACTATCAAAGTTATGAAGAAGCCTTACCGCACGAAAACTACATAATATTTGTGAACAATATATCAGATAAGCCCCTATCCCCTTGCGAAGTTTCGCCGAAATCTGAGATTATGTATTTCTGGGTTGTATAACACATTCACGATAAGGCCGATTTTTCGATTACTGCCGTTTCGGACCAGAGCCTTTTTCGCTATGTCAAACTTACGACCCACCTGTGGGTCGTATTGTCCGAAATGGTAGTCTCTTTGGAAGACCCTTTTGGAAGAAAGATCCTTGCTGGCGAACGAGGGGGCATAGATACTTCTCCATAGAGTCTAGCTAGCAGAAGACTATGTGCAACCGAGATACAAGTTAGGTATGCAAGCTTATCACATTATTACTTCACTATTCTTCTTAATGTCGTCTAGACTGGGCTCAAGACGCCGTGGTGATTTGTTTTTGTTGTTTTTTTGTTCCATGTACGATTAACGCTTCATGGTTTTTGATTTGGAACGCCTCGAGCGTATGAAAATAAAAATGAAAATTAAAAAAATGAAATTCAAAACATGTCCCCGAGAAGTTCCCCACAAAGGTTACCGAAGGCGCTGATTATCAAAATATGATTTATTTCAGTTTTTGGCAGTATACGGCAAGGTTACGGTAGTCATTCTGTATCCAACATCATGTATTTTGATGAAAAATTGTTTTGAGGTTATTTCGCGTGCTGATCACGATTAAAGTGTCCACTTTGTTCACAACTTTCCCACAGTGGAAATACGGTAGCATATCCAACATCATGTATTTTGATGAAAAATTGTTTTGAGGTTATTTCGCGTGCTGATCACGATTAAAGTGTTCACTTTGTTCACAACTTTCCCACAGTGGAAATACGGTAGCAGTACGGTAGAATTTTCGTAAGAGTCAATAAACTGAAGTAAGAAGGCGGTGTCAAAATTTGGGACTATCACTTTCTTAATCAGCATGCTAGAAAACCTATATATGTAAGGTTTGAGCTTCCTGGAATGAACAGTGCGAAAAATCAATAAAATCAATGAAATCGATAATTTTTGATGGGCTGACATTAGTCTCGTGCCCTCCCTGTTTTCTCGTGCATGTAAACTTGAATTTTCACAGCACCACTCTGCGAAAGATTTGAGCTAAAGTCTGTGCCCGTACCTCTATCTACGGTATACCTACCGTAACATTACTTTACAGTATCAACCCGGACCACTCTGCCTGGAGTTTCGCCAAGGTGTCCCCATCATGTGCCAGAGCTCCGTAGAATTCCATCGTATACTGGCAAAACTAGAGCTTCAGGAATCTCGCGACCCACCGATGGGTCGTATTGTTCGAAATTTATTTATTTATTTATTTATTTATTACGCCAAAGGCGCACTACAACAGCAAATTAGTAACTAGCAGATGAAAGAAAAACCAGTGTTAGAACTCAAACAACCGAAAAGGTACTACAGCAAATTTTATCGAATAGGGACATTCATCGATCTAGGTCCAATATAATAGAAAAAGGCATAAAGGTTTAGCTACTAGAAGCTCCCATAAGAATTGTTCACAAGAGTTCGGGCATGCCACCCTCGCTCGACCAGCAAGCGACCTAGTTTCCAGGAGTATGACGTAGACAATGGCGGAACACGTACGACCCAACGGTGGGTCGTGTTGTCGTGAATGTTATAAAGTGGATGGATGTCACTCATCTTTCGAAGATGCCGCCTAAACAACTCCTCGTCTAATGGTGGGACTATTCACCACGTTTTCTGCCTCTATATAGATGCTGAATGGATTATTGAACAAAAGTATACTTCAAACTTCTACTATTCGTATAACGAGCGAACAACAGTGAAAATTAGACAGAAATCTAACATGTCTCAGAATATGACTGACGGCATGAAGAAACTCGATCTAGAACGACATGGCAAGTCACTCTCCACAAACATCATAACAAGTACGTTTAACCTAGGAAAAAAAGACAACTCAGGCTTACATCAAGTCAGTACGGCACATAAAGGTATAATGACGCGAATGTTTGGAATTTAGTGAAGAAACAGAAAGTAAGAGAAAAGTGAGGAAATAACATGTAAAGCTCTAGGAAACAATATCTTCACTATGGTCAACAATACTTGCACCGCACCTGAAAGCATATCCACAAAAGCTTTAGACTCTTGGAAAACCAACTCATATGTCCTATCCCTCATCGAACTGTATCTCCATGCCTCCTCCCAGTTTCTGCATTCTCTGTCGTTTACGCTGTCCAAGTGAACCCATATGCGACAAAAATTGCATTGTGACCAATTGATTCCAGTCCCCTTTGTTCCTGCGGGCGTAGTTCCTTCACAGTATTTGCAAATTCGTCCTCATTGATATCCTCTACACGCGGGCCTTAAAGGCAGTGTCCGGGCAAAAACTCCATTTTCAGAAAATTCGCTCATCGGGGGTTATTCGCAACGCTGAGTCCGAAAATCCACATTAAAAGGCGCAAAAACGGCAAGAACATGCGTTTTCCAAAGCCTTACAATTTGAAATTCGACGTTCCCCGCCAAGGCTGAGACGCAGAGTCGCTGCGAGATCCTATCCGTCTGTGCCATGCGCACTCTGCCGCATAGCAGGAATTAAATAGGTCGGGGACCCCGCTCCAAAAGTTCCCCACTTTCCGGGCGTTTTCTTGCTTTAGGTCGAACGTTATAACCTGCGCGATGCTGTGTCTGGGGGTGAGGGGAGGCACTTTCGCATAGCGCTGAAATCGCAAAACTCCACTGTCCGGACACTGCCTTTGATTGTTTAGATGTCCGAAAATGTTCCGCCCGCTTCAATCTTGCAAGTCATTCTTAGGCCTAAGGCATACCTCCCGCGATTTCGCGAAATCGCCACATCCTCGCGATTTGGCGATTTGCCAGATGTCTAGAGATTAAGCGTGCGAGGCTCTCAGATGCATGGGTGCGTAGATTCCGTAAATTGTAACAAACACAGCAAGTCTGGCCCAAGCAAAGTGCGTTTACGACCAGCTATGGAGAATCGTTGCAGTGCCGAATCGCGCGGCGACTAAAATCGCGGGAGGTATGCCTTAGGCCTAAGAAAAATACTTTCTGTCACTGGTTTACCCAAATCCAAGTGATGGTGGCTTTGGCTTGATATGATCCTAGCTGGGCATCCGGCAATTAGGGTGTGGAAGCGCTGAACTCTTCCGAAGGGAAAATCTGCCAAAGATGTGGGTTATATATAGCACGTCGACTGCGCACCCCCGTGCCACGCCGATCGGGAAATCCTGTGAGGGGCAGGGGGAAGAAGGGGTTCAACTTCTGCTTTTTCTCAGTTCATGTGCTATTGATCGATGTGGAGAACACGCTCAAGCTTGTCATCCACTTGCAAATCGGAAGGAAAACAAGTTCGAGCTTGTCAGGCAGGCGCCAAACTTATCCGATTAGACGCTTAGCCGGCTCATGGTTGGTCAAATAAGCGAAAGGACCAATCATGAAAAGGCTAAGCAGCAAGCCGGATCAGTCTAATGCCTGCCTTAGGGCCGGTGTATGCATATCTTGGGTTCCCAGCTCGGGTTTGGTGCGGGTTCCCAAATTCCGTGTTTCACGTGCTCTTCGTTTTGGCACTTCCAAAGGGGGAAGAGGGGAAGGGTCGAACGAGTACGCTTTGCACACATTGCCTAAGCAAACCTTCTTGTGTTTATACTTGTGTGCACCTCACATAGCATTGATTATTACTACCATGTGAGATGTGGAAGAGTTGTTGAGTCTTCTACTGAGTCTTCCGGTCCCAAAATAAACATCACAGTTGTTAACATGGTTGATCCCCAGGAATTTCCCATAAGTACAACCAACGTAGCTGCTTTTCGATCGTTTTAACACGTTAACGCCAGCAAATTTGAGACGCTCATTCGAAGTTGACATGTCAGAACGATCGAAAAGCAGCTGATCGTATGTATCTATGGGAACATTTCCGGGGGACAGATGATACATTGTGCAAAGCGTTCTGGAGTCTCAGAATCGGTGGCGTGGAAAGCCGAATTACGCGCAATTGTTATTTCTTAGTGTAATCGCACAACTCATCCTTGAAGAGTCGGCGGGATTTTTTAGCCACATTTGTTTTGCGCTGTGCACATTGCAGCCTTGCTGCAAATTTGTGACTTTTTCTTTTTGCTTAAAATAGAGCTCAGGTTGCTAGAAATGACGGACACCGAAATGGTGGAAGGAGTCCCGACGAAGATCGTTATGGTCGGTACATCTAGCATGACACTGCATCAGAGGTGCGTTAGTTTTAAACTTGTCCTCCGCATTTATTCTTTCTTATTTTTCGGTTCTCGCGAATGCCCAAGCCGAAGGTGGTGCCGAGCAAGCAAACAGCTGAGCGGGTTAGTTGCTTGAAATTTTTGAGCAGCTCATTTAAAATGTTTGCTATTTCGGGCCCTTTTGATTTCATTGAAAATGCAGATGATTTTTGCTTTTTCCTGAGATTGCTGTGTTTTTACTTAAGCTCCTTTACAATATCTTCCATTCACCTTTTTGCTTTTTCTTGTGATTTTTGTACTGTTTTGCATAATTTCTTTACAACTTATCTTCCAATCAGTTTTGATTTAGCCGGCGTCACGCGGAAGTGCTAGAGGACGTTTGCGAGGTCCAACTCTTGCCTCAAGGCGTGCAGCCATCATGCGTACCCAGCCGGTATCGCTTTTGATTTTTTTTCACTTCGACCAGCCCGCAGCTCAACAGCTTCGTTTTTACTGGGTCAAAATATTCACAAACGGCATATAACATATTTCCTATGCTGTTTCTATTCTTGTCTTCAGTTTTTTTTTTCTATAAAAGGAGAACCTGCAGTTCTGTAACGTTGAAGATTCCAACCTTACAAAGGAGTTTTGCTTACATGTGCACATGAGTGGTCACCTTTAAAGGTATTTGAGATTCTGGAGCCAGTTGAAGATGACTTAGTGGAAGAATATCTACCTCTCGGACAGCAAGTTCGACGTCTGCGCGCACCTGTTTTTTATAGACGCCCCATAGGTACGATCACATCTTATCTAACCCACTTTTCGAATTTAACAATGTTCAATTATTATGATCTTTCAGAAGAACGAGTGACTCTTCCGCCACCACCGCAAGTGGTTTATGTCCCTGTACCTGTTCGTAGCAATAGAAGGCACAATGGCAGAGGCTTGCGCGGCCGTGGAGTCCAGCGAGGAATTGGGTATGCTCATTCTGACCATTTGTTCCTTTTGACAAAGTGGAAGTTGTTTAAGTCCATTTTTGAACGAGTAAACAAATATTCACACCCTCCCTCCCCTCCTTTTCGTAATTGTTTTTGAGTTAAACGTATGTTCTGAGCTCATATGGACAATAGAAGAACAAACTTCATTAGAAATTTCTTGTTTGGAACCATCCACGTTCAGCTGTTTCTTGACTCTGAAATCATGGGTACAGGTCGACAGATTGAGCGTGTACTCAAGGTTGATAATGTCTTTCTTTATTGGCTAACGTTCCGCCGCAGTCGCTTGTCGGAGCTTAGAAACTGAAATCACAAGTATCCGGGCTCCGAAGGTAGTGCCCAAACGCTCCCCAATAAGGATATAGTGTGTTAACATTTAAATTAATGCTTAGTCAATCAACTGTTCTAATTACAAAATCCAGGAAAAGCGGAAAACAACCCTTTGCCTACCTTCTTATTTTGTCGACCTTTTCCATACCCGAAGTGATACTTCAACATCCTGCGACAGTTTGTTGAGAGGAATTCAAATCAAAATTTCTACATGAACATCGTAACCTCTTTAGTAGTTGCTTTTTTGTGTCATCTCCCACCATACTTGGTAAATGTTCATATCTTATCGGTTTTTCATCTGAGAGGTTTTTGCGCGATGAAACGTGTTTTTATCATTCGAGAAAGACGGTTTGCAAAATGTAACACGACTGATTTTTACTCACCGATTCTCAGATATGAAATTTTTAGCTACAGTACTATCACTAATATAATAAATTGACCCATTTAGAGGCATCACACGGGTTCAAGGTGAATAAATTGTTTCAGACAGAGAAATAATGTCCGCGGCATTGTGAACAATGCGAACTTCAAGAATCGTTTTGGCGGCACTGCTGGACGTGGCGGCCGTGCTGGAGCGGGACGAGGAATGAGACGTCCTCACTACACACCTCTGCCGAAGAAGACGGTTTCCCAGTTGGACCGTGAGCTTGAAGAATACATGAGAAAATCGAAACATCCCAAGATTGTCGTTTGAAATTCCTTTAGTGTTCAGGGAGACATATCTCAGTATGTACTTTGTCAGTCTTTATGTTAGATCCGAAACGTGTTGTCCAGCCTCTCATCTCAGTTCTGCCTATATTAATGACAAGCATCTTATTCTTGATAGTTATCAAATGTAAGCATACTCAGCCTATCAATTTTCCTCCAGGAGTTTCCAAATTCTTCTCATTTTGTCTAACTCATATTGAAGTCTACAGTAGAAGAGTCACTTAGAGGTTAGCGTGCCAGAATTGTTAGTTATTGATTAGCGAGACAGCTGCCCGAAGAAGTGCGAAGCTTCAAAAAACTGTTGAAAGGAGCAGCGCATGCACAGCGCCCCTCTAATACATCATCTTGAATTTCTCTCTGTTCAACGTACATCCTTTGCGTTTTTCATTTGCTTTTTCGCCGTTGTTCATTTGTGTATGGGTCGTTGTTCTGTTACAGTATCATATTACGCTTTCTGCAATTGCACAATTGATATCATTCTCATTTTCATTGTTAGAAGAGTATTAAATACATTCAAACTCTTAAGTGAAATTCGAGGTATGTGAATCATCGAGAGAAAGACGATAATACCACATCAACAACAGCCAATTGTTCTTTCCAAATCCATTGCGTTTGTTGTGGAACCTAAATTGTTTATTTAGTAAGCGGCAGATACTCGCTCGCGTATAAACAATCAACACAAGATAGATTATTGGGGAAAGTCTTCAACAGTGGATATTTACCTTTTATTACATACTCGAAAAATTCAATCTTATATATAAAGCTGAATGTCTGTTTGTATGTCTGTCTGTCTGTATGTCTGTACGTATGTTCCGAATAGAAAATTCCATTTCTGAACCAATCCGGACCAAACTTGGCACACATACACTACGGGCCCCGGCGGGTGTCATAGGCTACTTTTCGTCATCGATCGATATCGATTTTATCGATTTTTATCGATTTTTTTGCTGAGTTCACCTACGGGGCTGGGAGTTGGCACAGGGGGGTAATCGAGCATGGGGATTCCGAATACAATATTGGTTTTCGGGATTATCGATTACTTTTATCGATTTTGTCGATTTTTTTGCAAAGTTTGAGCTAGGGGGCTGGGAGTTGGCACAGGGGGGTAATCGAGCATGCTGATCATCCCCAAGGGGGGATGATCAGCATGCTCGATTACCCCCTGTGCAAACTCCCAGCCCCGCAGGTCAAACTTTACAAAAAATCGATAAAATCGATAAAAGTAATGGACGATCTTGAAAACTAATATTGTATTCGTAATCTGCATGCTCGATTACCCCCTGTGCAAACTCCCAGCCCCGCGTCAAACTTTACAAAAAATCGATAAAATGGATAAAAGTAATGGACGATCCTGAAAACTAATATTGTGTTCGTAATCAGCATGCTCGATTACCCCCCCCCCCCCCCTGTGCAAAATCCCAGCCTCGCATGTCAAAATTTACAAAAAATCGATAAAATCAATAAAAGTAATCGATAATTCTGAAAACTAATATTGTATTCGGAATCCCCATGCTCACTTCCCCCCCCTGTGCCAACTCCTAGCCCTGTAGGTGAACTCTGCAAAGAAAACGATAAAAATCGGTAAAATCGACATCGATCGATAACGAAAAGTGGACTGTGACACCCGCCGGGGCCCGAAGTGTATGTGTGCCAAGTTTGGTCCGGATACGGCGGAGCCGGGTAAGCCAGCTAGTATTAAACAAAAATGACCACCATCTGAATGGGATTGCCTTCGTGGCAACATGTCTTCGAAGTATAAACAGTCTGAGACCGGTTAACGCTTGACGACGAGCTGTTTTTTTTTGACGTCTGTCCCTGTGGACGAACCGTTTCCGGGCATTTTCACAGCCGGCTGCATGTATATTGTAGGGTAGCCACGCCCACTTTTGGCAAGCCCCGCCCACTTTAGAAAAGCTGGAAATTGCTCAAAATCAATGAAACTCGTGCAAATTCCGGCATTTTTGAAAGTCTGCGGAGCTTGCCATTCAGGGGGTGGGACATGCATAATGGGGGGCGGGGTCAAAATTAAGATTGTTTTAAGTTCCTCGGTCATCTGCGAGCTTTTCTATGCGACTTGATTCAAAAAAAGTTCTTTGTAGAAGGCAACGGAGTGGGCGGAGTTTGCCAAAAGAGGGCGGGGCCAACATGAAAAACTTCTGAGCCTAAATTGATTATGTGAACACAAATTGGAACCATTGTCACATTAGAACAGGTATTTAAGGTGTCGCGCACCATTGCGCGACACTGTCCTCAACGTGTTAAGGTAGTCTTGCGAGCTTTTTTAACTTAATTGCTATAATTCTGCTCTCTTTACGTTTTATGCTGAAGCTTAGATTGGGTCGTGAAATTTTTGAAAGCCTACATGAGTCATAAAAATGTGGAAGTCACTTGTGCAACTTGTACATGACTGAGATTTGCAACCTTTGAAATTTGATTCACTTGTAGGGAAAATTTTTGGGAGTGTGGCTGTCGCCTCCCCTCTCCCCTTTTCCATTCTTCTGAAGTTATAGGCCCTTTGAAATCTTGAAAAGCATTTCAAAAATCTGCTGTTGCCCGAATTTTTGTAAGAATGGCGAGAACGCGGATTTTCTTATTCGTCTTGACTCTCATTCGGGTCGAGCACTAAAATTTAGGATGAGGAAAATTGCGTCTGTTTAGCTTGTCTCTCAGAAGTTCACAGGCAATGAGATCCAGCAATCCTTTAATGTGTCATATATATTAGGTTGTCCCCCGGTATCTTTCATCGCTCACCAAAACTCACAGAACACCAATCCATAAACGGTCTAGGTATCATTTAATTCAGATTTTCATCCTCTTTCTTACAGCTGTATTTGCTCTCTGACAAATCCTGTCATTGCGATGCTGTCGCTATAGCTTTTTGAGCATCTCAACGGTAACGCCAAACCTTTCCTGAACTTTGAAAATTTTTATCCTGACATTTCTAGAGGCTGGTAACTGTTATGTAAAGCAAACCTTTGACTACACTGTACCTATACTTTTATATAACTTGAGGCAAGTTCAAGCCCGTAATAATTATTTATCTAACAATATAAGTTAGTTATGATCGTTTGCGAGGACACAACCTTCACAACAGTAATTTTGTTGTGAATTATGTTCTCGCATGGCGCTCAACGTGAAAGTTACCAAAGCACATGTCTCTATGTATCGAAGGTATGGCAGGATGTGAAATAGTATCCTCGGTACGATTTTACAGCAATTTTTCTTTCTTTTCTGTCAATTTTTTCTTTTTTCACGCGAACGTGCTATAGCCACTGGAAAGTCCTAGACAATAGAACATAAAAATTTCTTTTTTTGGAAAAGTGGCGTAGGGCTCACATGATCCATACTGTTGCGATGCATTGAACTAACATGACGTTCGCAAGCAGAATAAGCTCAATATTGAGAACCGCTGTCATAGCGACAAAGAAATTGGTGCCCCATGCAAAACAAGTATACTGTAGTCGTAAAAAAACTCACTGATTCCATTTTTGACGCTATAGCTTTCCTCAGCTCGTTCAATATCCGTTCCAGTGTCTTGAACTCATTTAATTCTTCTTCGTCAAGTTCACAATCATCCTCAAGTGAAGAGATAGATCTTGTACGCGGTTCATCTGTATAAACTATCTCCCGCCATCTTTTCCTGCAAAACGAACGTTAAGCGAAAAGTCACTCAGTTGCAGGGTAACGCTCGATATTTCAAGCTTTCGCTATTTCGCCGCCTTTTCACGCTAGCCCAAGAAATCCAAGGGTATTTCTACCTTAAAGACTGAATTTTCAACTGCTGAAGGAAACAAAACATGCCGCATGATTTCTACATCTATGAGATAATGATTTGGGCTATTATTAGGCTGCGCATCAAGTTCGTTCGCGTTTTTTGATTTTTTTCTCACTATTTTGCTCCGTGCATGGTAGAATTATATGCACAGCGCATGGACTGGCAAGTGGAGTTACAGACATTTTTAATAAAGGGACTGGACTGGAGGGAAGGGAGTGGACTTATTTGTCAAAATTCTGGCAAGCTGTAAAAATTTTTACAAGGATTTTAAATTTGAAAATTCAAAATAGTTATTTCAATCATTTACAGTGAAACAAGTACTTGCACGATTTATAGCTTGTGTTAGCTATTTTCGGAATCTTGCCCCCTCCTTTGCCATCACATCTGTCAGTCACTTACGCTAATTCAGATTAGAAATGTATAGATCGAGAGTCGTTTCTTAGCTAACTTATTTACATTGTCTTGTCGAATGCCTCAAAAAACTTACAGCTCTGGCAATGAAAGCATGAGTATCTTCATATTGACTCGTAAGGCCCAACTCGGTCCCTCATCCGATAGATATAATGTACTGCAACATACTCAGATGAGTAAAGGCATATGAACGTATGAACGCCTCCTTTGTTCTTACCAAGGTAATGCAGCTTCTTGCAATGCTTCTTCGTGCAAAGATGTTACCACCACACCGACTTTCTTTGCAAGGGCGATAAATAGAGCTAAACCGAGTTATTGCCTTATTGAGAAATTGCGCAAGAAGAAAGCTGACCATGTTCTATAACAACTTTTCCGTTTGGATTATTCGGCAGCGTAAAGCCATATTCCATCCATAAGCGAGCATTATCATGAGGTCCGTAGCATACAGTAACCTGCTGATCCTCAAGTACACAATGCGACGCTCGCACCATGTACGTCTTCGAATAGCGATCAAACATAGCCATACCCTGAAATTGTTTCGAAAAATTTTCATAGGTGAAGTCTCGTTAGGGTTTTCATTGAGCATCACAGAATCCTCGCAACGTCATCAACCAAAAGAGGAGTAAACAGTGGTGACAAGCAAAACAAACTTTTGCATAGTGTGAGATATTATCAGATAGGAGCATAGTGCTAACCTGAGCTTGAGGATCATGATTGAGCATATCCACAAATGGTATCACTGCGAGCGTATCTAAAAACATACCATTTACTTAGGTGATTGTGATTCACATCGCTCACTTTCAGGCTTTTTATTGTTGAGTAGAATTACTAGGAAATAGTTTTCCGTTTATTATTATTTTTACTAATTTCTATAATCATATCAGATTTTATTAACCTTGTAATTTCTGCAATGCTCTGACCTCACTAAAATCCAAGAGTGTCACAACACCCTATTCGGGCAGCTCTTTTCAACAAGAGATCAGTAGCGCTAGTCTCCGTAGTCATCCGCCGCGCTACTGTATTCGTAAACCATCTCTGCTGGGCGCGTTGCCAGCCAAGGTGTATATAGGCCGTCAGAGAGCGGCCTACGCCTCTTCGAAGGCAGTGGCTCGGCAAAATCGAACATCTTGAAATTTTTAAGTGGAGGGTTGCTTGCACCCCAAACATGAGAATGGAGCAGGTCCGAGCGCACAGCATGCTGCCCCAGCTTAAAAAACTGCTCCTAAACCCGTGCGCGCAAGCATTCTTACACGCGCTCAGACGACTTACGGTATCCCTCACACCGTCAGAGACGCATGCCGTAAGGCTATATACATGAGGGTCCCTTAACGAGTCTACGTCTCTAACCATAGCGAGAAGCGTTCCACTCGTTTAAATTCAAGATGAGAGCTTTGAGACATGCGGTTTTTCGTCATTTTCGATCCCTCAAAGAGGATTTCTGGAATCTGCGCGTCGCGTCCCAGGCAAGCAAAAAAAAAACCACAGGTCGAGAATTTGCACGCCTAATAGCTTCTTTACCAATGCATTATATTTGATAGCGTCGTGTGCTTGTGATGTTCTGTGATGTTCCCAGCTTTTAGTGTAAGCGATCGAGCTTATTATATCTGGCATGGTTGGAGGCGCAATAGGCGCAGAAGCTTTTTTTTATGATAGCTGGGGAACAACATCGGGAGTGGAGAGCAGTCGCATCGTTCCGTGAGAACTTGGTGGCTTTGTGGTCGACCTGGCGAACCCTGTAGGCAGTGTCCGGACAAAAACTCGATTTTGAGATTTTGTGCTTACTTGGGCCTATTCGCTACGCTGAATCCGAAAATGCACATTGTAGAGCGGCGAAAAACGGCTCTAACACAGGAGGGAAATGAGCAGGTGGGCGGGGTCCTCCCGACTGCAAATTCACGTTCCCGGCTTCCGGAGCGACCTTCTCGCTTCCGGTTTCAAGTCAATCATTCGCACTTGACCGGTAGCGATGTTGGGACGGGTAGCGGAATCGAGAAAATCGCTCCGGCAGCTGGGAGCGTGAAATCGCACTGGGGAAAGCTCCGCCCACCTGCTGATTTCCCTCCTGTGTTAGAGCCCTTTTTCGCCGTTTTCGCGCTTTCCAATGTGGATTTTCGGATTCAGCACGGCGAATAGGCCCGTATAAGCACAAAATCTCAAAATCGAGTTTTTGCCCGGACACTGCCTTTAAGTATGGGAACTGAGCCTTGAGCCACGGGACAAGGTGGCGAGTTTCTAGTCATTTTTTAGCAGTAGTCCCAATATTGTTTACTGTCTCTAGCTAATGTGGTAGTATATAAATTTAGTCATGCTAGTCGCATGCTTATAATAATGCTTCAGGGGTGATGACGTCGAGTTGATGGATAATGGTGCTGAGCGCAAGTGCTTAGGATATGGAGTTGTGACGCAGAGCAGTCGAGAACTCGGCTAGGGATGCTGAGTCCGCACGTGTAAGTGTATAAATCATGACAGAATCATGCGGTATACTCCAACCCTTTTGAAATTATAGGAGTGTGAGTGTTGAGGCCTGTTCGCAATCGAATCTTGGAGTTTCGCTATTGAAATTGGAGAGGCCAAACAACAGGTTGCAAGTTGCTTCCTTCAATGTGCAGACATAAATAAGGCAAACGTGCCGAAATTCAGCAGAATGGGGTTGCCATCCGTGGCCAGCAATAGAAACTAATCTACCCATTATGCCGCTACTTGATGGAGATCAGATTTTTTGATGTTTTTATGAAAAAGGATAAGGGTTATGATGAGAAAAAGGCGTCTTGACTTTTTCACTGATTGGGGCATTCAACGGTAATCCCATTTCTTCGTTAGATGCTGAGCCCTTTGTAAGCCAAGTTATGAGCGTTTTTAGGTTAGAGTTGTACGCACAACTAGAACAAAAGTGATAGTGAAAGTAGATAAATCAATATTCAGTGCTTTTCAAAGTGGTATAGGACTCATTCAGAAGCGCGAATTCGATTAAAAAGACTTCCTGTGTGAATAACAACAGGTGTAAGTTAATATCGTATTCCCTTACCTCCTGCAGAGTTATCAATCACAGGATGCGGCTTGTTTTCGACGTAAATACACCGAGTATTTACTACATGCCATGCCCATAGGAACGTTTCGTGTGTAACTTTTGGGAGTATACTATGTATCTGCAAATATCAAGCTTCTGAAATAAAATTTGGAGATACAAAAAGTATAAATACTTAGTGATAGAAAATGAGGATAGATATTAGGTTGTCTCATACCATAAGGTTAGCTCTGATGCACGTTTTTTCGGCTTTTATCCAAGCGCCCAATCGCAATTGTCGGCCGCCTCAAACATAGCGTGGGGGTGACACTGGGTGTCGAACTGCGATGCACAGCCGAGTATATACTCTGGTAGAGCCTCCCAAGCTGTGAAGGAGTTCGACGTTTCCGGTTTCGGCCGGATGCCTGCAGGCCAAAATGCTGCGGAACCTCTGGCATTTTTCGGAATTTCCGCAGGATTTTGAAGAAGGTTCTGCGGAAGTTCCGGTTTTCAACCAGTTTGGCATGAAAATCCCGCGGAAGTTGCGATTTTCAACGTTTTCATTTTTGCAATAGTGAACAAAATCCTGCGGAATTTTTGCAAATTTGGCTTGTCCTGCGGAAGTTCCGTTGATTTGTCTGAGCAAGCCAGATCAGCAACGCCGTCTGGTTTTCCCGGTCGCTAGGCGGTCCTCCCCGCTCCAGATCTTGGTCAGTGATTGCCCCCTGGAAATCAGGAGTAGACCTAGTACGTCTGCTCTTGTAAGGAAAAATTTATCATTACTCCGCCAATTAGACGAATGGAAAGGAACCCTGTACATCGGATTCCGTCTACAGCACCGGGTGATAGCAAGAACAATGTCAGCATCCCCATCGCCTTTTGGATTGGACAAAAACGACACGTCTGCCAGGACGACATGCCATAGAGACTGCCTCATGCTCCGCACTTACAATGCCAGGACAGTCTCCACAAATGCCGACCTCCACGCTTTTCTCGACGCTGCAGAGCATATCAAGTACCACGTCATCACTCTGCAGGAAACGAAGTCCAGGGAGAAGGACGTGCGACAGATGAGTGATGGGACCCTCATCATTCGTGGTGAAAAGGTTCCATCACAAAACGTTGGACGCATTGGCTTTGTCGTCCACCAATCTATCGTTCATCTTGTCGATTCGCATGAAATTCTATAATCTCGACTGGCTACCCTACAACTACGTCCTCCACGTCAGAAGACTATCAGCATCATCAACTGCTATCATCAACATCAGCAGCTGACGACTCAGAACCAGATGCTCTCTACGGAGAATGGAGGAGGTCGTCCGCAACGAGAAGTTGTGGGCGACTTTAACGCGAACATCGGGATGCCACTAAAAAACATAGGATCGGGTTTGGACTGGGCTCCAGAACAAAGCGGCAACGTCTTGTTGGGCTTTTCTCTGCAGCACGATCTTTTCATGGAAATTTCATTTTTAGAAAGAACATCGCCGGTGAACAAGAGGAACGCCCAGTGGAATGACTCACGCGGAGATCGACCACATTCTCACCAACCGAAGGCGGAGCTTGCTCGATATCTCAGTAGTTCCATCCTTCTGCAGTGGCTCCGATCACCGCCTCCTTCGAGCGAAGGTACGATTCAGTCGAAGGCTGGAAAAGAAGGTCTGCCACAGTGCCGCAAGAAGGAAGAATGTCGTTTATGACGGTAACAGGCTGGAGGAGCTCATATCAAGTTGTGACTGGCCCATCGAGGAGGACCCAACGTACGATACGACCGGCTTCTGAAAGGATTGCGAGCCTGCGGAGAGTGCGCCTCAGTGACTTCCGAGAAGAATGTTGAACGCGTTTCGAAGACCACCAAGGAAATGCTTGAAAGAAGAAGATTTCTGAGGCAGGATCCGAATGCAACCCATCTCGAGCGACTGATAGCCAACGCCAGTTGCAGAACAGCTTTGCAGGAGGATCTCAGGAAATACAGGCAAGCCAAGATTCTGGAAGCAGCCGAAGGAAGACGAAGTCTCAAGAAGTGCCGAAGGGACCTCTGTGAATATCGCGTACCGCTGACTGCACTATTGAACGAAGACGGGACTCCGACTTCTTCCCGATACAAGATGGAAACTATCGCGAAGAACTTCCACACCAACTTCTTCGACTCATCAACTCCCGTGCCGATGCCCGTTCTTCCCACTGGAAAAGTACCACCAAGAATTCTACCTGCTGAACTGCGCACGGCGATTCAGATCATGAAGACGTTCACGAGTCCAAGACCAGACCATCCTTCCGGCGAATTTTTGCGAGTCGGAGGAAACGTGTACACGAGATTCTCGCGTCCCACCTGACATCCTACCTTCAGAAGGAAAGGATTCCAGATCAGTGGAGAAGTCAAGAACCGTCCTTCTCTTCAAGAAGGGTGAACGGGACGATTTTCGGAACTACCGTTCAATATGCCTGTTGGGTGTTGTACAAGCTTTAACGAAGATTATTCTCGCTCGCTTATCTAGGACACTGGATGAAGTAAAACCCCAGAACAAGCTGAAATCGCAAATTCAGCTGCATGGATCATCGTATGTTTGTGACTGTCACATCACCTATTGCAGCAGTGATACTTTGATGGACTCATGTGCTTTATTGCGCACTTATGTTCAAGACTCATACTTAGTCAAAGTGATTGACTTTGCACTTCACTGAGTGTAAAAATCACACTGCAAATGATTTTAGATAATTATTGGCTGAATAAGTTCTACATCTTTCAAAATTGAAAAAAATCAGTTATTTCTCTTTTTTGAGGAATGCAGTTATTCTCTGAGTGTACCCTAGAATCATCATTATTATTTATCCCTATGACTGTCAACTACATAGTGTTACTATATGAAGCTTTAGAACCTTGTTCCAAAGCTTTGCACTTTAGCAATTTTGATAGGAAAACTTTACCAACCTAGTACATTCGATTGGATTTCCAACGTTTTTTTCCATGAATCTAAGGTCTCGTAATTGGGCTAAAAAGCAGTAATTGACGACATACTCTTTTCCACATCTCCTGCAGATCTTTCTGTTGTGTGCACCAGTACTCACGAACAGATGAGGGCAGATTCTCAGCACTGATGGTCTCGCCGAGAAATGCAGGTGTAGTGAAGGTCTGCAATGAGAGCCCGTCAAAGGTTTACCTATTGCTTCTCGTAATGATTTGAAGGCAGTGTCCGAGCAAAAAAGTCGATTTTCAGATTTTGTGCTTACCTGGTACTATTCACTATGCTGAATCCGAAAATCCACATTAAAAAGCGCGAGAATGGCGAAAAAGAACTTCAACGCAGGAGGGAAATCAGAAGTGGGCGGGGTCTTCCACACTGCTGATTCACGCCCCAAGCTTCCGGAGCGATCTTCTCGGTCCTTCAAGTTATGCGTTTGCACCTGGCCTGTGGAGATCTCAGGGCGCTAGCGGAATTGAGAAAATCGCTTCAGAATTCGGAACCACGAAATCCACACTGGGGAAGACCCCGCCCACTTCTGATTCCTCTCCTGCATCAGAGCCCTTTTTCGCCGTTTCCGCGCTTTCCAATGTGGATTTTCGAAATCAGCATGTGGCGAATAGGGCCGGGTAAGCACAAAATCTCAAAATCGACTGCCCGGACACTGCCTTTAAAGTATTGTAGTAGTTCTTTGATACTTTTGGCAACTGCTTGCACACAACACCCAACACTGAAGCGAACAGTCTGTAGACGTGACGCAAAATCCTCGCGAGGACTCCCGCCATGCAAATTTTGGCCTCATTGCGATTGGGGCAGACGTACATACAATAAGTCTGTCAGAACTTCGCATACAGTCTGGGATCCTCCAGTGTGTTCGACAGTATTATAGGTATTCACATTAGAGTGTTCCAACTAATTGCCAATGTTCGCGAGCATATATTCGACATAGACAGCTGCTTGAACAATACGAGGGTCAAAGCACTGGACATTTGTCCACTTTAATTACTATCCAAACTATAGCCATACCACATATCAGCTGCTAGCTGAGATAAAAATTTCGTCTAAAGTACAAAGACCGGAAGACAGCAACGTAAGACACAATTATTAAATTCCTTTAAATTCTTTTTTTTTTTCGCATTGATCTAAAAATAAGGGGGTGTTTAGGCAAATGACATAAACTTAAGAAGCGTCATAACTCAGAAATGTTACTGAAATTTGGGTAGCAGTGTTCACAAACACTTCTGCTTAACTTGCGAAGCATTATTGTTTAGAAATTGTGCAATCTTTAGAGTTCGCTTCATCAACCAATTATTCGTCTTCTTTATCTTTGGCTTTATCCCGCTAGGGCAGAGCATGATTGCAACGCCATTTTCATTCATTCGTTGGGCGATTGCAGTGAAGGTTTACTGCATGCAGATCTGAATCATGTCCAACCTACACTGTTCTGGTCGTCCATCAAACCATGTTCGTAAATTCTGTTATTGCTGCCGAATTGCGACTACACCATCTTACTTGTGCTCTATCTTATATTTTATTCACTAAACTGTCACTAAATTCATGTAAGATATGAGAACCAAAGGCGACGAAGCCGATTTCTGTACATAAATTGGAAATGGCAGCTATGTTACCGCACACCGCACATCTCGTCATGCGTACAAAGCGGTTTAATTTAGCGACGCACTCATATAAGTCATCGCGCTGTCTTAGTGTATACGGATCGCTCCTGTGGTGTCGCGTATCATTTCCAAGTCCAAAAATGCAAAATGAATCGATATCCGCTTCTTTAGGTGGCATTCCGTAATAATCGTACAGCGATGGCGTTATTTGTGCCGGTACTCTTAACTTTTCAATGCATAGGCCTTTGCAATATTCGTTCCATTTGACTTCTCTCGGTTTCGTCACGGATTGCCTTGATCAAGAGGAAAAAACAAGAATAGGAAAGACACCATGGATCTTGTCATAGGTAGGAAATAATTAGAATGTACAGTTCATGAGAGTGTTCACCGCAGGTGATGTTTTTCTAGTTTGAGAAAGTTTTTGTTTAGTAGACCATTTTCAAGAATGAGAATGGTCTGACTGTAGTCTCTTCCAGCAATTTGTACCCTTCATATGATGATAACACGAGGGTGATTTGTTTTACCGCACTTCATCCGATGGAAAATTGATAATTACCTTCGGTAACACCCTCAAGTATGGCCCATAGAACGAAGATTCAACTTCTTCCAAGCAAAAAAATATTGTTAGCATCTCAAATGGAGTAGGAAGAAACCTTAAATTATTTCACTCATTTTTGAAACAAAAACATAGGATTTTACCCGGTCTCTTGTAGAAGAATCGCATATTTTTCCATATCAGCGACTTTACCAGCAGTAATCATCAACGTTTCTGGTAACTGGATGAATTTCTCATCTGTGCGAAATGCTCTTGTAGCAAATATCCCATTGCCAGAAGTCTGAAATATTCTTGATTGTATTATGCTCCAAAAGTAAACCCCTCTTCTAGATAAATCAAGCTGTTTTTGTTCTCATGGCAGACTTTGGGTAAGAGCCGTAGTAGCAGTTGGTAGTTTAGAGGTAGTTTATGCAATGGATACATCTTGTCTAGTATGCTGATACTGAACGTTGCTTTATTTGAGCGCTAGAAAGATTATAACAATCAATTTTGTCTAAATTCTGCATTCATTTTGCGTTTCAAAAAACGGTCATAACTCGGCGTCCAACGGCGCTTGGCAAATTTGGAAGGCAGGTTTGGAATCATCGTGCAATACTCTTCAAAGCAGTGTGGGTCTCATCTGAAAAGGTTACTTCGACTAAACAGCCCTTATATCCAAGTGAAGTTTAGAGCCAAAAACTACATTTAATTACCCTAAAAATCGGATCTCCGTCTAGAAAAACCTCACGGAATTATAACTTGGTCTTAACATACTTTACACATAGTAGTATTCACAGATGCTGCTGAATTTTCTCGAAGGAGAAAAAGTCCAGAAATGGAAAGTCGTCGAAGTCCAGAACTGGACTTCGCTCCCAGCTCCTTTCACATATGTGGCTGTATACCGCAAGCCTTAGTAAGTATAATCAAGATTATATCTCTTCAATCGCCATGATAGGCAAGAAATATCCAGTTTGACATTAAAAACCCGAAGATTTTTGCATTTTCTAGCAATTCTTATTTCTTATTTTTGGAATTCGAAAGAAAAAATCCAGCAAATGTAATTTTGAATACTACTGAGTGTATACTGTATGATGACCAAGTTGGAGGTCCGCAGGAAATTTCTGGAAGGAGATCCAGTTTTTAGGGTGGCTGAAAAGTTCAATCTCTGGCTCCAATTCTGCCTGGATTATGACTTGCCTAAACTTTTAGCGGTTATTTTGTAGAGTTGCTTCGCTCTATCGATGGTACACTGGTACATTAAGTCTGCTAAGAAAACAAAAAGGGTTGATTTATTCGAAAAGAGATTAGTTTTGAGACTATCCAATCTAACGATTTGTTCATATGTCGTTTATATATGCACTAAGTGAGGATTTCTCGGTAAATAGTGCGGTGCGTAGATACTGTATTGTGCGCCTGCAGAAGCGGTAGCGCTTGCTTGTGAACAGTTGCCGCAGAGCGAAAATTCAGTTGATATCAAGTGTTTCTTTGTTCTCATCTTTCATTTCCCAGGTATTGTATCGTCTGTGAGTTCAAGTGTACCTCGCTGGATGCATCGCATGAAGTGTTTGTAACGTAACCCTTCATCTCTTTTCTATCAAAAATGTTTCTTTACCACGATAATAGGGTTTCTTCAAGTCAAAATGCTCACCAACAGTGGATCTCTCCTCACCTGAAAGCAACAGTATTTCGCATCAGTACTCCATGTGATAATGAAACGTCCAATATGACAAAAAAAAACTTCCTAGCCTCGTAAAGAAACGTTCAACAGAAAAGAGATGAAAGAAGGAGTTACGCATAAACACTCAATGCGATGCAGCAGGAGGTAAATCTAAGCTCAAACGACGATTTTACTAGACAAAACAACAAAAGCTGCTTTTTAACTTCTACTCTAGTCGATTGAGGCATACCTGAAAAATGAAGAGTGAGCAAAGAAAACACTAAAATTACATGGAATCTCTCGTCCGCAATTGTTCGCGCGCAAGTGTTACCGCATCTGCAAACTTATTAACGTTACCAGAAAATTTACTCGATTGTAATTCCATTCAGAGACGACTGCTTCATTTTCTTCGTTATTGTGAGTAGAATTATGTGGAACTATAATTCGAGGTGGCTTTGGCTTCGAAAGTTATGATAAAATGTCTTTGTAGCTTTCTCAAAACTCTACATCATATTCGCCATGACTGTGGTTCATGCATAACACACGTTTTATTTTGAACTTTCTTCTTGATGTACTCATATACTTCATTTGTAAGCTGTACTTTGACAGAATAGCTAACCTTGTATTTTTGAACGTAATTGACCGACTGTGAACTCAAATCTTTTGTTACTTTTGCCCGTCGCCTTTAGTAACCATCGTATGAGTTCTATACTTTGTTCCCTTTTTTGTATAAATTCCAATTTTTCGCTCTTTGTAAAGTCCAGAGTTCCTGTGCAGACAAGCTTGTGGTAATTATCAACAAAACCATTGTAGTTTTCACATTTATTATACATTTTTGTTCTTATATGAGCTTCATGGTATTTTCAGGAAGCTATTACCCTATTTTCAGGTGTATAAGCCGCACCCTTTTCACTCTAAGGCCCATATGCACGTACATCCCCCGGGAGGGGAGGGGATCTGAGAGGGGAAGCCGCCATATCTCGCTGCTCTAGATATCTTTCTTCCTTCTTCTCTATCGTGCTTATAAAGGTTCTCATACCCTTATACCTGCGCATAATGGATGCCAGGTTACTGCTATACAAGATTAAATATTCGCTATTTCTTCCGATCCGGGGATCCCCAGAGGATCATCTCACATTTTCAAAGTCATTTATCTTCCTGAAAAATCAATGAAGACACTGCAAAATTGTACTGAAGATATATTACGACACTGCTGAGCAATTCCGACAGAAGAAATGGAATCTGAAGATTTTGATTTTTTCGATAATCCCTGGCTCGCGAGCAGCGTTCATCGAAGATTTTGATATCTTGAGATTTCACCCATTTCTGCCATAAACATGTTCAGCAGTATTGTAGTTTATCCACAGTACAATTTTGCAGCGTTTTCATTGATCTTTCAGGAAGATAAATGACTTTGAAAATGTGAGATGATCCCCTGGGGATCCCCAGGGGATCAGACGAAGTAGTGAATATCTAATCTTGTATGGAAGTAACCTGGCATCCGTTATGCGCAAGTATCAGTGTATGAGAACCTTCAAGACCAAGACAGAGAAAGAAGAAGAAAGATACATAGACTAGCGAGATATGACGCTTCCCCTCTCAGATCCCCTCCCCTCCCCGCGGGAATGTACGTGCGTACGGGCCTAAAGGCGCACACGTCAAAAGACTGCCTGTTACGATGGGGCGCGTTAAGTGAGAACAAAGCGCGAGAAAGCGACCGCTTAGCGAGGCACATGCACAGCGGCACGCCTGAGTCTGCTCGCGTTTAGAGCAAAAAGGGTGCGGCTTATACACCTGAAAATAGGGTATATTAGGTTGGAAATAAAGTTCTGCCACTTCTTCTCATAATTACCAAAAATGAAAGCGAATGCAAGGGGCGGATGAGTGCCTAATGTGCGATGGCCCCAGCTCCAGATGTTATTCAGCCTGAAAGGTAATGATCAATTGGAAATAAGTACCCAGAAAGGAGAAGAATCCGTTGCGCTCAAGTCTGCGAAAAGGCACATTTTTCAGATCATAGGGAACTCGAGACCCTCTGCATGGTCTAATAAAATGAATCCGTCTACTACTCGCTCCAATACCTGGACCATTTTCCAAGCAAGAAATAGCTCATCAACTTTGGGGCTCAAAAAGTCGATTTCTCCACCTGTTACGAAACGCAGCCAGCGCCGCGCAATATACCTAACCAGTAGTCTAAGCTTTGAGATCGTTCAGACCGCACCGGAATCAGTCCGAACCCGCAATACGTCCAAATCCGCCCAAACCCGCCCAAATACGTCCGAATCCGCCCGAACCCGCCTGAACGCCGGAACTGCCAAAGCGCAGCGGATATGCGGCAAATTGGCATATTAGAGCACGCGTGGAATACTGCGCGCATAGTGCATATATCTTACAAGGGGAGAAAGGTTGGTCGAAGTGGGCTTTTGAAATGAGATGTATACTGCCTTGTAGAGGTTGGAACGCTGATTCCAAATCTACCTTTGCTATCTGCTGCGGGCTTCTGGGCGCCGAGTTATGAAGGTTTTTGTGAGTAAAAATCTCAATGCAAAGATAGGGTAAAATCAATCGCAACTTTTTCCCAATGTTCAAATGAGGCAGCAGCGAATCGGTATACTTGAATCAAGGATATTTGTTGCACCGAGTGACCCGACTACCAATTAAGCCCTATAAAAAAATGTTACGACTAATTTTAGCCTACTCTTGCTTTCAGATTTTTACTCACAAAAACCTTCATAACTCGTCGCCCAAGCCCGCAGCAGATAGCAAAGGTAGATTTGGAATCAGCGTTCCAAGCTCTATAAGACAGTGTACATCCCATTTCAAAAGGCCACTTCGACCGAACTTCGTTTCCTTGTTAGTCACACGTAGCTCGACGTTACATACCAATCTTCTTTTGCGACTATTCCGATATTAGAAGGATCAATCGCACGCGTGTTTCAATACGCCAATTTGCATGCAACTTGCTGCGGTTTGGCAGTTCAGGCGGGTTCGGACGTATTTGGGCGGGTTTGGACCTTTGGACGTATTCAGACGGATTCGGACGTATTCGGGCGGGTTTGGGCGGGTTCCGGCGCGGTCTGCACGATCCCTTTCAGTTGGTCATGTGCTGAAACTTTAGATTTGGGGTGCACAAAATATCGCTAACTGACAGCCACTCATGATGAAGATATAAATTGAACATTTTAGCTCAACCTCTATTGAAACTTCCTTTGCAATCTAATAATTGAACATATCCAAAAGTACTGGATCTTTCAGAATGTATCATATTCATACCTCGACACCGCCTAGTTCATCCGCATCGTTTTCCTTGATTATCCTCTTCATTCTTGTACTGCTGCATAACTTATGAAGTACAAGTCTATTCAAAATACCACCTAGGTAGGGTATGGTTAACATCTTTCTTTGTTTGATAATAAGTTTATCATTTCTTTCCCAAAATGGTGTAGCAAGTAATGCATATATCTAACATTTATATTCGAACGATGACACTGTGAAAATGGGACTGAATGTATAGCCTATTAGCTTGATTCTTCTATTGAATTTCCGGAAATATGTAAAAAGTCCGTTACCCTGTAAAGTATCTTTAGTAGTCAAAACTTCTTCATTTCTGCCAAAACATCTTTTTATGTTTTTTCTTCTTTCTTCTATATTTTGTTATTGACTGATCATCTAAGGTAAGGTTGATTTTTGTTTTCTACAGGATCTATATCGTCTGAAATATTACCAAATCCTTTACTCTGGTCATTGAAACCAAATGGATACTCGGTATATACCCATGAACTGCACCCACTTATTCTCTATCTCTTACATGTTAGACATTTGGCATTTTCTTCATTTTCAATGTAATTCAAAATGTCTATGCTTATATTCTCAGGATCGTGCCCTGTATTTTGAAAACGTTATGAATATGTTCATGTTACCCTTCCAATATTATATTGCTATGCTAATCAATTCTCGATCTCAATTTTTTCTTTCTCCATGTACTGCAATGTGAAACATGTTATTAGGTTGGCTAAAAAATAACTTCGTTTTGGCATAATCATCATAGAATTTCTTGCTGTTTTCTATCCATGATTCTTTGTGGGAAAGTAAATCAAAGATTCCTCTATCACATATCAAATATTCAGGATTTTCTACCATCAGTAAAGACAATTATGCCTCAACACGGCGAAATTTCGAAAAGGTCAATTCTTTAACTTCCTAGGTTTCATTTCCATGCCGTAATGGATGTAAAGAAAAACAGTTTGATATTTGGATACAGAGGAGTTTTCCCTATTTAGTGAATAACAAAAAAAGTTGTGATCTGCCACTTCAAAAATTTCACCATGAAAACCAAATTTCTTCATACTTGCGCATTATGGAAAAATTGCGCTTTCTTACTTCTTTGCGGATTTTTTTCCTTGGAAGATAAGTTTTACTCAAACAAATTATATGCTCCAATACTTATTGAAGGCTCTTTCCAGAAATACCAAACATTGGACAAAAATCTGTCTGCAGCATTTGTAAGAGCTGCAAAAGCGACCGGACTTATTTAATAGGCAACCTAATATTATATGTATTGATTTTGTCCACAGTTAGTTTTCTCTTTGAATTAATAATTCTTCGTTGAAGCAAAACTGTTAACACGTTTCGGACCGGTGCTGCACATGGTGCAGCACGCGGCTTTGAAGGATCTTTTTAAACTCTACAGGAGGTTTTCTTTTTGTCCAAGGTTATCAAGTCAAAGGCCTGCTCCTACTTTTCAAATAACTCTGTAGAGCTGTGCCGCCGATATTTGTTTAGGAGATATGAGGACAAATCGAACAACAGTTGCAACGGCGGCGACGCGAACGACGCGTGCGACGTCGCGACGTCGCAACTTTTCCTTGCTCCGAATTCAAGGAGAAAAACCGTGATTTCAATAATGATGTGTATCGTGTATAGCATACACACTTTTGGATACAGTTAGAAATTGAGTTCTTGTTTCTATCTTTCAAGAAAGCGCGAAAGTCCTTCACAGGCGACAAAATTCAAACACTTCGAATTCATTCAGAACTTTGCGTTACGATATCTGACATGTTGATTACAGATGTAGCACACAGTCTGGGAAATAAGGTTCTTTGTTGGCTAACGGCTGAAAGTGCCTTCTTTTTCGCCGCGCGCGATTTCGCGGTCCGAAACGTGTTAAAGGCAGTGTCTAAGCAAAAAGTCGATTTTGAGATTTTGTGCTTACCCGGGCCTATTCGCCATGCTGAATCCGATAAACCACATTGGAGAACTCGAACACGGCGAAAAAAGGCGCTAACGCAAGAGGAAATCGGAGGTGGGCGGGGCCGTTCACACCGTGACGTCACTCTCCCTGGCTTCAGGAGCTATCTTCTCGGTTCCGATTTTATGTCATGCGTTTCGCAGTTGGCTGGTGGTGATGTTAGGGTGATTAGCGGAAGCGAGAGATTGCTTCTGAAGCTGGGAGAGTGACGCCACTACTCAGACTTTCGTTGCGTACCAGCGGCGTACCTAAATGGCTTTGCGTACCAGCGGCGTGTGTTTAGCGTACCAACGGCGTTCCTTAATGCGCCCCACCAGCGGCGTACCGTCTTTTGGCGAGCGGCGTTCCGTCAACCCAAGCAAGCGAGCGGCGTCCGATCACATTACCCCACGCTGTAAGCGTAAGCCGTACCCGCATGGGATACGACGCAGTATATATGTATGTGAACAGCCCCGCCCACCTGCAATTTCCCTCCTCCGTTATTTTTTCGCCGTTTTCGCGTTCTCCTGTGTTGATTTTCGGATTCAGCATGGCGAATGGGCCCAGGTAAGCACAATATCTCGAAATCGACTTTTTGCTTGGACACTGCCTTTAAAGTTGGGTTTCTTACAAATGTGGCGCTTCTTTCTTTGACATCTGCTGCCTGTGTAACTATTCAAATCTGGATTATTCACAACCATTTACAAATGCGGACAAGGCATAGGTGTCCCCACGACTAAGCAGCCAGCTAGGTGTCGAAGTGTTCAGACATTGCCTTTCAACGATTAATGATCTGTATAGCAGTTGCTTCTTTCACACATAAACGCCCTATGCGCAACTTTTGCGCTAAAACCGAAACAGCTGACCAATAAAAACGAACCTCGCTCGATCTTATCTCAAGGCCATCGAAAATGATTCCATTTTTACGGCTCCAATCCAAAAATACCTCCAGAGGATCTTCTGGATGCATTACAGGATTGAATCGCAATCCAACTAAAATATTTATATCCATTGACTATTCAAATTTTTGTGAATTACGCGAAATTAATGAAAAGTTGGCGGAGCAAAAAAAGGAAAGAATGAATTGTCTTGACATTTATTGCAGCATAGATGGCAGATAGAAATATGTGCTCAAAACAGCGTAAAGCAACATGTGAGGATGTCACATTTGACGCACTTTACAGCATCTTTTTTTTCCCGGTCAAACATGCCAAAACATTTCAAACTCATGAGAATATGCACTTTGACTAAATCTGTTTTCATCCGAGCAAGAAATTTGTTTTTTCTGAAATGACTAATCCATGTAAGAAAATACTCAAAACGGTTGAGTAATACATACGATACGTGTAGTATAGTATACGTACGATACAAAATGAAAATGCGAGTTTCTTATTTATATGAAATAGTCCCATCTTAAGGGGTAGGTTTGTTTTTGGCAAGATTATGAAGCCTACGTTGAATTTCCGGAAAAAATACTCTATAAGCGAAGCACGAGTATGTACGATACTCAATTGAAAACACATATTTCATTGAGTAATTCGTATTTACTTGGAAAGTAAAGTAGCTTTATGACAAAACCACCGTCTGATACCAAAGATATTTTAGAACATTTGGTACTTGCTCAGGTTTTTATTTGAAGTGTGACTGGAGCGTGACGCTTTTCATCAAACAACATCTAACCCACGTCCTCAAAAAAGTGCTTGTTGATATCTGCAGCTGAATCCCAAAGAACAAAAGTGCAATTGTATATTGAGAGATGGTTATTATGCACCTACAGCATGAAGATCCATAACAAATCTGTTAGGGCATAGATTAGTTGTCCAATACCAAGAAAGTTTATATTCCTTTTGTACAACATTATCAACATTTGCATAAGTGAAAAATTGTGATAAGGCTAAGAAGAAACTTCGTGAATTACGCCGCCCGAATATAGAGGAATTATTTATCGGAGAAAACCACTCTCGGAAGCTGTATTCGTTGCGATTTTGTAGGGCGGAGCAATCCCAATTTAAGGCACAAGGATAGCAATAAAACTATTGAGTAACAAAACTAGGTAACTTGTAGTACATGATGGTAATGGCGATAGAGAACAGCAAGACTGAATAAAGCGAGAAATTAGGCAAGATTAGAATTTTTGCGAACTTATAAGCGATTTAATAATGGGGAATGAAGAAAATCTGAAGGAAACTCGTAGAAAGTCGAGCTCGCTGACGAAGCCACTGCTTAATCAAACACAATGACCTCGAAGAGACTCCTCTTGAGTGAGAGTGAGATACACAAGCACTAGAGATCGTGCGCATTGTAAACGATATAAAGCTTGAACAAAAAAAGAAATACATGCGACTGTACCATAAACCAGCTAACTATAGCTCAACTTACGTAATTAAAAGCAGATGCTGCAGATTAGGTTAACTTTAGTTACACATTAGAAAAATTGGCATCACATAGACAGCACCAATAGCACATCAGAAGCGGAGTGCAACAAAACAGAAACTCTAAATAACACGTGGGCTCCAGAGATCGTTCTTAGGGTGATGAATGGGAAACGCCGCCAGCAGTGAGCAGAGGTGGACGTGAACCGTATAATTTTTGTAGTAAAGTCACATGTTTGATTGAACGTTCGATACGAGCTCGTTCTCTGGAAAAAAACACGCAATTTCACAAGTTTCGCAAGTATCTACGTAACTTCACTAACTCTCGTATGCTTTCTACTGCCTCCTTCAGCATATTTGCAGCCTTCTTCACCATTAAATCGCGACATTTTTCCAGTTCTTTGTCCATAGTGTTCAAGGCGGCATCGATATTTGCATCCGAGGTAGATGTAGAGCACTGCAAAGAAAACCTTTCTAGACAAGAAAAAACATCTGAAGAATCACGAGAATGAAAGTTGAACATCCAAATTTGTGAAAAAAATCGAATTACGATTCCCAGCTTGAGAGAATTTGATCCGAAAAATGAACAGAAAACTGTTGGTCGGTAACAGCAGTGTTTACGGGAAGAAAAAAGCCGACAAAAAAAGTCGCGCCAGGCAGCTCGTTCGCTTCCCGTGTTTAAAAATGAATAGCTAGCTAATTGTAATCGATGGCGAAAACAATTAGAAAAATGTTGCGCTGCAACGATGCGAGCATAGCAAGCAAAACTGAAAAGGAACATGGCTGCTGTTTTGCAAACCTCATCCTTAAGAAGTAGTTGCATCGAAATGTAGTAGAAGAATTAGCGAACTGAGACATAGTAGAACTGAATGATGTAGATTCACCTTAGGCTCATTATCCATCTCACACACCTGGTCGACCAAACTACAAATAACTTCAGCAACATCTTCCCATTCTTCAGCAGCATCTCCTTTACGCTGAAAATTGAAAAATTCGTTGGTGTACTCCAAATTAGTGCTTGAAATTCAAACCTCATTCATAAGAACTCGGAATGTCGAATTTAGCGTGTCTTCGGCTACTGTGATATCAGCAACACCTGCACCATGACCCGTTTCGTCATCTAAGGTTACAACTTCATCCGGATATGGGACCGGGTAGAGATTACATCGTTCACAATGCTTATTGTTCGGTAGACCACCAATCTTAGAAGTTCCAGCACCTAAGCGAATGAGATTAAGAAGAAAGGAATGAAGGTTAAAGTCTTATGAAACAACCTGTAGTTTGGATATTATCGAATCGTCCCCACCACAGAGGGACATCTTCCGTGTAGTAAATCTCCACCCATACGCCAGCATTCACCCAGTAAGTAGGTGGATAATGAGGATGTGGAGGTGGGATTACCTATGAGTTCAGCATCAGTAGGTCATTTCGATAAGAAAAGCTCTTACTCTTACCGTAAGAAAAGGATTATCCTCAGGGTTCATTTGATAAAGTCTTGTGTAACAGTAACTGAAAAAGTTAATATGAGCACTGCTCGAAGTCCTTAAAGTGAAATCAAAATCTACTTGTCGGTTTCTGAACCCTTCCGGCATATGACTACCGTAACATAGTGTGTGTAATAGTTGCAATAAAAATCGGCAAAGTAAAAGTTGTTGAGCGCTGGATCCAATAAAGCACCAGGTGGTACAAGCATTCGAACGTTTCCAAAAGGCGAATGTGTGGGCAAAGAGCCGTCGGCATAAACTCGAGCAGAGAAGAATAAACCTAGAAAAGCTTCTTACTATCACTTTTGTCACGATCATAAACATGTATATTCTCCATGCTCCAATAAACATGTATATTCCTCATGCTCCAACATCACAAAAACAGGAAAAAATTATAAAATGAAGAAAAAGGATATTAACCGATGCTTCAAATCAATCCAGAAATCCGAAAAATAAAACGTTCTACATTGATTTATTACTTACCAGAGATCAAACCATTGATTCGATTGGCAGGTTGTCCATTATTATCTTTGATATACTTCTCCATGATATCATCACGACAAGCATGAATTTCATCCCAATATTCTCGAGGCTTGCATCTAAATCAGGATATTATTCAACATATCTGACGGGTTTTATTCCAAATTTCTTGAAGAAATTTTAGAGTGTTGATATGTTTAACATGAGTTACATCGTTTCCATCATTGTGATACCGGTTGAAAAAGAAGTGAAAGAATATACGCGGCGAAAACGTACTAAAAGATAACGACAGTATGAAAATATGTTGGGTTAAAAACTGCTTACCTATACAAGACCTCAAACGCTTGCATTTGCGTTCCAACAAAGTTTACACACTTGAAGTACATCTGCTTCATCTCGTCATAACTGAACACTAAAGAAAGCATGTTTACAATTCCAATGATCCACAAAGCGACAGCTCGTACCAGCTTTGATTTCTTTGTATACAGCTGCTATGACGCTATTATCCTTGACATTCTCACATTCTAATCGAATACTGAATAAAGCTTTACACTTTTTGGAGAACAGATGTTAAGTGCAGTACCAGTAAGTGTTTCCTGGAGTTGTCCTGAGTTCCCGTTGAGTTTGCGCCCAAGACTGGTCGAAAACCCATTTTCGCCCTGACTCTTTGTCTTGCACTTCTAATAGGTATCGGATGGTTTCTAAAATAGATCTTGGTTGATAAAAATATAGAAAAACGATGTTGAACCCATTGCAGAACAAAGGGAAATAAAATTTTCATGACAAAGTGTCGAATAGCATGTAGAAATAATTCACAAGAAAAGCTCACTCAAATGAGTCGGCGGTTTCCAACTGATATCCACCTTTTGTGCACTGATTTCACAGTTCAAGATCAATGGATCGGGTATGGAATTTTCGGAAAAATCGGCAAACAATCCTCTTGTGATCGTTGCCCGAGCTTCTCGGAACTCAGACCGATGGTGAGGGAGATCTAAAACCGACAAGTTAAAAATACTGGCAAGGTATTCTGTGCCAAAAATAAATACGCAATAATTAGAATGATATATCTATCAACCTGCATGAGGAGTCGGAATTGTCTGATTGAAGAAACTGACTCCGGCATATGGATGAGGATGATAAGCCGTGCGTCGAAGTTCAAATCCACTCCTGAAAGATGTTCCTTATAAATTTTTTCTAGTGATTTTCTAAGGGAACGGCCATAGGTTGTCGGTGTTGTCGATGTTGTCGATGTTGTCGGTGTTGTCGGTGTTGTCGGGGTTGTCGGGTTTGCCGAGGTTGCCGGTCGTTGTAGGACCTCATGATAGCCTCCACGTTTCGCGCGCTCTCTAACTGTCTCTGACCCCGACAACTCCGACAACACCGACAACATCGACAACACCGACAACACCGACACCGAAAACACCGACAACATCGACAACACCGACAACATCGACAACCTATGGCCATTCCCTAAGATGATAGTGATCTATAATAATCCAGCAACGTTTCAATGATGATGAGTTGTCAATTGATATGAATCGAAATAAAAAATAAAAAATACCTAGAATTCAAGTAAGATGAGTGCAATCCACTTGGTCCAGGTCGCCAAGTAGTGTTTCTCAGCGGCCCTTCAGTCGTCCATTGTCCATAGGGTCGCCAGGTGTCAGGACCCCAGTTCATGAATACCCTGGAATACAAGGACTCTGTGTTTAGAGTCAAGAGCAAAAGATTCAATCAGAGCAGTGGCAGAAAGGAAGGAAAAGGAGCTTTAGGCCTCGGGCAGAGTTCACGCTACTTGTCGCCGCGATTCTCCCAATAGGACAACTGCTACAAGTGCATTGCATGCCCTTCGTCTTGCATTTCGGTTGTGATAATTAATGGCGATTGGTCGCTTCGTAAGACTATCACTACCGAAATGCAAGATGATCAGCATGCCATAAACTTTGTCAGTTGTCTTGTAACAAGAATCACAAGGCGATAAAATCGCGTGATGTATGCCCGGCCTTTTAGGGATGGGAGGCATTTCGGAAATGTTCTAGATGCTACAAATACAATATCAAGCGAGCGGTATAAAACGATCACAGACGATGAAGTTTTGGAATTTCATAAAAGTCAAAGTGAGCCTCTTAGAAGAGAAGCCTTATGAGATTTTTTAGGCGCACAGTTAGCTCACTTTATAGTTTGCGAAAATTATGGAGCTCCCTACACAAGAATCCAAGCGTCATTCCAGATTTTTGTCGCGATTCCGTACTCGAAGAAAAAATATCTTGGACCTCCACAAGAAGTAAGTAGCCAAGACTTGACAATTTGTTCTGCCGCAGAATTCTCATACCAGGAAGCAAAACATCACTGGGATACGCAAATCAGCTGCCGCAAGCTTGCACTGCAGGTGTCGTGCAAAAACTGCACTATCGGCTGAATCATCGTGCTTCAAACGAGCAACAAACGAGTGGTTTTCATGGGAAAGCGTGAGCTGTACGTCCTTATCTGAGCAAAAAATCTAGAGAACAAGCTCACTTCGAAGACACTAACCATCGCAATAATTCAAACGTAACGAGCTGTGATGACAGGCGCCAGATTTATCCGCTTGACCACTTCATCCACCTCTCTGATTGGTCGACCGATTCAAGCAATCATGAAGGGGGCTTATGTTCAACCGGTTCGCCATGCTATTGGTCAAATCACTGAAGCGACCAGGAATGATATCCACGAAAGTCCATAATGGAGGAAAATGGACTTTCAAGCCCCATTTTATTCGTTCGCGGTAAAGAGTGGTCGGAATCTGCATTCGCTCGCGTTATCCAAAAATTTTCATCCCATCGCAACCACGAGGCAAAGCGGTGAAATGAAAATGATTTAACCCTACCTGAGCTCTCGCTTGCGAAATGATGACGTCAAAAGTCCATTTAGAATGGGGCAAAATGGGATTTACCTCCATTTTAAATGGACTTGAAAGCCCATTTTACTCCCAGCAGCAAGGTGAGCTGGGACTAAGCCCATTTTTGACCTTTTTGCATATTTTTGATTGCGATTTTTTGGGAATGTGTTCCTCAACCTATCTTAAGGTGATAGGTGAGTGGAAAAAGTTTCATGTCTTTTATGAAGTCTGAAATAAGTGTTTCTTTCTAAACCCATAGAAACGCTATAAAAACATAGAAGAAGATTAAATTCACCCAAATATTCGCTAACAAACCCAAATGCTTCTTAATATCAGGTCAATCAGAAAATTCTTATGTAAATCAAATAAAGTTTGTTAACTCTTCAAATCATCAACCAAAGCCAAATTCATGATTTGTAATCTAAATTTTGAAAAAAAAATGTACTTCAATGTAATTACTTAGAAGCTATCTTTGGCTAATTTCGTAGAACCGAACCCCAGAGACAGCATTTTAAACGCAATTTTGAGTTTGGTCTGCAAGAATCACTGAAGTGCCGCTAGCTAGCTAGAGAAATTCTGTGAAAAAATTCTTACTAGATTAGTCCATACATTGAACTGCTTAGAGTTATAAATACTAGTGCTGAAAGACAAAGAAAAGCTAATATAGAGCACTTCGAAGTCATCTTTTGAGATTAAAAGTTTTTGCGACTTGAAAGTAGTTGAGTTGTAGTGTAGTACAAGGTTTTTTGTAACGAACATTTTGGTTCACAGTTTGCAGTGCAACTCCAGCCAAAGTTTGCTTTTTTGCAGAAATCCCCACATACGAATTCGATTTAATGTGGATTCGTAGAAGTTTTGAAGCGAAGGCCCGGATATTACATGAATTTTAGTCTTGGAAGTGATTTAGATGCATAGTCATCGATAATAAATGGCATTCTGTGAGGTGTGACGAAGTGGGAAAGAATAGAATAGCCACTTGAGTGACATTGTAATGTTAGGTCAGCCTAGTTAGATATCGACCACTTAGTGGAAATGAGTTTGCAAGAGTGAGCAAACAGGTGGAGACAAGTTGGAGAAAAGTTAGTTGAAGCATTTTTTTATGGAATGAATGTATTCGCGAATGCGATATCTTATCGCACCGCATGGACTAAGTCCATTTTATTCGCACGAAAAGCCCATCGCGGGGACTTTCGTGGATATCATTCCAGCTAATGGGTTGCATCGGATAGGCTGCCGAAAACAAAAAGTCTGCCAACACTGTAAAAAATGGTCTTTACTCGTGCAACTCGAAATGTGCGATCTTTGGCCATTTTTAAGCACAAATGTTATGAGATCGAAGAGACCTATACTTAAAGGCGGTGTCCAGGTAGATCTGGACATATGGAGATCTCACTTGGACAGTAATTTTGGGACTCTAAGACACTGCCCAACCATCAGCTCAGATTGTGCTCTAACGGCTGAGATAATCGCCTTCAAACTGGACCTCCAGATCGTATTTCGCATGGATTCATGGCGCGACTCATCAGTTTCGCGCGTCCTCGCGCGAAAGCATGCAAGTACGATGCAATTCGTCCAATAATACGATCCTGGGGTCTAGTTTGGATGCGTATATCTCAGTCGTTAGTGAGTCATTTGCGCTGCGGCTTGAGCCGTGTCTTATTGGGGCCCCAGAATTACTTTCCACGTGAAATCCCCATAGGACCAGACGTTACCTGGACGCTGCCGAACGCCTATGGCGCGCGCGATTCTTGATTCGCTTGATCACTTCATCCACTTCGCTACTGGTCAAATCAGCAAATTGACCAGTGGCGAAATGGATGAAGCGGGGCAAGTATGGCGCGTTCCATATATGGACACTGCACGCAGAAAATGGCCCCATCACGTCCAAGTAAGTGTAGTAAAATGGACGTATAGGCAATTCAGAGGGAAAGCGGCTGGAAAAACGAAATTGCATTTGATCTAGGAGACGCAACTGTGTCCTGTCATTGCGCATGAATACGCGCGCAATGACAGGACAATAGTATACGCAAAAGCGGTGCTGCTCCATTGGCACAAGGAGCATTTTGTCCTGTAATAGGCGGATTATGACATGGCAACAGATGTAGTATATAATAATCAGAGTTTATTTGAGACAACCTGTATTCGGTGGTGCAGTGATAGATATGTGGAAATTAGGCTGATATTGGGAGATGATGCCAAAACATTGGCACAAGCACCCACCTAGTGCAAAAATGAAAGAGTTCATCCACAATTGGCTAGTGCAGCTGAAACTAAACTTCCTTATAGTGGTATGTTGAATTGTATGACGGCTATCTTCAAAAGCATTTCGCACTCTGCGCAAGTCATTATCTAGCGACTATACACGCCAACCACTGTATTAAAGCTTTAAATTGAGAAATTACACGACCTGGATTTATGAATGAGTAACGCCTAACGCTAGCACTTTTTCAAGCGCTTTTGAGGTGATAAAATGAGTCATAATAGGACTAAGGCATACGCTCTAACTCAAAATAAGTGGTCCGAGTTGATCAGCGCAAAAACCAAAGGAGAAATCTCGGCAATTCACATCCGTATTCACCAGCAACAACCTTGCTCGGCCGTCAATTTCATTGCGTCCTTCAAACTGGACGCCGCGTCTTTGAAAAAAAAAGAGCTCTTCCAACGCATTCGATCATTTTTTCATTTCTTGCAACCAGTCATTATTGGTTTTCCTGTTTCTTTGCTCCTTCTAATGATGATGTTGAAGATTTGCATGTGATATCCTTTGGAGGGCAAGTTTTCGGCTCCTTGATGCGCTATGGATGACGATGTGAGTTTTCAAGGAAAAGATGTTTTTTCTGTTTGCAGAAGCTTCATAGGGTTCACTAAAGCTTTGGGTTTTGTTGCAGACCTTTGCTGCTGAATCGTCATCTTCAGGAACGAATGCGGGTACCTCATCTTGCTCCAATCCTCCTGTAAGTTTTTTAAATTTCCATATAGCTTTTACTTGACTCTGTATTCTTTACCAAATCTGTCATTACTAATGCCCATCCCTACAGAGCTCCGAAATCTTGTATATATATATATACTTCTTACCGCTCATCTCTGCTGTGGTCAATTTTGAACTGTGTGCAGGATCCCAAACAGGCAAAAGGGCGTTTCGACCTTGTATATTTTAATTTAATTGATGGAGTGTTATGCTCAGAAATGACAACAATTTGCTCCAAAGGGAGAATCAAGACGCAACGTCATTTTTGGCCTACACTCTATAGATACAATAAGAATGGCCTGATCATTTGACTGTCTATTAGCGGTTTTTGAAGGCCACTGTATGCATTCGCGCATATTCAGATTGACTGTTACCTCCTGCATTTCCTGGGGGCAATCTAAATACGTTTATTTAACTTTCATGTAGAATTCTACCTATTATCTGGAAGCTTAAGACATGATAGATTGTCTCATTAGACACCTTGGGAGAAGAATTTGGGAGATTTTTTCGATTTTTACACAACATTTATATCTGCTAATTCAATTTCATGAATTGCAATACAAAACGGATCCATCAATCACAACCTGTATACGAAAATTTAACAGCAGATAAGAATTCATGTGTGCGCACATGACGGTTCGAGTTGTAAACCCTGTAAAAATGTTATGTATTTCTTTGCAGAAACGCGTACCCGTCTGGAAGCGACATGTCTTTCCGGCTACACCAGTTGGGGTTCGTCATTCTCGTTACACATGATTTTTCGAGGGATTGATATTGCTTACAGAGCTCTGATCCATTTGAACTGCCGTCTAACCTTACCCCAGCGTTGAAGCGGGTCAAATCGCGAGCGAAACTGCCTGCGAGAGGATCTGGAAACACTGCAAGTCTTTCCAAGGTGAGCTTTAGTTATTATCTCTGGATCTCATTACAACAAGTTATCAGATTGAGTTTTCAACTCTTTTGTTCGTTTATTGCCTTGTCACAGTTTTGAAGAAGTTTGCACTGTTTAAGATATTATGTCTGACATCTTTTATTTAGTTACCTACGTTCAATAAGCCTCACTGCTCTTCGTCTATAGGTGCTCCATCACTAAGATGTAGTCCTCGAAAAAATTCCACTCTTGCAAAGGTAGCTACATTATGTTGTTATTCTTCCGTTGACGTTTTTATTTTGAGACGAATTCGGATTGTGACGCTAATTTGGGTGAGAAGAGCTCCTCGGAAGTCCGTACGAATGTTGTTCTTAATAGCGACGACTGTAAGGCCGATCTCCCAACTCCATCTAGAGCTAGGGTAAGTATGGCTTCATATATCTTGCACACGTGTCCATTTTGAGCGAAAGTGCTGCCTTTTTCAGAGCAATCTTTTCCCAACCACACTGCCACCAAAGAAACCTCGTTTATCCTTCATGCATATAAGCACCTCAGAGCTCAGACCGAACCGTAAGCCAGTCATTGTGGAGCCTAACTACGAGGTAAAGCATCCAAAGTTATTCGACGTTTTGTCAATCTCTGCTTGTAGCAAATGCCTCCTTCAACAGAAACTTTATCTCGCATGCCGAAAGCATACAGACATAGCAGTATCAACCTAAGGTTAAGTGACAAAGACAGTGCCTTGGAGGGATCGTCTCAGAAGGATGTAGTTGAGGTACATTTATTTCCAGGAAACTTATGTTTTGGATGCAGTCGAAGTTAATAGTATTTCAGTCATGCGTTCCTTCCAAGCCACAGTTATCACATAGTCGAAGTACAATGTGCTTGAGGCTCACGCCGGAAAGGGATATGCGGGAACGGAGGAAATCTGAAGCTGAGAACAACGTGGTGAGTGTTTGTTACTTCTCGTTGTATACTTTTGGCTATGTTTTGATTTGACTGTGACTTTGATTTTTGTTTTGATTTTCTTCGTTTCATCGCTAATATAAATTCGTTCATCTCTTCCCCTTTTGCTAGGATCATTTTACCCAAATGATGCTCAAGATTCTTGACTAAAACTGAGTTCCACGTGTATTCGTTTTAGCACCAGTCGCAATTACAGAACAATTTATTTGGTGGATGGTTTGCTATACATTTTTCCCCTTACATTGTTGGACTGTGTGTCCGTAATGAAAAATCGTTTTGACAGCCAGCAATTCTAGTCCTTCCATCTCTGCACATTTTCTGACTCTTTGAGCTGGATTTTAGAGTGATAAAAGTTTTTGTAAAATTTCATCTAGGCGACCACTCCCTCTGCTACCCCAAAGAAAAGACTGCAGCCAAGTGCAACGATGACAGATTTGCAATCGTCATCAGTGACACCTACTAGGCGAGGAAGACGTATCTCGTTATCGGAAGCTAATGAGAAGGTAAAGGTCTCTCGGTCATACGCCTTTTTAGCAGTTTTAGACCAATCTCTATGTTTTATTGTATCTCAGAATATCAACGTGTGCTCCTTGCAGAAGTTTCCTCCTAAGCCACTCCGTAAGCGAAGTTCTAGCCTTGATATACGAAGCCAAACTAGTCTGACTGCCGCTTCTCGAAGAAGGAGCGAGAACAGAGTGAAGCCAGTGAGAATTCCATCAATATTTGATTAAGCTGTCCTTTTCATTTCTTTCGAATGAATTTGTTGTGGTTGTACTGCCAAAGCCTGCTGCTGTGCTCATTCAATTCTCCGAACTTACCTGACAAGCCTTACTAGTCACTTATCGTGCAGTTCCAGGTCAGTGAGAGAGACGCCTCTTCAGCCATGCCGAACACAGCCGCTTTGGATGCAGGGACTGCAGTTTATGACATAAAAGAAGTGAGTTAGTGGGTATTATCCGTTCATTTACCTGGTATCGTAGCAGTCTTCTAGGCACACAACGGTGATGTCGAGGGGACTTCTGAATCGAACAAATTGGTCACTGCTAGAAACATGCAAGTCAACGATGGCCCAGAAAAGGCAAACACTGACCTAGTAGTCGCTGGTGCGCTTTATGATAGTTTTTTTCCTTTAATAGCCACATTCCTACTAAGCTTGTAAGGAGATTGCCAGAAGTCAAAGTGGCCAATTCAAACAAGCTGCATATCATTGGATGCAGCATAGAACGCTGACTCCAAATCTGTATTTCATATCTGCTAAACGCGTTTGTAGGCGAAGTTATGAGCAGTTTTATTACAGTAAACGATGCAGACAAACTGCGAATTAGACAAGTTATGGCCTTTTCGGCTTATCTTTGACTATTATAGGCTTTATAAAATAGGCTAAGGCATGTTTTTCCCAGCATTAGGCCAAACGCGGATCTGTGGCTAAATTTTCACCTCGCATAAAGATGTCTCAGCAACATATTGGCCTTGCACATCCTCCACAAAGGCGTACGTCAATGCGGGGGACAGATTTGGTGTCAAAGCTCTATGCTTCCTGCATCCAATAGTATGCTTGATTGGATCGCCTCTAGCAACGAAACCCATTTACTCGCCTTTCCCTAGAAGCGTCGCCTCCACCAGCCACGACTCACTCATGATGCGCTTTGCACAATCCAAAATTAAAAGTGAAACAGAATAACATTTACACAAGATATCTTGTCTTGCCAAATTTTGCGAAAATTCTTTGCGACAAAGTAATTTTCTATAACGATAGTGCGAAGACGTCGAATAGTCTTTACTAGCAAACTCCCCATGCGCCTACCTTTTACCAAAAAAACTAAATTTTGACAGAACTTACGTAACCGCGATCGCATATAGTACACATGATGCCGAAAAACATAGTCTTGAGACAGTTCGTTTGTCCATACAGTCTAGAGGCTTTTTGCATGGAAAACTTGGTCTGTTGACGAACTGGTTTCTGGTATTTGTCCTCAGTTTACGAAAAAAGAAAGTTGAGACGGTACCATATATCAAAACATCCGTCTCGTGAATGCCACAAGAACATGGTCGCATGCTTTTCTTTATTCTTCTTGTCCCTCTCGATTCTACCCACAAAGGACGCCTTGAAAAGTGCAACAAAAAATTACTATGTGTTACGTATTGCCTGTCCACTTCGATTTCTGCTCATTCTTTTGTTGATGTTTTTTTTGTACTTTCACGTGAATACTTACTCTGATCATAAGATATGTGAATCATTTACATCTGCAGTTCATCGTGATTCATCATGCATTAGTCGAAATTCATGACTTCTGCTTTTATCAAAGCTGTGAAGTTAAGTTATCATGCGTTAGTCGACATTCACGGCTACTTTTTGTCAGACCGTTGATCTTCATCTTCACATTCTGAGCACCACGCCAGTGCGAGATATTCGTAGCAACCAAATATCATTCATTCTCTGACTAGGAGACACGAGACGCTTTGCGTGCGTCTGATTGACAAGTCCATGGTTGCGTTTCAAAGCAAGAAATCCGTGAAAAGACATGTTCGAACTTGTTAAACAACGCAAGTTTGAACATGTTCTTCCATAATTCCTTATAATGATTTAAAGGCAGTGTCTCACTAGAATTTGGATGTCGGGATTTTTGCAAATTACAAGTCTTCTCGACCTTGTGCAACTCTAAACGGGCTTTCATTTGCGCAAAAACCCCGGAAACCCCGTTTTTCGAGACCCCTTTAGAAGCGACGCGGGCGAGCTTTCCCGCTTCACTCCAGTTCTGGCCACAGGAATGAACACGTCAAGAAAGATGGCGTCGCCTGGAAAGACATGTTGAAACGCGATGGAGGAACGCAGAATTCGTCCAGCGCGAGCCGAAATGCGCTCCGCGAGCCACTTTGAGCCGAGGTTTCTCGATGTAGGAAAGACCTTATAAAGTGGGACTTGGGCATTGGCCTAGTAAGGGGGTCCTCCAACAAACTTCGTGAAAATCTGGTTTACTCTTAATGTGGTGAGACACTGCCTTTAACCCACGTCTTGAAACACACTAAATTGTTAATCAAAGTAGGTATGCAACGCGTGCTTGTATTGTATCTCTTAGGCCTAAGGCATACCTGGCGCGATTCCGTTCGCTGCGCGATTTGGCACAACAGCGACTCTTCGTAATTCGTCGTTAATGCGCTGTCTTTGGTCAGAACTTGCTCCATTTGCAACAACTTACACAAGCTACTCATATATGCATCCGAGAAGCGCGCACGATAAATTTGTAGAAATCTGACAAATCGCCAAGTCGCGTGAAAGTGGCGATTCGGCCGAGTCGCATGAGGTATGCCTTAGGCCTTAGTCAGAGAACGAATGATATCATTGCGGTGCGAGACATCCAAAGCGAACATTTCGTACCACAAGTACGATGTCATGGTTGGTCGTGCTTGAGATTCTAATGAATTTTTCGCTGCTGGAAATCGCCGATAGGGAAAATCTTGGTGCCACTGTAAGAATGTTTGCAAGGGAATTCTTTTTCCATCAAATCACTGCATTTTTGGCCTTCTTGCCACGCCTATTTCAAATCACGATGACTATCCATTCTTATTTTCCTCCATACAACCTTCTTTCATTGTTTATAACTTCCAGAATCCGCGTCCATAGAAGTGTCCGAGGAAGAAAAGGAGAGCGTCGCGGTTGATGGTACAAGCCGTTTTGATATGGCAGGTGCTCTTCCACCTCCGAGCCCATGTTTGGAGGACGCACAAGAAAGTAGTAAACCATTGAGAAATAGTATCGAACTGCGACCGGCTTCGATATCTGAGGACGAAGAAGAAATAGCGAAGCTCATGGAAGAACTTGTAACCGCTGCAGAACAATCGTGTTTTATGGAGTTCTCTGAGCCTGCATTCAAACTTTTGCCGCTTAACATCAATGCTAGGGCTGATACTAGATCTGAAAACTTTACGCCAAGGGTTGGAAATGAAAAAGGTTCGATGGCAATGGTTGATGCATGCTGTTGTTCGACGGAAGCGACGTCGTCAACTAGTGCTTGTCCTGCTGAGATTTCTGCGAATGGTCTGCGCTGTGACAATGTGGAAGTAGAGCAGTCGAGGTAAATCTCTGTTCCTTATTTGTAATTTTTGTTTTTATGGTATGATTGTTCGTTATTGAATTTATTCACCACCCCTCCCTTACCCTAATTTATGATTGAACTCAACACATCATTTAGTATGTCGCAACCAGCTTATAATGTGCAGTCAAAAGCTCCAAATGCCCACACTTCCCCGGATAAGCGAGTGCGATTTAAGACTGTCAGCGTTTATTATTTTGCTCGGACGCAAGGAATGTCGACAGTTCCGAAGACTGGAGAAGTGTCACTAGGTGAGGCTGTTAGGATGGTGTTCTAAACACACATTATTTTGACAATTGAAGGAATGGTTGACAAACACTTCACAAAACGCCAATTTCCACTTTGGTTAGGTAGACGCCCAGAATTGACCTTACCGAAGGATTATGAGGTTTTTTGAAAGTAAATCTTGGTTTTGCAAGCTCGTCAATGCTCATTTGAGGAGGAGTTGTCGGAAGGTGAAGATCCTGGAGACGTGTTTGATCCTGAAGGACTTGAGCGCTGTACCGCTCATCAGTTACCTATGTTTGAGGGCAAAACTCGCATAAAAATGCTGAAGAGGTCTGGTGTTCAGGTGCAGAAGGTGAGCGCATGTTTCAACTATCAATCTCTAGTTTTTTACTTGTTCTAAGGAACACTCCGATATGCATTACATTCTTTTGTCAGGATGCTGTTGAAACTTTGGAATCCATCCGACAATCACGCATCATGTGTGGATGTCAATGTGATGGGATCTGCATACCGGACACCTGTCAATGCGCCTTAGATGGAATTGGCTGTCAGGTGTGATGCTATCCCCTTTACAGTTTCGGATGTCAAACGTGCTGCGATTTTGTAGGTAGATGGTCCAGATGAGTTTGGAAGATCACATCCGTGCTCTTGCACATCGATAGGATGTTCAAATCCTTATGGAAGAATTGAGTTCGACCCAGAGCATGTCAAAAATCACTACCGAATAACAATGATGCGGATGCACCACGCTGAACAGACGGTGAATAACTCAATTTTTACTTGAGACGTTCTTTATCTGTTTTTATTTGGTTGAAGTATAATTGCTTTCGCTGTATGATTTCTTTTTTAAGGGTATTTATGATTCACCTCAGCGAATACGTTTCAACTCTGAAGGAGAGCCTGAATCGGTTTCTCACTTCACACCCCCGCCTATTAGAGTGAGTTGATGTTTATATCTGTACTTGTCCATTTCTAGCGGCTTATCGCTTATCATTTATATCAAGCGATTAAGAATTTGGCGAGAGAATTAGATTTTGTGAGTACCCAATGGGAGAACTTTGAGCGACGTCTGAGCAAATTTGGGAATGTGGCGATTTTTCAAAATTCTCTTGTGGCATAGGTTGCCGGCAACGGTTGCTAAGGTTGCCGGCGTTGCCGGTCGTTAGGACCTCATGATAGCCTCTACGTTTCGCGCGCTCTCTAAGCTGTCTCTGATCTCGGCAACCCCAGTAACCTCGGCAACCGCTGCCGGCAACCTATGGCCGTTTCCTAAGAAAGCCATTACTAGGGCAATTTTTGGTACTATTTCAGAATACACAATCCAAAAATGAAAAATCTTGGATTTCGCTAAAACTTTGTACATAGGGGATTTGACATGCTGATCACGAAAACGACATTTGTTTCGTGTGGTGGTACCCTTTTTGAGGGGTTACGGTAGGCATTATGGGGTCAACTCAAATCTTGCCGAAACTTTGCACAGAGGGGTTATTCGACATGCTGATAACGGTTATCACACTCTTTCCGGCAAGGCAACGTCTCCTGTATGGTTACGGTAAGTGTGTAGGGGTCAGAGATGTAGATTTAGCTGGAATCCGGACTAGAGGGGTTCTTCAGTTCGCTGAACATGTATATCATATCAAATTCGCAAGGTATCGCCATTTTCTTGGGTTACGATGGGTATACGTTAGTCAAGTCAAACTCCCAAATTCGCTTAAAGGCAGCGTCCAGGCAGATCTGGGACCTATGAGGCTTTTACGTGGAAAGTACTTTTGGGGCCTTAACTAAGGCACTGCCCAAGCGGCAGCTCAGGTAGTGCTGTAATGGCTGAGGTATTCCCCTCGAAGCTGGACCCCGCGACCATGTTTCGCATGGATTCATGGCGCGGAGCGTGGATCCTGGCGCGAAACTGCCATGAATCCATGCGAATACGTTCGCGGGGGCCAGTTTCGAGGGGAATATCTCAGCCATTAGAGCACTACTTGAGCCGCCGCTTGGGCAGTGCCTTAACTAGGGCCCCAAAAATACTTTACACGTAAAAGCCCCATAGCTCCAGATCTGCCTGGACGCTGCCTTTGAACTTGACCTAGAGGGGTCAGTGTGGCGGTTAAGAATAACTATAGCTCTGCCAGCCGCTAGCTGCCAGCTGCTCGCGCGCGCAGAACAGCCCGCCCTCACCCATTTATGAAATCGAAAAAAGGATTCTAACTTCGCTTCTTTTCATTGAAACTCGTTTCCTACATTAATTCTTGAAGCTTGCATAATTCACATGCTGAATTGGACACAAAGCTTTCTATCGCGAATTTATGACGATGTAATTGCTGATTATTTCCATCCTTAAAAACTACCACAATCCTTAACTTAAAGCTTACACGAACAAAATCAACGCTACGAGCTGCTGCAAAATGTGGTGTCCGCTGCTGGAGAGGCTACCCGTATACCGTTTATTGACACCCAGGCACTTAGGGTGCCACTATTGCCAGTTAGCTATTCCTGACATATACAGTCTACCCCAATTCTAATCAGGCCAAAATTGGCATGGCAGGAACCGCGCCGTGAGGGTTTCGCCGCCACCTCTGCGGCTAGCGCGCAAATCCCTAGCGCTGCGAGCGCGCAAATTCAGCCAAAGGTTCGGCCTGATCCCTTTGGGGCAGACCATACCCGGGTTTTCAAGCATGCTGATTAAAATTATCATGCTTGCTCACTGCAGTAACGCCTTATTGTGGAATTATGTAAATTGCAGCGTATAAATAGGCACCATTTCTGCTCTTCAGGCCAATCTGAAAACCAAATTTACAAGATGGCTTTATAACGCGAAATGAACGCGGTGTGATCAGCACATCAGATAGCCCCTTTGCACAGAGTTTCAGGCAGTTCTACGCTTTTACCCCTTACCGTGCACCTACCGTAACTCTGCAGAAGGTCTCAAAATGCATGAAAATTACATAATCTTGATTAGCGTGCTGAACGACAACTCTAGCCCAGATTCCAGCCAAATTTACGGCTTTGACTCCCTACCGTATATACCTACCTAACCATACAGGGAAACGTTTTCGGAAAAAGTGTGCAAACCCCTCAAAAAAGCACTACCACACGAAACAAATATCATTTTCCTGATCAGCATGTCGAATAACCCCTACGTATATACAAAATTTTAGCAAAATCCAAGATTTTTCACTTTTGCATTGTGTATTCTGGAGTATGTTTATGTGTATTAGCGCCCGATTTTTTTCCTTTCCATCGAAAGCGATACTTTCCTGTTGCATAGTCTAGTTGGGTCAGCTCATCACTGTTGTGTTGTCCCAATGTCTCTCAACCTTTCCGTTCGTACACCACCACAGCCAGCTGTGCGGCTCACCAGTGCCGCATACGCTTTCAATCATCCCATCATTACCATTACCGTAGCCATGCACCCGCTTGACTGACTTTGGGCCTTGCTCCAGTCCATAGCAAATTAAATGTACTTTTGGTGAGACTTTGGTTGAATAGAGAAGTCGCAAATATCGCAAGAATTATTATCTTTTTATTTGGTTATCTTTCCTCAAGAGGCAAGCTTTCCTATGTGTACCGTACCCATCGATCAACGCGCAATAAAGCGGGTAGGGCACGCGTCAGCGGGGGTCAGCAGTGTGATAGCGTCGTTTAGCAAAAAGCGTTTACAGCGACGCGATATGTTTTCGAACTATGCTAGTCAAGTATTGGCCTTTCTTTACTTTCATCATAAATCGCTACAGCTTTTCCATGTAAATCTCGTATTTAGCCTAATTCAATCAACGGAGCGTTGACTCCTGGCCATGAACGTGGTACGGGTGACAGTGATGATCCTCCAACGAGAAAGTTTCCAGTGACACCCGTGTACATGAAATCTAATCAAAAACGGTACGCTTTTGTATGTTTTCCTTTGAAACATTAAAACATTGAAAGTTTTTGGTATTGTTCTCGCCTTATCTTTGCTACAATTCCAATTTAGTGCACTGAGAATGGAATTTGCTGCAGATCCTGACACTGCCGCCTTGCTTAAAGTGAAAACAAGACTTCTATGGCAAGAAACTGCTTCTACTCAGGAATAAGAATGTTAGCTGTGTAAACTGAATTGCTGATACTTGTTTTTGCGCAAATTATCCTATTATCTCTGAGCATAATGGAAAACCATCTATCTCATATTTATCCATTTTCGTGCAACAATCGTGGCCATATTTATTGACATTCGCTTGCATCGCTTTGATTTTGATTTTGATTGAAAATTCTCGTCTGTAATAATGCTGCGCTACATAGCCTCTCACTTGCATGTGCTACTCTTCTTCTGATTTGCTTTTTTCATGTGTCTTCTAATAAAACTGAAGGGAATTTTTGCTGTGAAGTGTATATCGTTATGAAGTGTATGCGCTCAACGCAGAAATACCTATTTTCGTTTGGATTATATGCAGTACACATTTTTTGCACTATTGTGGTCGAATCTTTCATATCACATTGTGACATCGCTACATCGCTTATCATTCCCCATTTTTGTTGTGGTGTTTCGGTGACCAGAAAATTGCTAAGATTGAATTACTCTAAAATCTCACAGTTAAGTCCTATCATCAAATAAGTCCGTCTACAGATAAGTCTGCCTTCAGGTAGGTACGCTTTTTTGACTCAGTTACGGTCTTTCAAATAGATCTGTCTACAGATAAGAGTCTACAGAGTCTATACGTATTAAAACTGCCCTGAAAACAGAAAAGCAGTCCCATCTGTTAGATTTTAGGGTAGTATGACATGCTTTGATATTTTGATAGGGTTCCAATTTTGCAATAATTATCAGATTTCACGGATAGAGACTCTATTTTCCATTGAGAACAAGAGAGGCTATTATCGGCGTTAATGTAATTTTGCAGCATGGGGTAGAATAGTGAGTGATGCTATATCACTTTTCAGCTTAACTTTTCAACTATTTTGTCGACAAAAATATCTCCCTTCGGGAGGTTCGCATATCCTCTCTTGGCCTTCGTCGTGCAGTAACACAAACACCAACAGAGTAATGAGAGAATCAAGTGGTCGCTTCTTTCGTCCATTCACTATTCATGTATTCTCTTTCAATAATGTTCGGCATCCTGGCAGTCTGCCTAAAGGGCAAGTGCTTGGTTTACCGACGGTTTGGTGGCTCTCGTATTGTGTACTCTCACAAAGGCCTATCACATTATGGATGTACACCTAACCCGGTTTCTTTTTGAGATTTTTTGGATCATCCAATTCTTATATCTCAAAGCTGTCTCAAGTTCTGCTTCATCTCACTTCAGTGTGACCGTAATTAGGCTTGAAGTAGGAAGAGTAAAAATGATTGTGTTTTCTCAACATCTGGCTTTCCCCTTTTTATATTGCTCTACATTCATTTGCTCATTTGTTGAAGCTGTGATTATCGTCGGCTTTTTGTGTACTAGAAAAAGAACGATAAATTACTCACAACAGCAAAAAAATCTATGTTTTTTTATTTAGGCCTCAAGTGTTCGAATTCCTTCTTAAACTTTTTGGTTTCATCAAACTCTAGTCATTAAGGCTGATGCTATTTAGATGCTTGTCCAGTGAATAGCTAGTCGAAGACGTTATATGTGTTTTTTCCTTTTGAATGACCACAACGGTATTATCTTCTACATGAAACTTTGTTGTTGATCTATTTTTAGAAGTTTTCGAAGGTGAATCAATGCTCCAGGTTTTGTTTATTTTCGAGTATTGAAACGGATGAAATAGAAAAGTGCAGTGTTGGTACTATGAATGGAATTTGTCAACCACCCTGATTATACAGCTAATATCGGCATATTTGCGTCCTTTTGCCTGCTTAGGAAAGTTCTGCGTTTTGCAAATGCAATAAAACTAAAAAAAAAAATACAAAGTTTGTGAAAAGAAAAGCAGCTGGGGCAACTCTAGGATCACAAAGTCATCCATGCTTGTGTCACGTCTAAGATAAGATTTTTCTCACCTTGGTTTTGAGTGCTTTGTAGGCGCTCCGTTTTTATTTTTTGTAGTCATGTTTGTTCCTATTTTTTTGGTGAAATCACCAACTTTTGTAGATATTGTAGCCAACTAGAAACGCCAGTTTCTAGCCATGGGCGAGGTCACGGCAGCCCAAGGTCGGTTGAAGTTGGAGGTACCAATTGCAAATGGCAGCTCATCAAAGCCGCCGCTGCACGCAGAGAAACAAAAAGAATTGCTAAATGAGGTGAGCTACTTAGTGGGATATGTTTGAACTACGTTTTTTTTTAGTTTGGACTTTTTTATGAGTCTTATTTTGTTTCTAGTTCTATTTTTTCTCTTATTTGTCCCCAGAGCATATGACATCTACAATCTGTAGATCACTTTTACCATAGAGTTTGGATCGCGAGCGCATCTCCTATGATGATCCTGTACAGACTACCGTGGAAGAACCAGGCTGCGAAAGATTCTTAGTATACAATTATGAGGTACCTTCAAATCAAAATCGTGTTTCAATTTTCTAACAATAATATTTTAGGTGCGGAGTCTGTCCTTTTTCAGGACCTTACTAGGAACATTGCGGTATTTTCTGAATAAGCTACAAGCCGAACATATGCCTTACCATTTCAATCCCACTGTTATCATACATTCTATGTCTTGTTTTTCTACTGATGTGATGTGAGTTTCCGCTCAGATTTATTTTTTAATTGAATGCTTTGGGCAAACTTCTTACAGTCCTGCTCATCTGAATATTCCAATAGCGGCCATTTATTTTGGAAATATTCAAGGTGGAGTTCTGATCAGCCACTGGGAGGTGAACACATTTTCGTCCTTATTTTTATGTTAATAATCTATGACATTTTCTGCTGGAAACAAGTTCACAATGGTTTTTATGATTGTTTTTTTTTGTATATAAATATATAGGTGTACTTACGACGTCGCCGAGCATCTTTGAAGACAGATCTTTTTAAGAACATTGTTGTTTTCTAGAATGTTCCGCCCATTTATAGGGGCCTGCAGGATCGTGAGAGTCGGACGCGCGTACGGCCTTTGCGCCGCGCACGCCTGATATCGCTGGGTCGTAGTCGATTAAGGCTAGATGGGTAAGTTTTTTTGTTTTTCTTTACATTTCACGCCTTCTTTTCTTTTCAGACGGTGAGCACATGTTGGTGCGGAGGAGTTTAAGATCTGAATTAAGGTGAGGTGCAGGATTATGCTCAATACGGACTCAATATTGCAGACCTTCCATGCCTGCTGGTTGAGATGTTGGATTTTCTGTCCTGGCTGCCCTGTTACAGCAAACTGTTCTATTTCTACCGTCTATTCTACCTTATCTTGCATATTGCTTGTGATGATGATGATGATGATGATGACAATGATTGTAATTGTGATGACGCGCATGATGCAAGATGAGGTAGAACATACGTTGCAAATAAAACGGAGTTTCGTAACCGGGCAGGCAGGACGAAAAATCGAACATAATCGGACAGCCAGAACAGAAAACTCAACATTCTTCAAAGCAGGGGTGAAAAGTCCACAATATTGGCCCTTATTGAGCATAATCCTGCACCTCACCTTAATCTAGATCTTAAACTCCTCTGCACCAACATATGTTCGCCGCCTGAAAAGAAAAGAAGGCGAGAAATGAGAAGAAAAACAAAAAAATCTCACCTATCCAGCCTAAATCGAGTACGACCCAGTGACATACGACGTGCGCGGCGCAATGGCCGTACGCACGTCCGACTCTCGCGATCCTGCAGGCCCCTATACAAGCTCCTTTTTCCAGGTTTCATACAGAGACAGATCTGAGTCGGATGAAAGATGGAAAAGTAAAATCAGTGCGGATTTTATGTATGACCAAAGTGACATCATTAGTCTTAAATTCGAAAATCCTGGAGAATCAAGTAAGTTTGGTTTACGCCTAAATTGCCTACACAGGCACAGGTCGTCAATTTTTCAAAAGTTACTCAAATGAGTTATAAATGTGCAAGTGACTTGTTTATACTTGTAAATAATTGAAATAAATTATTAATTTTTTTTAAATTCAGTTTAACCTTATAAAAAAGTTTTTTTGGGGTGCCAGCCTCCTTTTCTAAAATATTGAGGTGAGGGGCCCGCAAAAGTTTTGGAAAGCGTACCGAAAATTTTTATCGGACTGCGTGGCTAATACACATCAGAAAGAGTTCTTGTCCCCCCTCCCCCCGAACGGAATTCGTGGGTACGCCACTGCTAAACATGATCATGTTTCATCATTACGTGAGAAGAACGAGCTCTGCTTAAATACTTTAAATCGGGACAGTTTCCGCGGGCCAGACCTATCTGGCATAATGTGTGGTTTCAGCTTTTGAAAAGGACTAAAGACTAACTAAAGCATCCGCCAAGAATATAAAATTGAACTTGCCTGCTTTGCTTCTTTTCATAAATTGCTGTCTTTAGGATGGTGGGATGAAGAAACCGAGAGCGGGGAGAATTCGCGAAGTAAAGTTCTTGGAACAGGACACTACCAGGTTACGGTAAGATTAACTTTATTCGATCGCTTCAATCATTTTTTTATATTTGTTTTTTCTAATCTATTAGGTTGATTCATAATGCAGTTTTTTTATACTTCAACTTTCAACCAAGATAATTCTTTTTTGAAAAGACATTTCTGGGCGCAATAAAAACTACTGTAACCATCGAATCAGTGGCTATAAAATAGATACTTTTGCATGACTGTATCTATCACAAAAAAGATTTTCTGGCCTGAAGATTGCCAACAACTTTTTCTAGAAGCCTCTACTTTGAGAGAGCATAACTTATGTTTAAAAGAAGTAAAATAAAGCAGACTTCGCTCGTCGTGTAACCAAGGGTCTCTAGAACAGTGGTGCCAAGCTTGGATTTTACGGAAAATTTTTGAGAGGAAATATCGCGGAAAAGTCGAAAATACTCACTTTTTTCTGGCATCTCGGCGCGTTCAAAAGTCAGTCATTTTTGAAATTATTTCATTTATCTCCGCTGGAAAGTGAAAAAAACCCTAGCGCTTTTTTACCACCAAATGAATTAGGGCTACCCCTGCTGGATAGTATAAAAATCTGCAATCGCCTTTTGCCAAATGTTTATATGGCGCGGGAGGACCGCAACGATCATTCAAGTTCGCAGTTGAATTTCTCGGCTCAGAAATCACGGAGAATTTCGTTCAATTAGCATCTTGTAGCACAAAGTTTCCTAATTCTTATGCGTATTTTTTTTAATCCGGCTATCCATCATGGATTTAGGGCAAAAAGGGTGAAAAGCAAAAATTTTTAAATTCGGTCTCTTTTATTTGAGGGCTCAGAACTTTGGAATGAACGGAGATATACGAAAGCGAAGGCCTGCATAAGAAACTAGAAAAAACGCTCTTTCAGATAGCATAAAAAGTTTTTGAGGGAATTGACTACACATCAAATACCAGCTCTTGGTGAATCAACCTAATATTTCATCCCTAAACTGTCACTGGCTGTTCCAAGTAGCTTGGAGCGTGACTAAGTTTGCGTCCATTTTCATATTCTGTACAACTAAGGTCAAGCTGAACTACATCCGCCGCATAATTGTGGACAATGCAGTGACGGACGCTTATGGCAGAGATAGGACGCGGATACATCTAGATCTTAATTGCCCCGTGATGATAAAAAGAGGCTTCGTCAAAAATCGTCCTGATGTCAGTCAGTTTTGCTTTTGGAAAACTCTGAGTAGACTAACTCACTTCGAATATTTACAGAAAAACCCTTTCATTGAAGTCCAGAAAATGCGATGGACTTCGATCTATCGTGGACGACGTGCTAGTGACAATCCCAATCCGTTGGCTTTTTCTGACAGTCCAATATTTACGATCGAGTTCGATGAATCAGCTTCTGTAAGTATTTTTGTTCCTCTCGCTTTCTGTAAAAGGGAGTGATCAGTCTTCGAGACATTTTTTTTGTAGTTTTTGGCTACTTTTATTTACCCAGTTTTCGGTTGTTACGATACAACTTGTTGTATATTATCATATATTTCGGGGCCGGGCGGGCGTCCTAGGCCACTTTTCGTCATCGATCAATATCGATTGTATCGATTTTCATCGATTTTTTTGCGAAGTTCGACCTAAGGGATTGTGAGTTGGCACAGGGGGTAATGGAGCGTGCTGATTACGAAAACAAACTAGTTTTTAAAGTAACCCGTTACTTTTTTCGATTTTATCGAATTTTTTCCAAATTTTGAGCTACGGGGCTGGGAATTCGCACAGGAATAAGTGTGGATGCTGATATCTAACACAGCGGGAATGGGAAGTTGGAGTTGGTATGTAGAAGTGGGCACAGGGTAGGGATGGGAGCTTTATTAGTTTTGGGGCGGCGGAGCCGGGTAAGCCAGCTAGTGCGTAATATTTGCTCTTTTGGGATAGCCATACCATCCACTATCATCTCCCAAACAATTGGAGAACAATTTTTTTGCCTTAGTTCCTAAAATGTGACATTCAGGATTCTACTCTTTACGCAATTCTATCGCGCCTCCGAGTCAGAACTGGTGTCAGCATAGAGTTTGCCAGCTACCAGGTAAGCCTTTCGTAACTTGTTTGTGCACACATTATATGTGTCGTGTATCGAGCCATTTTTTGCGAAGGCTTCTTGTTTTGGATCAACTGATGTGCAAATCTAGCAGTTTTGTTCGCAGATAGTCGACAAACCGTATTACAAAACAAAGTGTCCGTACGCAACATGGGCCAAAAATAACGATGAGGATGTAAATGCTGCCACTGATCACGAAGACGCAACGATGAACGCGTTTTTGAAAGATGTGAGTCCGCTAGTGAAGAGGACCAATCTTGATCATCTGCAATTCTATCTCAGACAGTAAGAAAAGAAGATGTTGAACCAGAGAACAAGCACGTGTCCGATGCTGTCAAGGAGCGTACATTTTCGCTTTTGTATCTAATCGAAGGGTTGATATCGAGGTTGGTTTGGGAGAGTCTGGATACAGCTTGGATGTTTTCATTCGCTTGGAGTTTAGAGGTGCGGTCGTGAAGGATCAGATATTACTGGACAAGGCCGTGTGGATAGATTTTCTTTTAGTGTTAAACCGTTGCTATCGGGAATCTAGGGAGGTAATGAGTGTATAGACTAGTTTCGTTATTGTTTGTCGAACAGTGGACATTCTGAAAACTCACCCTGTTTAGGTGTGTATTTATTCCTTGGAACGGCTATTAAGTATGATTGATGAACGAAAGCGAATCGGTTCATTAATTATGGTAGGTCGAGCATATCGGCTTTAGTATTGTTGATATAGAAGAAAGCCTAATTTTAAAAGTATCCGTCACAGAATGATAGTTTTTATACAGGCATTTATAAATGAGTACGAGGCTGAACTTGATCGCGGTGTGGCTTCGACTTTATCATGGCAAGAGATGAAGGATGGATATAGAAAAGTCCGAAAGGTGGGCGTATGCTACCGCTTTTGGAGATTATTGCATTCAAATATGTCTTCTCATTCTAAATCTTTTTTGCTTTAGTTTTTATGCTTTAATGCATATTTTCTTAATTACATACAACGGGTAATTTGGATCTGCTCAATTCTAGCTTGTTATCACTCAAACCAGAGTCATCTATGTGGTGCCCGAGACTTTGATGGCAAATAGAGTCATCAGATCGTATGACCATGATGGAACTAGAATAATTCGAGTAGCATTCAGGTTTGTTTGGTTTGCTTTATAACAACCTTTTTCTGTATCCTGGATTTGAGAGATGATGACAATCAAGCCATGCGCTCGAACAAAACTTCTATATCTCTGATAAAACGCACATTGCAGAAGTATATGACAAATGGACTTGTTGTCGCAAGTAACTTTTTGTCTGTTCCGTTTCGGTTACCATTCATGATTCGTTTTCAGATCGTAATTTTGGCTACTTGGGAAGTTCTAATTCTCAAATGCGTGATTCTGGAGCGTATTTTATGGAGAAATACTCTAGGAAACAGTATGCAGAATATGTAGAAGAGTTTCGCGAGGAACCACCTCCAGAATTTCGTCCCAAAATAGACGCTGCCAGAGAACAACTTGGCAGGTCAGTATATTGTACGTCTAGATTTGCTCTTGGGGACCAGTTCTCGCAGCCATCATGCTGCTTTGAATATGGCCATAAATCGCGGATAACGTCACAGCCTCAGCATATGGAAACCGTTATTAATCTATGAGTGACGTTTTAATAGCAAATAAACGAAGACGTTCAGGTTCACCGTGATGGAAAGTATTCCAAAACTGATGGCTCGACTAGGCCAATGTTTCACTCAAAGCAAGGTAGTTATAGCAAAACTTTTTTTCAAATTCAAGTATTGCTTCTTTCCATTTTCAGAAAACGACCATCCCGATCAAGCGAAGTCAGTACATGAAATCCTTTGATATTATCGGCGGAAGTAACCAGAAAGGGTAAGTGTGTTCTTGAAGTGTTTTCATAAGTGATCATAATTCTACAGAAAAGAGTACACCTACAGTGATGGTGTAGGCATCATTAGTAAGGCTTTTGCCAGTGCAATTTCTAAAGATCTCATGCTTGGGACTTGTGTTCCGAGTTGTTTCCAGGTCAGCAGTTTGTCCTTCACACTTTTGAACGTTGATTAACTGTCTGTGCTTGCAGTTCCGGTTTCGTGGTATGAAAGGAGTGGTTGCTGTAGATCCATTACTGGATGAGATCGCCAAATGGGCTACAGAGAATCCCATCGAAGCTCCTAAGTGGAAACATGGTTCCTGGACACTCAGGATGATATTCAGACCAAGTCAAATCAAGTAAGTGTTGTATCAATGTCATTTGGTTCTGTCTGGCTGAAGATAATTTAGGTTTGACGCTATGCGTACATCAGCCGATTCACTGGAAGTTGTCAAATACTCGGCACCCGTACCAGTCGCGTTGAACAAGCCTTTCATTTGCATCTTGGATCAGGTACGTTTGGAAATACTCTGACAGAAGAGGTAGCAGAAAATCGGTGATATCTGATTTTCTCTTTTTAAAAATTGTCGACGAGCGCTGAAATGCATACGTAGCACATATATAGGGCATTCGAAAAATCGTGACGATGGCGCGACCGCGCGCGACACGCACGCACTTTCACCTCTTCGAATGTTCTTTTTTGTTTATTTGTGCATCAGTATTTAAGCGCTGGAAATGACTGAACTGATTGTTGAAATTGTGCCTTTCCGTAAGAGTATTTCATGCTCCTGTGAGCGCAAGGGACGCAGTCAAATCCGTCGTCACGGTTTCATAAATGACCTATAGCTCCGTATTTTTTGGATAGGGTGGCTCAGGGCACTCGGGGCGCAACAGTGATGTTTATCATACCAATTAGTCTAACTTATGAGCGTCTCTTTCATGTGTGTGCCATCGGTGTTTTGAAAGCCCTCAGTTCTCAACTGTATCGTAGTGGAATACAAGAGTTATTTAGTGTATTGCATTAGACAGACTTTACTTGCTTTGAAGGTGTCCGAAATGCAATCGTACGAATGTCATGCACGAGTTACCAATCGAATAGAAGAGTTGCTTGACATCCAGCTGCGTGGGTTTGCCAGAGCAATGCTTCGGGAGCACGACTGCAGAAATAAGCTCAAGGTAACTCGATGAATATATGATCAAAGTCTTTGAGTAACTCGTCTTTGTAGGAGCTACCAAGACGAGTCGACATTGATTGCCTATCCGTAGTTTCTGGATTCCAACTAAGCACAGAGCCGTTCTTCAGGTCACTGATTAAAGCTACCATCAAGTATGCGATAAGTGAGTAGCGATGTCACACATTGCGATAACTTCCACCTTCAGATTCCATATTTCAGCCAAACAAATGCGAAAGCAGCAAATCCAGATTCCCTTTGATAAAGGTCGTTCCATGTTGGGTGTGGTCGACGAGACTGGTCAGCTTCAATATGGGCAGATATTTGTGCAATACACTGAGAATATCAATCTCAAAATGCCACCTCCGAATGCTTCGAGAAAAATTCTTACTGGCAAGTTTTATTAGAGGGGTGATTCTAGCAATAATGTGGATATTTTATAGGCACAGTACTGCTTACAAAAAATCCATGTATAGTAGCTGGCGATGTTCGCGTCTTCACAGCTGTGGATGTACCAGAATTGCATCATCTATGCGATGTAGTTGTTTTCCCGATGCATGGCCCACGACCACATCCGGATGAAATGGCAGGTGAGCAAGTTCTGGCAGTAGCGGGAAAGCAGATTAGTTTTGCTATTTTTGCTACTAAACATAAAAATAACCAAATATTTCGCAGCAAGCGGGTATTGGTCTCCGAGCGGACTAGTTTTGCTATTTTTGCTGCCAAACATAAAGATTAAGCAAAGCTCCGCAGCAAGGAACGGTCACAATTAATGTTCGCGCAGCCCTCACTGAAGCTACAATTACAGGATCCGATCTTGATGGGGACGAATACTCAGTAATTTGGGACAAAGATCTGCTTTTGGACCATAACGAAGCACCTTTCGACTATACTGCAGATAAACCAGAGACTAAACCCATCGACAAGAAAACTATGGTTAGAACGTACTTTTGTAGTATAGTCTTATCATTGTCATCAGTTCCTTTTTAGAATCAAGACATGGTCGAATTCTATATAAAATACATCACGCAAGACTCGGTCGGCTCCATTTCGAATTCGTTCCTGTTCCAAGCTGATCTATACGGGCTAACTTCAGAGGTAGCATGTTGTTTTGTTATTCGGAAGGCGCAAATTTTTGAAAATTACTTACATGAGCAGTAAAAATGTGTGAGTGACTTGTTTTACTTGTAAATAACTAAAGTAATTTTTGATTTCAAATGTTCAAATTAGCTTGCAAAAAAAAATTTCGGGGCCCCGCAAAGTTTGAAGAAGGACCCCAAAACATTATTTGGAGCGCTGGCTAACGCCATACACGTTTATCCGAAAAAATCTTATTTCTCCTTCCTCCTCTTCCTCCCCCTTTAACGGAAATCGTGGGACCGCCACGGTTGGATACTAGTAATTTATCTTCTCTCATCGCTCCGCAGACGTCTGCCGATAAAATATAATTTTCTGCCAGACTGACAGGCCTAGCTGTAGATCGTGTGCGAGCTAAATGGATGTTGAAGTCAACGGATAAAATTGCAAATATTTATTTCTGCAGGTGTGTTTGCGATTAGCCAAGAAAATCTCACAAGCTGTAGATTTTACGAAAACTGGTCTGCCACCGCTACCACTAGTGAAGACTTGGACTATCGGTTTGTAAAGCTCAAGCTGAACCCTCTTTTATCTGAATGTTAGTGTTACAGACGACGAAACAGGCAAAGATATTCCTCCCGAAAAAAGTGAGCGTCAACCTGATTTCCATTTTGGGAATGACTATGAACCGACTTATCGAAGTGCTCGGTTGATGGGACGAATATATAGGTTGGTAAGGCTTCAAACATACCTAATATAGAATACATATTTAGAGAGATCAAGGCTATTGAGGACGTGCTAAAAATCTCCGAAGACATAGACGAGCAAGATGAGGTGGAATGCGATAGATATCTCAATGTTGATGGATGGGAGAAGTATAAAGAAGTGGCAGAGGCTCAGTTGTCCAAGTATAAAGGACGGATGAGGGTGAGCTCCACATGCATCAAATGATTTAGAATTTAATCCTGATCGGAATTTAGGCTATCATGGAAAACTATGGTATAAAATCAGAAGGGGAGATCTTTTCTGGTTGTATCGCGGAGATGAGAAACCGCATCTCGGACAAAGATCAAGATGACATGTCATTTTACAATACAAATGAAGTGATAGAAAAGAAAGTTACCAATCTATTCAAGGAGTATAGGGAAGAGTTCTTCCATGTAGGTTTAGGCCATCTTTTTTCTGCCCTGTGAAACATTTCTAGTTATGTTTATCGCCATTTATTGTTTGATTATTTATTCCTTTATTTGTTTTACTGTTTATTAGTATTTACTTGTTACGGCACCAGCCATATTTGATCCGCGATCCGCTTCGTGCAGAACGCGCGTAATTGATTTGTCATTTGGCCGTATAGCAAAATTGCTTAACCATACGAAATTACTTTTCACCTACACGGCGCCAAATGAAAAACTGTTGTATGCGCGCGTTTTGCACGAAGCGGATCCAGAGGATCAAGTATGGCGGGTGCCTATCTACTAGTTCTTATTTATTAGTATTTATTGATGATACCCCTTATAGGAATTTGGAGGCTGGCAAAACTGTACGAAATTGGTCTCCAAAAAGTTTGCTATTGAAGAAAACATCTTTCATCGACATGCGCATCATCCACCATTGGAAATGCAACAAAAAGCTGTGGCGTACTATCGAGTCTGTTATGGTAGGTATGCCAAGAATTTCTGCTGGGAAGAGTTTGCTTTCCAAAATAGTAAGCTGAAAATAATTCAGCAATCTTGCCCGTCGTTATTGTTTCTACTTTTATCATTTTGATTCATGACAAGGGTTAATGTCCAAGGAAACTAATTCGAGTTGGCGAAAGTTGGATAGTTTTTGTAAGCAAGGTGATAAGATAGAAGACGTTTAGATCCAAAAAGTAAAGGTGAAGCTCAAAGTCCTTAGGTGTTACGATTCTTTAGCTCGGATATTGTAATTCTCGTCTGGTTTCAGCCCAGCATTGAAGCTTATTTGTTCTCAAAGACCCAATGTACCTTCAAAAGTTTCTTCTTTTTCGTAAAAAAATTGGTTATTCGTTTTCTAGGAACAGCTCAGCAAACATTGGAGAGAATCTTATCTTTTGCTTGGCTTGCTTATGATGTGCTTGCTTTGGTCAAGCAAGAGCGAGTAATCAACGAAGAGGATCATATCCCCGCTGCAACTCCTCTCTATGATGTGAGTAAAGCAACTTGTTGTGACATTAGATCATTAAAGTGATTTTTAGATGCTCAAAAAGCGAATAGAAGAATACTGTTACGATCAGAAAGCAAAATTCTTCAGTTTCATGCAGTTTCCTAATCATGAGGCTTTGTTGCCGATTCGGATGTACACGGTGCATTATTCAGGTTTGTCTAGCGTATCGCCTCTTTATTGGTTTATTCGCAACTTGTTGTCTGATTAGGTCTGTTGATTGATTTTTTGTTTGTTTAGTAATGAAGCGGTGTGGATAATTTAACGTTTTTTTTTTGAAGTGAGACTGTTTTAGGCTTGGCCCGACTGATGTTCATCGTATCAGAGTGGGCAGAAAAAAACAAGCTACTAACGGGTCGACTTGCAAGTCACCATGTGTGCTTAATTCTGATCCTTTTTGCTATCGGTCGCATTTCTGGTTGTTTGACACGAGCGAAGCCTTTCTTGGACAAAGTTTGTGATATATCTACTCCACTGTCATCGGTGTGGCCAAAATTGAGCTGATTTAGCTTGAAGGATACGAAGTACATTGCGATGATCCTGAAGATATAGACGAAGAGACTCAGGTGGAAATGCTCGTGGCCTTTTTTGAATACCTGGCGTCAAGGGCTTTTCGTAAACTGACGCACATCTCATTTGATGAACTTGGTTATGCCTCTGTATTTTTACGAGGAGAATGGATACCTATGCATGAGGTGAGTGCATGTGAATATTTGTCTGCCTATTCGATTTTTTTTGTAGACGGCCGTGAAAACTTACTACAACATGGTTTTCAATCTGCAGTTTGATGAGCTTGATGATGAATCATTCCTAGATCCTGCAAGAAATGTAACAATCCGTGAATGTGAACCATTTGTAATAGAACTTCCAGGTGGGTTTTGCGCTATTTCACAGTTTTAGGGTATTGAATATTATAGTAAAGCAAAAACATGGTTGTTTAAAAATAAAATCTCTCTTGTTTTCCAGACAACGTTAACTTATCTGAAATTGAGGAAAGAATCAAACTGAAAACTGGTGTGGAGGAGATTGCGCTAAGAGCATTACCATGCCGGCAAGAAGGTAAGTGTGAACAGTCAGATTAATTGCTAGAAGTTAGACTGTAATTTACTTTGAAAATAAGATGCTGTGCACAAAACGTGTTTGTTCACCCGTTGCCAACAAAAATACTTTTGCTTTCTACGTCGGAAGCGTACTTTGAAGTTGGATGTATAGTATAGTTTTGCAACTGAGTTTCTAGTAGATTCTAAGAATTTTGTACCACGATAGTAGGCAGTGGGATAGGTTTGAGATACTAGCAAAATGTGTATTATGATAGTTGCACAACGAGTGTTTTTGATTGCGCAGTTAAGGTCGGGTGGCAGTTTCGGCTCGAGGTACGGTACCGAGTCTACGAATGCTGCGAGATCTGGTCACTGTCAAGCCATTGCTGAAAACAGCAGCAAGAGGAAAAGAGATCTCCGAGCAGCTTTGTCGCCTTATCTATGAAAACATCATGAAACTGTAATGGCTGCATTTGTCGACTGTATAGGTATTGATTGACAACCGAAGTTGTGATATTCTCTGCCATTATGTTTTATTGTTCTGTGTCAGAGTGGCACATAATGTACAACACTCAGCGCCAAGCATCTGCGTTCTGGCCTATTCCATCCAAGGTTGCTAAACAGAAACACGAGGGAGAGACTATATTTTAGTATCCCTTTCCTTAAAAGGAAGGATTTTTAGGGAGTGCTTCTGAGTTCAAAATTCATTTCAGTATACTCATCTTCGAACGCCAAATTCAAATCTGCTCTATTTAGCCGAGCGTAGTTATGTCCTCTAGGCCGCATGGACTGGAATCGGAAAACTCTATAGCTTTTTTTTTGAAGCAACCTTTAGAAAATAAGTAAGGTCAATATCCCCCCCCCCTCCAATCTCTTATGGGTACGCTTTGATTTTATATGATTCACTATGCTATGCCTGTCTGCCGTATTTGTTTTATCTCTGCCAGTATCTACCAGCACGTTCGATATTATATAATTAATCTTTTATGGTGCTCGATTAGCCGCATTTGGCTCTGCCTCTCCAAAATCTTATATTCCACGCTAGTCTTTGCAAATTTCATGATTGTAACTTGCTTTATTCAATTCAGGAAGTTTCATGTATTATCGTTTCACCATTCCATGGCCTTTTATAAAGTTTGAACGATGATCTCATGGCACTCCGCACAACAGAGGTTTATTCCAGTGCAGCCGCTTATAGTCTGCCCCAATCCCAACCAGGCCAAAATTGGCATGGCTGGAGTCCGCGTCGCCGAAGTTAGTTTCGCGGTCACTCCCACGGCCTGCTTCTCTGTTCCTTCTTCAATCCTTTGCTTTCTCCGTCAGCGCGCGCGAGCGCGCAAATCTAAGCCGACGGTTTGGCCTGATCCCGATTGGAGCAGACTGTACATTTCTGCAGCTCATTTTCGTTCGGACAAATCCGTTTAAGGGACCCGTCATACTTCGCCGAAAAAAACCCAAAGAAGCCCAAAAAAGCCCGAAAAAGCCCAAAAAAGCCAGAAAAAGCCCAAAAAAGCCCAAAAGCGCCAGAAAGAGCCGGAACACTTCTCGCACGTTTTGGCGCTAAGGCATGTGTGTTGACTTCGCAATCGAGCCTTTTTGTCATTTTCTATCGTCCGCATGATAAGATAATGTCAGAATTCCACCAAAAGTTCGTTTCTACATTCCGGCTCTTTCTGGCGCTTTCAGGCTTTTTTGGGCTTTTTTTTAGTTTTTTTGGGCTTTTTCGGGCTTTTTTGGGCTTTTTTGAGCTTTTTTGGGCTTTTTCGGGCTTCTTTGGGCGCTTTTGGGCTTTTTTCGGCGAAGTATGACGGGTCCCTGAGGGCTCTCCAATGCTGAAATGGCGCGGCGGGAGACTAGGCGGACGGTAGGGACAGATACATGACTCGATGCCTAAGCAACACTGTGTCAGGTGTGCTGGTTTTTGTACTTCGCTTGCGGCATGGCTTCGAGAAACATCCGCACCGGTCATGACATCTGACTTTTCCCGGGCATCGAGTTTCCTATAGAGTAGATAATACTATTAGATTGGCTCGAAAGTTCCGGACAGCGTGTCGACAGCATGTCCGCGTGAGATCCCCGTGTCGATCTTCCTGGATGCTGCCTTCGAAGGCAGCGTTCAGGCAGATCTGGACATATGGGGATCTCACATGCATGGTGATTTTGGGGCCCCTAAGGCACTGCCCAACCGGCAGCTCAGGGAGTTCTACAACGGTGGAGATTCTCCCACGGGGGAACCCAGGATCATACTTCGCATGAATTCATGGCGCTAACCATCAGTTTCGCATGGGTTCGCGCGAACTGATGGGTTGCGCCATGAATCCATGCGAAACACAATCGTGCTTTTCAGTTTGGAAGCGTATATCTCAGCCGTTAGTGAGTAACCTGCGCTCCGCACGGGCAGTGCCTCAGTTAGGGCCCCAAAATCACTTCCCACGTAAATTTTTGTGGCGACATATTTATGTGTAGGGTATTTATGTGTGTGTTCGTTGCTACAGATGGACGCAGCTTATGTCTGCGTCTGTGACTCAAATACGCATTCCACGTTTATCGTGGACCTCTTCCAGTCGTTCAACAAATGTATCAAATACTTTATATTTCATCTGAAAACGCTATATTGTGCCTTGTTTGTTCTATCGTTGCCATTTTTAGCAAATTAAATATATTTGAACATAGCGCATTCATTTGGCTGTATATGGATTATGACGTAAGCTTCGAATGCAGTCAATTTATCATCGACGGATCGATGATTCCTCTTATGAAATAATGCTGAAGGGGCGGGCCATAGGGTTGTTTCAGACTGCTGCACTGACCGCAGCAGACTGCAGCTGGCCGCACTGACAGCAGGCCGCACTGATCGCTGCATTCTTTCGTAAAGATGGAGAGGTAGATAGTTGTGGCCCAAACAGTCAACAACAATATATGTTTCAAAGTACACACGAGCGAGAGTAAAACAGGTATAGGGGCCTGCAGGATCGCGAGAGTCGGACGTGCGTACGGCCATTGCGCCGCGCACGTCAGATGTGCGGCGACAGATGACTCAGGTAGGTGCCAGACTTATCCGTTGAACAGGTTCATTCGGTTCACCACCTTTGCTTTTGGACAGTGTAGTGATTTGACCTATGACCAACGAACCGGCTGAAGCGGATAAGTCTGGCACCTGCCTTAATGATATCGGACGTGCGCGGCGCAATGGCCGTACGCACGTCCGACTCTCGCGATCCTGCAGGCCCCTATATACGCAATGACAGGAGGAATCAGAACAAGTAAGAGCATATTAAAGAAGCAATCGCCAAAATATGTTTGAGAAGAGTAAGTTAGAACCTATGAACTTTCATCCGCTTCAGCCGATTCGTTCGGTTCATAGGTCAAATCACTACACTGTCCAACAGAAAAGGTGGTGAACCGAATGAACCTGTTCAACAGGATAAGTTTGGCACCTACCTGAGTCGTCGGACCCACATCTGACCTCAGACACACCGGCCGGCGACCGTTCCATAAATCTGGGCGGAGATAAATGCCGGCCGGTGACCGCTCCAAAAAAATCATAACGGCCGGCGGCCGATCAAACGGTCGGCAGCAGGTATATATCTAGGGTCCATGTGCCAAAGTGCGGGAATTGCATGGAATTCAAACATTACATGATCGAGCCTCATAGGAAAGCGCGCTCTACATTCTTTTTATTTATGTAGTTGCAACTAATTTGTTTCGTTTATGTTTCTGATTATGTATGTTTATCTGGAGATTATGGCTGCGGTGTGGAAGACGCTCAGAACTCGTCGCACTATGATTTCGTTATCCCAATTCACTGTATTCTTTTTCAGAGTCGAAGGAAAAATTAAGACGTTTGTAGTCCTTACTTTTTGATAAATCGCATCGTGCTTGTCTTAAATGTTCAACAGGGGATACCAAGCTGAAACGTGCTGCTCGCGAGGTATAGAGTCTAGGTTCGCGTTTATTTTTGATAAGTGAACAAAAAAACCAAAATGACATGTTTCAGAGACAGGTGCGTTATGCTGTATGTGTCTGAAATCTTATTCTACTCATGGAACTTGATCATGGTCATCGGGATCAACATCTCACTCATGCTAACGACTATGGCCTTTAAGCTATCGTTATTCTTCGCAGAATGCGTTCACGGACTACTTTTGCTCTGCTGATTATTCTAGAACTCTGCTGTATCTACGGATGCTGATTATATCTCATGTTCTACGAATTCGCGGTATTCCTATGCCTATCATTGCTACACTCCAGCAGGTATGTACCGTCTGCACCCCAGAGAGGTTCCCATGTGAACCAGCGTGCGTACGTGGTGCGACGCTGCCTTTCGCTCTTTTTGACACGTTTCTCCTGAGATTTCAACGAAAATGCCCGAGGTTAACACGTTCAAAAGTGCGAAAGGCAGCGAGATGACGTGGTACCTATGGGAACCTCTCTGGGGCGCAGACGATAAGTGAGTTTACACCGATCATTTGACAGAAACTAATCTTGGTGAGTGGTTTAGGGCAAACATTCACTGAACGCCTCCTGGAATAGGCCTTTGGGTTGCTCCGATAAATAGCAGTTTCTGAGCAGGTAAGTCTTGGTATCAATGATCTCATATGTGGAAAGCTTATCACGTTTGCAGATGTCCGTTGTGAGATGAGCGTCACCCTAAAGAATATAGAGTGCAGCAGCTAGTCAACTCGGAATGAGTAGCGGTCCAATGTGTACCTTTTGCGTCGAATGGATGTTCACAAGTGCAAAGGAACGTCATCTTCTCTAAATATAAGAAGCGTCCAAATTTCATAGCTTTATTAGAGGCATATTGTATTTGGCTTTACGTACCAGTCTTATTTGTAAATATTTCCTCACTATGTATGCTTATACAATAAATGGATATGTTTTTGCGGTTCTGTACTTCGTTTTGTAATTGGAGGGGGGGGGGGGGGGGGGATGGGCAAAGCGAAGGCTGCAAAAAAAGAAGAATTGCGCCCCACAATCATTTTGTTGCGCGACTGACACATACCGGCAGGCGGACGTAGACTACGCGGCTGAGTGAAATTAACTGTGGCCCCCCAGCCGGTCTTTGTGCGGCCGGCGGCCGGTGGGAGTGTCTGAGACCTCAGACACTCGCACCGGCCGGCGGCCGCACAAAGACCGGCTGGCGTGACCACAGGTCATTGCATACAGTCGCGTAGTCTACGCCCGCCGGCCGGAAAGGTACGGCCGCCAGCCGGTATGTGGGAACTGCGCTACGAAATGGCCATGTGACGCGGTTTCTCTTTTTCCGTATTTATTTCGCTCTGCCGCCTATCCTTGATATAAGCAAATACAAATCCGCATGAACATATTTATTGTAACTGCATCATATAGGGAAACATACATAAATGAGAATAATGCGTAAAGTTTCATACAACATGCAACTAAGGCTACAAAATTGGACGCTTCTTTCTGTACAGGGAAGACGAGGTTTTCTTGCATTGTACCATCTATTCGTGACAAGGGCTCACGTATCGTCGGACTTCCGCTGATTCCAAACTGAAAAAAGTTCACTTTCGCATCATAGTGAATGCCACATAGCAGACGATCTACAAATGAGGGTTGTTTCATACTACCGCACTGACTGCAGCAGTCTGCACTGACCGCAGCAGACTGCAGCTGGCTGCAGCTGGCTGCACTGACTGCAGCAGACTGCAGCTGACCGCACTGACCGCAACGACCGCAGCGGCTGAAGCCTGCAGGCGGAGAGGATAAATAGTTGTGCTTTGAACAAACAACAACAATTTATACGTAAAAGCAAAAGACAACAAGGTTTATAATGTTACAAAACAGGTATATGCAATGATAGGAAGAATTAGAACAAATACGAACATACCAAAAAAAACTATGGCCAAAATTTGATTGAGAAGAATTCAGATGGAACTTATGATCTTCTTTATGCGCGAGTCACGCTGTTTCGATAATCGCGGTTGTTTTTTCTTCTAAGAAAAGAGGCTGCGACCGGTGCGGTCAGTGTAATCATTGCGGTCAGCTGCAGTCAGCTGCAGTCTGCTGCAGTCTGCTGCAGTCTGCCGCAGTCAGTGCAGTCAGCTGCAGTCTGCTGCAGTCTGCTGCAGTCAGTGCGGCAGTCTGAAACAACCCTGAGATAAGCTACCTACTTACAGATGACGTTAACATCAAAACTTACCGACGGTGCTATATATGACTGGGCAAAGCAAATCCAAAAGCTCAAGCAATTGTAGCAGACACGTATTGAATGTTGTCCTCCCTGAAACTCACAGGGACTAGTCCATTCAAATGTTTGATAAGAACGCACCTGTCTTGTAGAGTCTATACTAGGAGTTAGGCGTAAGGTCAAGCCTTGCGGTAGAACACGAATTTGATAGATTCCAACTCCCATAGAAATGTGTGTATATGTGATACACACGTAATCCATGAATGCATAGTGTTGAGATACATGGAGAGTTAGTCGAAAGGTCATATGCTCCATATGGGTAAGGATGATAAACAGCGAGTGCAAAGAATAATACGCCGGTTGCATAGCGCAAGAACTCAACACCATGCATATCACATTCGTTTCCTGAAAAAGATGGTTATGAAACGTGCCCGGCGCTATTCGGCTATCCGGGCCCCAAAATTCTTTGGTCATGTATTTCGCTCAAACTTGGTACAGGGGGGTTGTCTGACATGCTGATCACGAATATCACATTTTCTCCGCAGGAAACCGCCTTCCTGTGAAGTTACGGTAGGTAAACGGTAGGGGGTCAAAATCGTAGATTCAGCTGAAACTTGGCCCAGCGGGTTATCCGGCCCGCTGACGCCGAATATCACATTGGTTTTATACCGTAGCGTCATTTTCTCGGGTTACGGTGACTATACGGTAGGGGGTCAAAATCTCAGAATCCGCTATAACTTCGCACAGAGGGGTTATCTGACATGCTGATCACGAATGTCACACTTTCTCCGCACGAAAACGCCTCCCTGCATGGTTACGGTAGGTTAACGGTAGGGGTCAAAATCACAAATCGGCAAATGTATCTCCCCCTGTGCTTTGCTTAGGCAAAAGCCGCAGCAGGGTGTGTAGCGCGCGGCGGTGGTCGTGTGTGCAAAGCTTCACAGTCGTCCGAATCGTCGTACACCCGTTTCAGGCAGAACTATGCTTTACACCCGTTACCGTGTAGCTACCGTAACCCGAGAAAATGATGCTATGGTTCAAAACCAATGTGATATTCGGCATCAGCGGGCCGAATAACCCCTCTAGGCCAAGTTTCGGGCAAGTCCGTGATTCTGACCCCCTACCGTATACCTACCGTAACCATGCAGGGAGGCGTTTTCGTGCGGAGAAAGCGTGACATTCGTGATCAGCATGTCAGATAACCCCTCTGGGCCAAGTTTGAGCGAAATCCATGCCAAAAAATTTTTGGGGCCCGGATAGCCGAATAGCGCCACGTGCCCATTTGTTCTTTAACCCTTATATCCCTCAGCCAGTAGGTTCCATCTCGGCGTGTTACTTTTTTACTGCCATACAAGACAAGCAACAGATTTGAGAAAGGCGCTACAGATTTCATTGGGATTTTCTTTATTTTGAAAAAGAGAGCGGTATTAGCGAGGTAGAGTAACATCGCTACGGAATTCTAGGTATTTTGACCAAGCATACAAATTTTTCTTCTAACGATGAAGTACGTAAACAAGACATGAACGAAGTAAGAAAATGACGCGCAATCATAAAAGAGGAGAAGTAGAGCGTTTGCTTATGCAGCTCAATCACGCAATTTTCAAATCCCGCTCACTTCCCGCGACACGGCAATGTTACCGGCTGGCGGCCGTTCGAGCGGCCACCACCCGGTATAATTTTTTTGGGGCGGCCATCGGCCGGTATTTAGCTCCGCCCAGATTTAAAGAGCGGCCGCCGGCCGGAAGGCCGTTGTCGGACGGCCGCCGGCCGGTGCGAGTGTCTGAGACGTGCGCGGCGCAATGGCCGTACGCACGTCCGACTCTCGCGATCCTGCAGGCCCCTATAATCGCAAGTGTTTTTATTTTACGAAAGGATGAGCGTTCTGTGCGACCGTTGCGGTCAGTGCGGTCAGCTATAGTCTGCTGCAGTCAGTGCGACAGTATGAAACAACCCATACCTGCCACTCAGACAATCGCCGGGGGCAGGTGGGCGCTGGAAAATACGCGTTGACATTCCGCATTCCGCTCGCAAATTCTAGGAAAATAGTCAGCGATTTGAGAGATCGCCTGTTGAATCTTTTTTCGCTTTTATTTCTTTTTCTTGCAGATATATTGCTGAATCTCTGAGGAATCGAGAACTCAGCAAGCGGCGTCTTGAAAAGTCCTGATTGCTTTTCAGAAAATCCGCGAGGGAGGTGCGTGAAACAAGAGCGGCAACACTAGTAACGCGAGCAACACGAGTAGCACGAGTAACACTGGTAAGATCGGTAACTCTGGTAAGAGTTGTTTTAGACTGCCGCACTGAATGCCGGACCGCACCGGCCCTGCCTCCTTTTGTAAAAGAAAAAAACAACCGCGATTATCAAAACACCGTGATTTACTCGTAAGGAGATCACAAGATCACAATTCTTCTCAATCAAATTCTGGCGATACTTTTTATTTGATATGTTCGTATTTGCTCGAATTCCTCCTATCATTGCATATACCCGTTTTGTAGCATTCTAGCCTGTGTTGTCTTTTGCTTTTAGGTTTATATTGTTGCTGTCTGTTGAGCCACAACTATCTATCCTCTCCACCTGTAGCCTTTAGCCGCTGCGGTCGTTGCAGTCAGTGCGATCAGCTGCAGTCTGCTGCAGTCTGCTGCGGTCAGTGCGGCAGTCTGAAACGACCGAACACTGGTAAATTCTGACGGAACCCTTACCGTATATCATTGCAATCCGATCCCAACATCGGTCGAAGATTCTTCAACGCGTAAGCTTTGTTTCAGCTGGCTGGCGGCTGGAAGGCGGGACTTTGTGACCTGATTTAGGTCGCTCACTCCCGCGATGAGTCTGAGTCTTTCTCGCGCGCGTGCTCTCTGATCATTATCTACCCTTAAATAGATTACGAAGCCCTACCCTCCAGCCGCCAAGCCAGTTAAATCAAAGGGTTCACAATTTTTGCCATTTTGCCATCTTATGTATAGTCGTCCTCACCCCACTAGTCGGTCGGTGGACGAATTCGAATTCGAAGTGGAGCAGGCAGGTCGCGGCAGAGCACGGCACCTTAGCTCTCCGTTCAAATTCACGCATTCACTTTGCGTATTTCTTCGCCATTGCTTAGCAGTTTTTGTATTGTTACAACGTTTTTGATCTATATATTGAGTTTTTGTAATTGCTGAGCGTTGTCTCCTGCCACGCTCTGCCGTGACAGGCCTGCTTCAATTCAAATTTGAATTCGTCCACCGACCGACTAGTGGGGTGAGGGCGACTATAACGGTTACGGTAGGTTTACGGTATAACGGAAAAATTTCTAGATTACTTCAGATTTTGCTGCAACTTGATCTATGGGGGTAATCGACATGCTGATTACAAAAATGAGACCCGTTTTGCATGAAAATGCCTCCTTAAAGGTCAAGGAATGAATTTTCATCTTAGCGATAAATGAATGTGACATTTGTGTTTACCATATAGGATTATCCTATTGTGCGAAGTCTTAGCGAATCCTGACTTTTCGCAGCTTAGCTATTGACAGATTGCCCGCAAAACTTGATGCATTTGACTTGTTCTACTTCTCGAAAGCGCTTCATCTTGATTTTTCCCTTTATTTCACTTCTTTTTTGCTGATTCTAATGCCTCAGCTTCTAGCTACGTGCAGCCTATAATTCTTTTGTGATATGTCTGATTCGGGTTTTGTACGGCTTTATGTTTGCCAAAAACCCTGAAACCTCAATTTTCAACACTTTTCGGAAAATGCTTGGATTTTTTTGACTACGTTATCAATAATCAAAGGATTTGTGTTGACTTGTAGCTTCGTCACATTCTACATGATGCCAGAGAAAGAGATTGCTACGCGAAATAAGAAAAAAGTTATGGAAAAGTGCAAAACTTATGCGCCAACCTAATACATTGCTTCAGTGTACATATGTAAGAGCAGCATAAGGCCCCGGTCAGACTTCACGCGACTTAATCGTCGCGATCTAATCGCCAAGATTTCCATTCATTTTCATTTCACATTCAAAATTTTCGGTCTGGAAAAGTATCACAACCGAATGCCGGTTGATCGGCATGGAATGATGTTGTAACAGTTGTCACGTCGCGACTCAGTCGCGACTATCAAATCGCGTGAAGTCTGCCCGGGGCCTAAAAAGTCGAGTTCATTTTTGTGAATACTTGACGGCCCTCATCGACGAATGATCGGGATACTATATCGATACTATATCACGTAGTTTCAATTGATACCTTTCATGATGGCCAGTGCGAATCTTTGCAAAGACGAGGCGAATCATTATTTGCCCTGGCTTATCTTTTATGGTTTTGTAACAGACACACTTGCCTTTATCGCTTTCTAATCTCACAATCACACAGATGTCTCCTCCATGCTACCCTATGATTAATTATGGTCTGTGACAGCGAGTTTCAAGTCATGATTCTCTAGTTCTGCCTTTTTTTGTCTTTAGTAATAAAGCTTATTGCATGCATTCCATATGGTTTGAGATGAATCATTACGATGCAATCGCTGGCATTTCTGCCGCTCGCTCTTTTCAGCAGAATTGCTGCACCACTTTTTCGAGAGATCAGTTGACAGCTGCTTAGCAAACGTTCTTAGAAGGTGCCTACTTGTACACTGTTTCGAAACCTTATGGTTATTGCATCATTGCCTTTTATGCCTTATGGCTGCACCGTACATCTAATTCAAGGGTGGATCGTATTCTACGATAACTGACGCCAAAAATTTTAATGACACATTTGCACGTCTCGTTGCCGATTTTCCTTCCTTGATTTCTAAAGCAACGACTTTTACTCATTACTCATGGTCCTCTAGTAGGATTTTCTATGAAGTTCCAGCAGTTTTGTGTCTTAGTGAGAGCATAGAGAAACTACTAGGTACAGGTAGAAAATCTACTTGCCTGTGCCTGGCGCTGAGAACCAGCGCACGAGATGGTGGTAGAGGACTATGTGTCGCCGTCAGATGTCCAGCGCGGATATGTGCAACCAAATTGCACTTCTCACCACTTCTCACATGTACACGAGGTGCGCATTTGTGTAGTTGTTCACGCAGAGTTTTCCCCTTCGGCGGCATACGTCCTCTATCTGCGAGGAGACTGGAAGCGTTGGGTCGTGGAGCGCTAAAGGCTTGTGATGAGCAATGATGAGCGCACACTTTCTCCAAGTGTATTTTTATAGGCTTTTAAATCACTTTTGTTCGTATATACTCTGCATAATTGAAAGCAACCCGAAAGCTGATGGATAATCTTGAACGGAATATATCTATTCAAACCCCGTCCAAGTTTGAAGTTTTTCACCATGCGAGTAAAAGACCCAGCCAATCAATCCAGAGAAGTAAGTATTAGAATAAGGATAAAGGATTCGGCGTCTTCAATACCCTCTGTGGGTATGCGCCGAACGCACACTATTTCATAGTCGAAGAGACAGTTGCATGCGTGCGAGCTTACAGTGACTTGTGAGGGCCAGCCGTTTATTAAGTGCTTTCATCCTCCCAGATTACTCTGGTTCCAGTTTACCGGCCCGAAGGGTAGAGGGCTTGGTTGACCCAGGGGCGGGGATCGAACCTGTGTGCGACCTGGTCATAGCCGCGCCTCATACCACTACTCCACTCTCGTCTCCGTCTCCGAAGTAATTATTAAAGAAGGCATAGTTTTTCGCGATCAAGAGACCGTAGGAAGACTATTTCGTGAGGTCATTGATAAACAGGAGCCAGAAATAGATCAAATGCCCATGATCCTTTCAGAAAACACGAACACGTCGGATCTAGGAAGCCGACTGTCGCGGCTTGCGCGATACAAATCTCTCCTCGAAACAGGTGACGGGAGCACTGCATGCCGCTGAATCGGGAGCGCTACTGTTTTCGCGCCCAGGCTTCTTCTCGCAGGGTGCGTTGCTAAGTTGAAAGGTATCTACAGCCCAGCGAGCGGCGTCTGCCTTAATTTTCGGTGACCTTTTTTGAGATCTCATTTGATTTCTCAAGTAGTCTTTTCGATCATGTTTGGTAAATCAACCATTAAGCTCCCATGGATGAAATCTTTTCTTTAGCGGTTGCACGAAGTAATTGCTGGAACATTTGAATCGTTCCGCAAACCAATTCAAACTAAGTGAATTGGTCTGTTGTTTTTTTGGTTCTGCGGAAAATCGCATATAGGAATTGCGAAATTGGGAGCATTTCTGCACTTGCAGCTCACCTTCAAGTTTCAAGAACATAAAGTAACCTAGCTGCATATTTTGGCCTAGGAGCAGAACGGGGCTCTGTGCTGCCGAATTTGCACTTTGCATGGACGTTTTCTTAGCAACATAACGGCATCTAACTGCTCATAACTTCGTCCTCAAAGGCGCTAAGCAGATGCGGAATAGAAATTCGAATTTAGCGTGTTATGTTGCATCTAAGGCTCCCGCCGGAGTGCCGAAGTTATGCCAGCGCTACGCCAGCATTTCGGTCGATACACGTGTATTTCGTTGGGGACGTCAGCTGGCCCCGCCCCAATGAAATACACGTGTATCGATCGAAATGCTGGCGTAGCGCTGGCATAACTTCGGCACTCTGGCGGGAGCCTAATGGTATGCAGCTTGTTTCGATTGGCCACTTCGATTTGTGACCATTCCCTTGTTAGATTTTCTATTAGTTTAGTTCCTTTGGTATCGTGTAATTAGGACAGATGTTAGTAATGTAGTCGCGCGTTTGTCGTCATGTTTTATGGTCGCGTAGCGGGGTCGTCATAATGCGGTCGAAGTATAATCTGTTCGGCGCTGGGGCTTGCAGCTACAGGGCTTTTCAACTTAGAGAGTCGCAGGCTTCGCTTGCGCGGCTCCTCCGACGCGGCCGCCTCGCTCAGGCCGCGCGCGGCGTTTGCTGCGTATCGCCCGGATTTCGCCAAGCTTCCGTCGACGCGCAGCCAGCGCCACGAACGCTGCGCGGACCTAAGCGTGGCGGCCTAGCGGGGCGGGTGGGACACTCAGGTTGTAAACCCCTGTAGATGGTGCAGAATAGGCGGGCAGTGGAGCGAGGAAGGGGTGCTGATCACTGCTGGTGTAGCGGCTCGAGCTCACCGAGCCGCAGCAGCGACAAACCAATTCAAACTGAGTGTATCTACAGTCCACGAATACCCCTGTTAAAAAGTTATCCTTGGGATTAGATCTCTGCACAGTTGGTGCTTGTCTACTACCTAAATATATTAGCTTCTTTCATTGCTTACCTTCTCATTTTACTCTATATTCTTTATATTGTAGGCACTTGATTGTGCTCACTCAATGTGCATTTTGTAAATAAAACAGCTATCTTGTGCACAAAGCGTAAAATCTTGATTGTGAACCTTAAAAGATCCGTCATACTTTGCCGAGGAAAGCCCAGAAGCGCTAAAAAAAGCCCAGAAAACCCCAAAAGCACCACAAAGAGCCGAAACACCCCTTTTTGCGCGCAAGTAATACATGCGTATTTTGCTTCATTTTCTGTCTCCTGCACCCAAAACGATGTCAGAATTTCACCAAAACGTCCCAGCCAGATGACGAAATACGCAGCCATGCTGTGAGCCCTTGGCATCAATCCGTAGATTAAAATAATTTAAACTAGAAAAGAGCTATATAGGACAAATCGGATAGTCACGAACAATACAAAGACATTAGTTGGGCTGCATGAAAAGCTAAAATAGCGCAGCGGTATTTTCATAGCTGCACCTCGTCATCTTCGCAGTTTTTCAGAAACAGTGAGATACTGTAATGAAGTGAACGAGGAAAATCAAGATTTCTCTAGGTGCTACAACGCTCAATCCCGCGAAACTAAGTTACGGTAACGCAAGATTCTACAATCTATTTGATGGCTAGGGGACTCGAGACATTTTGCACAAATTCTCTAAACAAGCTTGATTGTGTCAGCAAAGTATACTAGTACATCTATTTCATCACGATCATGCGATTTGAGACTAGGAAAGAACAAATTCAAACTGTTTAGACAATGTCTGCAAAGCAGTCGCGTGTCTCCTAGTCATAGCATAGATGATATAATATAAAAGTATGCAGAGAGTCCAATGCTGCGTTTAGTATCATTGTCTGTTATGTATGAGCATATTTTAATATTAAAATGTCTGCCTAATGTGATGCCTTTTCAAGTTAACTGTGTTAAGCGTTGGCGCAGTCTTTTATGGTTTTGCATGCATTCGCTAGCTCTTCCTCTCGTCAAGAAACTTCTAGAAACTGTTCGGGCACGCCTGTTTACCTCTATAAATCAAAAGTGCATGTCTCCTTTGTTCGCCAGCCTTCGCTTGCAAGACCTTCGCACGCGTGTAGTGCACATAAGAACCGCTGCAGCAGACGGTTGTTCGATTTATGCTGAGGACGCTGCATCTGGTTGTCCCCATCCTTCCTTCACAATATTTCAACAACGAAGAAACTTTCGCCGCCTCGTCTAGCTTCAATTTTGCAGGTAATGGTGCTATTTTGATATCCGGCGATTTCTGTCTACTTCAGTTGGTCTCAGTTTTACACTACTTTCACCATTTGGGTGGAATGTCAATGTCAATTATTCAGTGACTAAGAAGGCTCGAAACCGCTTTGCACACATTTTCAGAAGTGGTTAATAAGTTTAAATTTGTGGTCTATCTAAACTAGGGTTATTTACTACTTGGAAACTCGCAAGAACAAGTCCAGGTTTGTTTAGACAATATGTGTAAAGCGGTTTTGCTCTGTCAGAAAATGATATCATTTATTGCTCACTTTTTCTTTGAGAGGAATTTCTGCACAGTTTATGGATGCATCAGCAGTGCAAGGCCATGGAAACACTTTCGAAATCTTTGTTGCAAAGTTGAAATCAATAACACGGCGAATGTGCAGCGTGCAAGTGCGTTCCTGTTTTAGAAAGGGTAATTGCTGTTCAAGAGATAATTGTGTACTGGGACTCCCACTAGATTCACAATCAGATTCGCTGATTACCATCCTTTTTCTATGCATCTGCCCCATTTTGGATTTGAGAGGCTGCTGCTGTCTTTCTGAATATCCGACTTATTTCGTCATCGGTGAGGTAAACTGCAAATTTATGTTCTCAGTTTCTCATGACAGACTCAAACGTTAACTTCCATTGTGGTCTACACACTTTGTTTGAAAAAAGAGCAACTTTCAGCTAGTGATGTTTCGCTAAACTTTTCTCATGGCTCTGAACATTTGTAAGAATCAAAGCTAATCACTACAGCTTTTGACGGAAAACAAGTTTTTCCAAAGTGAATTTCCAAAAGGAACAAAATGCTGGATGATCTTTCATACGCGTCATTCGTCTTTTGTTTGAGTAATGACCGACTATGCCAAGCAAGTGCTGCTTTCTCTGCTAGCCACAGAGAACGGGTGTGAGTCACATCTCAGCCCAGCGCGCTGTCTCGCTTTTTTTTGCCCTGCTGTAATTTTCTCCGAACGTTCTCGAAGCCAGTGTCATGCATACATGTCTTTGACTAGCATCGCACTCAGCATAATCAATTTCAGTTTGAGCGGAATTTGTGGACAATTGCAGTCTATTTATCTCAGGCCAAAAAGGTTATTCGTTGTAAATCTACAAACGGTAGATTATATTATTCGGTTCAATTGGTTCGTCGGATTCACCCATTCGCTATAGGTCGGTTCAAGGAAGGGTGAGCCAGATGAACGGGATAAATTGGGTAAACTAGTATGGCGCGTGGCTGGGTTCGTACTGATACGGATAAGTAAGGATCAGTACGAACCCAACCTAACAGAGCCTGAGGTGCTGCAACAGGTGACTTAGGACGACAGTGATACGCTATGATGCGCTTCCTAATCCGCGCTTGGGAGGTTGCGAGTGTCTGTCGAAGGTCATATTAATCATGACTCGGCATTGGACAGCCGCATCGTTGAGGCGTTCACTCGTCTCTTATCATCGCGTGATTTTGGAAGTTTTGATACGCAAATTGAGCTTGCGCAACTCGGCTTGTGCGAATCCTGTATTACGCAGCGGGGGCATTGGGGGGGGACGGTCAGGAGATGATCGGCGCGAATTTTTCGCGAAGCGACGCCGAAACGTACTTCAACCAATACAACAGCAGCACTCCAGGCGCAATGTTACTTATGGCATTGAGTTATGTATCTGCCTCCACCCCTACCTCCGTGTTTTTGCCGCCGGGAGTCTCTGATATGGGGAGCTCTATGGGTCCCAAGATCGGGACGCGGCGAAGCGGCCACCGCGCGCGGCGCACGTGCAGCCTGGCATTGGGGCCAGGGCTCAGCACAGCTGGCACCGGGTCAAGCTGGATATCATTTTTAGGGCGGAAAGCAAAGGGGATATCGTTTCTACAGGGGCCGAGGCGGAGGACTGCCGCAAAAATGCCGCCGGCATGCCACCGGCATGCCATTGGCAAGCTGTCCATCAACAAACAAAGGCGTTGTTTTCAGCCAAAACGCAATAGTATGACACCAAATTTGGTGTGTGCATGCGCGTTGGTGGACTGGAACTACGGGCCAAAAATTTATGAAAACTTATGTGAATGAAAGCTGTGCCGAACTTTTTTCTGAATTAGCTGGCACCGTGCCAGCTGGGTTCCAGCTGAGCTGGCACCGACACTTTGCTCACATAAGTTTTCATACTTTTTTACATAAAATGTATCTACACTGTAAAAGATTACATACGGAGAAGAAGCAGTTTCATAATGTTCTCTTTTCAGCGTTTTATAGCAATTTGAAATCCACTCGGTCCGCTCCGCAGTCGAAAAATCGGCTTTTTCTGCTTCTCAAGATGTGATTCGGCCACTTAAAAAGCTCAGAAAGCTGTGAAAAGTTCTTTCATGAAATCACAAATGCATGAAAACACTACTACATTTTTTACATAATATAAAAACGATGGTTTTCAAAACAGGTCAAAAGGGACTTCGTACAAAATTTTCAATATCAAACGGGACTTCGTTTTGAAATTTCCCTGGTGCCAGCTCGTGCCGAGCCCTGATTGGGGCTCTTCGTCATAAGCACCAAGTGTGGAGTGTATTCATGCTATCTATTGACTGATAATTGATGTCACAGTGAACGGAAAAATAATGGAGGCTTCTGTGGGGGCTTGGAAGGGCATCACAGATTTTATCTATGAAGTAGAAATGAGGTAAAGGCGATTAATAGCAAGCAAAGACAAGCCTCATTATGGACGCTATCGGCATCTCGCTAATCGAGCGCTCTGTCATCCATCTTGCCGTCTGCTGTCTCTCCCATGTAGTTTGAAAGTTATTCTCAAAAAAGCAAATCTCAGGTAACATAACTCAAGAGAGCATTTGCGCATCAGTTTTCTTTTGGCGTTACTAAAATTTTTCTGGAAAGAAATGGACTTGGGCATCATAAGACGTTCTCGAAGAAGAAAAGGGAATGATTCTTGCGATATTGTTTATCACCCGATAACGTCGTGAGTATAATTTCGTCTATTTTACTCCAATAGTCAAGGATTAGAATCGGCCTATTATGGTTCTTTTCTTGGACAAGATTTCGTCGATTCCGTAGGTCCAATCCTTGTTGTTATCTACTTTAATTTCATAGACCGACATGATTATGAAACATCGCAGTTGTTTCTTTTGATAATTGTTCTAGCCTTGCACTCTGTTCACATACTAAACCCATTTGTGATCTAGTCTGGGTAAAACTTGCAGGTACTGCGTATATGCTGCACGAACGGTTATGGCAGTTGCCCGTCTAAAACTTCAAATCCCCAACCCTGATGGGGATCTGTTCACGTCAGAGCGTGGCAAGCTAATTATTGGACATTTCCATCAAGTACGTTTCATGCTGTGTGAGATTGCTAATACGTCGGTTCTTTTAATGCTAAACCATAAAAAAATGATTTCCATTCAGATTCTCGATCAGTTTAAATTCAAATTTGACTTGCCTATATCGTTAGACGTGCGGGAGTATGGCGAACAAGTTAGAATTGAGATCTACGAGGTAAGTCGCATGAGGTTTTAATAATTTAAGAAGTTGATCACGTTTGATTGTTAACATTTTCGTCCAATAATTAATACTAGATGTCTCGCATTCGATTGTCCGCGTAGCGTTTACCAGTGGCGACCGAGGGAGGGGGGGTTGCGAAAATTTTGAAATTTACTTACATGAGTCATAAAAATGTGTAGGTGACTTGTTTATTCCTGTGAATAATTGTAGTAATTTATAGAAATTTTTGAAAATTCAGATTAGCCTTGTAAAAAATATCGGAGGCGTGGCTGCCACCACGCTCCCTTCTTTTAGATTTTAGGGGTGGGACGCAATAAAATTCTTCGGAGGGCGCGGCTAACGCCACGCAGTTCATTTGAAATTTTTTTTACCGCCCTCGTTCCCCCGAACAGACATCCTGGGACCGCCACGGTGCTTACATATGGTGACACACTTGTTTTGTAGGGACTAAAAGAAAATGTAAATTCTCAGCGTCTACTATCCTTTCTGAACTTAGCTAGTATAGCTTGTCAAGAACTTCTTCAAATTCTTACACCAGATGCCGAGTTCATCACGTTTCAATCCTTTTCTTTTAGCTCCTACCACGACCAACTACATCTATAGAGGTTGCTTCCTTAGAATTGCTATATCATAGAGGCTTGTATGTGACCTGGAACGTTGTGCCACCAGATGTAATTGCTACGATATAGTCCTGGCACTGTCTGCCGCTATGTGGCGTCATATATCACTATAGTATCGTCGTCAGATGCATTACAGCTGCTCGAGAAATTCATGGGGTCTGGGAAATTAGCGAGAGCTACCTGTAGCATGATTGCTTTTGATCAAGAGGCGCGATTGTTGTCATCAATTCCATACTCCATTTCAGCGCTATGTGTGTTTTCAAGAGAACAGACAAAGTGCTTCGGCTTACTGCTGCTCGAAGCTACCGTTTGCTAAACTAGGCGGCTTTTACTAAGAAACTGAATGAAATGTCAGATTCATTGTTACTTCCAATTTTATTTGTTTTTACCTTCTACAAATTTGTTGCAAGCTTATCTTGTGGTCATAACACCGAACAACACATGCCTCTGTATGGTGATAAGTCCTTTTTAGAATTTCAATTGCGTTATAAAACACCAAACATGTGCTACCTATTATCATCAATCTCGTAAAAGATCGCGCCTCTCAGTAACCCCTTTTTTCATGGTCGATTTGATGTTCAGAGACAGCCATGTGCGGAAGGATAACTGCAATTACTGCAATAGATCGTTGTAGTTGATGGGTAGTTTCCAGATAGTTCTAAGTAAACTAAAAGTGAGAGTTATCTTAGTAATACACGAGAAATCCGAAAGCGAATAGATTCAACATTGTAGTGTCACAAAATTTGATTGTTTTGCTGTTGGCAGTTCGCAACTACGAGGAGAAACTGGTATTATATGCATGGGAACAGAATGTCACGTTAGAGATGTAGCGTCAAAGATGTAGCAGTCAAACGCCCCTGCTTCAGATACTTTCTTCGATGTTCATGCTTGAGGCACCGTGCTAAAACTGCGTCTGTAGTTGCCTCTGTGTCAGCATAGTACATCGCAAATTTCTTGCGCTAGGCATCTAGGCTGCTGTTATACCCCCGTAGCTCTTCAGCTGGCTTCACTAACTCCATGAAGCTGTGTACTGATCCGAAGGCTTCGCGCACGCAAAATCCAGTGCTTGTCCATGTGCGGTGTCATGCTTTTGCAGACGTTGCGGCACACGCTATGCTTGATTTAGATCACTTCATCCATTTCATTATTGGTTATATCTTTGGTAGGCGTCAGAGGCCCTCGCCATACTTGATCCACTTGATCCGCTTCGTGCAGAACACGCGCACTCAGCAGTCTGTCATTTGGCGTCGTGTACAGCGAATTTGCTTAACTATACAAGATTCCTTTTTACCTACGCGGCGCCAAATGACAGACTTCTGAGTGCGCGCGTTTTGCATAAAGCGGATCAAGCGGATCAAGTGGATTAAGCGAATCAAGAGGATCAAGTATGGCGGGTGCCAGACATACGATTGCCTGCTTCAGCAGGCGCGGCGCAGCTAGTAAGCTGGTGTCATTTGGCGTCACGTTGGATGGATATCGAAGTGGCGTCTGCGATGTTCGCAACAACAGTAGTTTTTAAGGGATGATAAAAAGCCTCCCAGAATGAGAGAATGACAAAAAGGCTTTACCAGTGGAGAATTCTTGTGTAGTGAAATCGCGCACGATGACTTGATTTTCCTACAACGTGACATCAAATGACAGTAACTGCGGCGTCCTGCTGAAGCAGGACGATTGGTCAGTCTGGCGCCTACTTTTGAGTTAACCAATGGCGGAGTGGATGGAATGGATCGGGTCAAATTTGGCGTGTTTTCTCCTAGACGGCACAAAGGTGTGGGTGATGAACCGTAGCTATAAATAATCATGCAATACCAGTGGCGGTCCCAGGATTTGACCGGGGGGGAGCGCGACAAAAAAATTTTTCAAATGAAGGTGCGTGGCGTTAGCCACGCACTCTAAAAATTTTTTGGGGTGCTTCTCAAAATTTTTGCGGGTCCTCAAGCCCCGAAAGGAATTTTTTATAAGGTTAGTTTGAATTTTTAAAAAATTCAGAAAATTATTCCAATTATTTACAAAAATAAACAAGTCGTTTGCCATTTTTATGACCCTCATACGTTAGTTTCAAAGATTTCGCGACCCATTCTCGGGGGGACGCGCCTCCCCCCCCCTCGGTCCTCCACTGTGCAGTACATCTAGGATATCAGTAATCTCACATTCCGAAGCAATATGCATTGCATAGCATTACAGTTAACTTCAAAAGGGTATGATTTACGCAACGCACGCATCTGATCGTTCATGTGGGCTGCCTCACTAGGAGCTTGTGCGTACACGTTGCTGCGCCAACCGGCTCTGGTCTGAAATCTGCTCATAGGTTGAATTCAACTGCTACTATTTAGAAGCTGAAGAGGCGCTTCCGAAAAAGTTTTTGCAAAAGGTTGCTAGAAGTTTTTAAAAATCTTGGAAAAAATTCAAATCTTCACAAAAGCACTTGGACAATTTCATAGTTAATGTTCAACCTTGCGAACTTACACTCGCTGCACCATTCCAGATAAAGCCTTGTTCGCGATCGACAAAGTGGTTGCTTGCGATTTTCGAGTACTTTGCAATACTGAAGAACAAGAAACTGAAGATATACCCTAGCGTGATTGTACATTCGCCGCAGCTCTTTTCTACTAAAATTAGGTGAGTTCCTATCTTTTCTCTCTTTCACTCCCGTAACGTTCATTTTCCTCAGATCATCACATCAGCGCTCTCTGGGAGCAATTTATTTTGGAAATTTGCAGCGTGGTATTTTTATCAATCATTGGGAGGTAAATGATTAGAATTTTATGAGGCTAATAGATCTGACGGTAAATTAGCTCTTTGCTGTGTTGGGCGACAACATTTGCGCGTGAATTAATAGCTACGCCTGATGCCTATTCTGTATAAGCAAATTGCAGGCGTCACAGGCGCAGCTATTCGTTAACGCGTCGACACCGCAAGGACAATATGTTTACTTAGATTGCTCAGCTTATATATATATCTAATACCTCAGGTGTCTTTTAAACGAGAGAATACAAATAATCGAATATGGGCAGATTTTCTGTATGACGAAAATGATCTTCTGTGTATTACTTTTGCGAACCCTGAGGAAGACTGTAAGTTGTTCCTCATGTTTGCTTTGGGGCCATTTCTTAGGGATTACAGATCCAAGTCTTCCATCTGGGCAGCATTCAACAGAGCTTGCCAATGGGATAGCTAATTACAAATTGCAGGTGGGTTTTTTAGCCGTACTCACTATGAAAATCACTATCATTGTCTTCATCTACTATTTATCCACTAATAATGGTAATTGTGGCTTAATCACTGAGAGGGTAAGAGAGGGATGGCAGAGAAAGAAGGATAGCACTTGCCAGCCGCTGTTGACATGCGCTGTTTGCCAAAAATGCGCAAATTTCAATGTTATAAAAGTGACTAGGGTTATAATAAGTACTTTACTAAATAAGTTTGCTCAGAGCTCGGTGATAAGTGCGGTAATGTTATTGCAGAAAAACTTGTTTTTTAGAGAGCAAAATCTATCTTATTCTCCTGTCTAGATAAAAGTGTGAAAGACGGAAAAGCTCTAACTTTCTGCGTGCGGATGGACAAAAATGACGGTGAAAGTTGCGCGACTTACTGGCACCCACCAGCTATGGTTCCTCTCGCTCACCACCCGTGATAGTAACTAAGAGATCTCGGATATCATCTATTCTAGGGCTAGGAGGCCTAAGACCGCTTTGCACATATTGCCCAAACAAGGTTGACTTGTCCTTTTCTGTTTGCAAGTCGCAATCAATCTTAAATGAGATGCTAAAAAGTATCAACTTGCTAAATACACGACAAACGTGGATTGTCTGAAGCGATTTTGGAAAGTACGAGGGTTGCTCAGTTGGTTTGAGGCTCTGTGCATCCAGTAAGCGCAATGGCAAACTCACCAACTCTCGCGATCACGCAGAGCCCCTATACAGTCTGCCCTAATTCCAATCATGCGAAAATTGGCATGGCGCATCGCTAGGGTTTTCCGTCATGCCCACGCCTGCTTGCCTGATCTCTCTACAGGGCTCCTAAATTGCAGAGTCCTTTGCACCAGCGGTCGCGCGACCGCGTCGCGCCGGGCATTTTGCCGGCGCCGGCGCAATCGATCGAGGCGGCGCTATTGATGCCTGGGCGCGACGCGGTCTCGCGACCGCTGGTGCAAACGACTCTGCAGTTTGGGAGCCTTGTATCTCTTCGCTCTCCCCGACAGTACGCATGTGCAGCGCAAAAGCCTAGCCCAGCGAGCGCGCAAATCTGGCCAACGGGTCGACCTGATCCCATTTGGAGCAGTATGTACGTTTTTGCGCCAGGAGTTGATTTGTGTAAATATATCCTGTTCCTACACCACACAACGGTTAGAGACACTATCATGATTAAAAAACAGTATGAAATCAGGAATAGTTGACACAAAGACCATTGTACGACGCAGAAAAAGAGCTCTTCCAATCTATCAGGCGCAGCAGACTCTCTGTTCCATGTAGTTCCAAGCTAAAATTCAATAACTTCTGAATGCCCAAAAAATCAAAAAATCGGCTTCTGTTTGAAATCTTTTCTACCATTGGGTTTACCACTCCTCACACAGCATATGCGCCCGACATCAAACATTCGCATACAATACAATTGCTGCGATGTTTTCTTGGCTTTTCATGTCAAATTAGCGTGGCTGCCTCCAGTGGCAGTCCCAGGATTTCCGTGCGGGTGGCGGGGGGAGGGAGAGCAGAAAATTTTTTTTTTCAATTGGTGGTGCGTGACGTTAGCCATGCACACTTCGAAAAAATTTTTGGGATGCTTTTTAAAATTTCAGCAGGCCCATTAACCTCTAAAACCTTGAAAAAGGAGCGATGACCACCCCCCCCCCGATTTTTTTTTACAGGGCTATCTCAGATTTTTAGAAAGTTTCAAAAATTATTTGTATCGCATGCCTTTGGAAATGCAGTTGTAGATCTTTAGCATTCTACAAGAAGTGATCTTCTAACATCAAATTCAGCATAAAAATCTAAAAAGTGATCAGATTTCATGCTTTCAGGTACGCTTGTCTTCTGTCTCTCGCATCATGATTGAAGGACCGAGTCCGTGTGATCCTCTCCGGATTTATTTCGAGTTGAGATATCCGGTGATTGTACGCAGAAGTTTTCAAGTTAGAGGACAGGTACTGTCGTTCTCACTTAATGTTCATCTACTGTTGCCATTTTTTGATTACCCTCGAGAAATAGGGTCTGCGACCGGAGCAGGGATGCGATAGCATTTATCATAAGTTAGATGGGCAAGCCTCCAACTCCATACTAAATTATGCATGTGTGTGCGTCGCGGGCGCGGGCGGCCTCGATTAGGGCACAAAGCCCCGCCTCCCAGCCTCCAAGCCAGTTGAATGAAAGTTTAATCAGTTTGACAATCGAAACTCTTTACATTTGCAAAATATGTTGTGTCAATGTCGAGTATCCTTTTTGCAACATCGCATCTGCATCGAGGGCTTTAAACTAGAACGTCTGCGTGCTCTGCCAGTCTGCAGTTGCTGACGGTGATGGGAGTTTGTAACGATATGGTTATCATAAGGTTATGTGTGCTGTATGATTGAACATGCAGACTTTAGAAGAGTCACTTTCGAGGTGTGGAAATTGCCCCTCCACACGCCAGCAAACTTGGCTCAAGGCTTTCTCAGCGCGGGCACGCCATTGCTCGATCGAGGGAGAGAAAATGCGTCATCAGTAACTGTAAATTTGCGGGAGAGAGCACAAGGAACACGCAAAATGAACCTACGAGATATCTTACAACTAGACATCTTATTGTCAGCATCTCGCTTGACTGTAGCTATGATCTGGCTTCGCTTGATCCTTGTCATCATAGTATGACAGATGCCATTTTGTCCCATCACACATTTCCTTGTCCAGTCCCTCATCATCTAAATTCCAACTCCCCGCTCTCCGCCCGTGCCAACATGCAACCCGTAGCTAGCGAAAAATTGATAAAATCGATGTAAGTAATGGGTGCATTTGCAATCGCCTCTTATATTCTTAATTAGCATGCTTACTCCCCCCCCATCCCCTCTTCCTCCTCCTCTCCGGTGTCAACCAGCCCATCAACTCAACGTTTGCACAAAATTGATGTAGGATCAGTAAAGGTGTTGGACAAATCTAGAAATGAATATTGTTTTTGTGATCGATATGCTTACTTGCTCCCCTCCCTTTCCTTCCCTCGACGCCAAATTCCCATTCCCGTAGCTCAAAGCTTGCAAGAAATTAGTAAAATTGAAAAAGGTAAGCGGTGATTCAAAGACTAGTACTGTCTTCGTGATCAGCATGCTCATTTACCCTTGTGTCAACTCCCGTACCCGTAGCTCAAAGTCTGCTAAAAGGTCTGCAAAATTGCCTCCCTCCTCGAGACAGGTTGCGTAATTATTGAAAGTCACTTACATGGAATATATACTTGTAAGTATAAAAATGATTTTTAGATTTTTCTCAGGAATTCATATCAGCATTGCAAGAATTTTTTTCGGGGGCGCAGCTGCCGCCAGCCCCCCTTTTTCGAAATTTAGAGATAATGGGCCCGCGAAAATTTTGGGAAGCATTCCAAAAAATTTTTCGGAGTGCGTGGGTAATGAATGACACGCAGCTCTATTTGAAAAGTTTTTGTCGCGTCAGTTCTACGAAGTTTACAAACTTTGAGGAGCTGAGATTTCGCATAAGGATGTGAGTATGGTAATTCCAAGTATACAGTGAGGGTAGGAAGTTGTCATATAGGAGCGGGAAGGCAGGATACTGCTTTACAAAGTGGGGAAATGATGATATTTATCATAGTTTATTGACTGGACCGCGCAGAACCGTGTATGCCCGCTAGTATTATTTAGTAGTAGCCTGACATTGGAGTGAAACGAAATTTGTATCGCTGGCAAAAGTCTCAAAGACAGCATATCGGGTACGGTGTCTCCATTCACCAGCCAATCGCGCTTAGCTGCAAAGCAGTCTTGGACTTAGGTCGTCCAGAGGAACTGAGAGCGGTGAATATTCCAAAGGTGTCATTCCGCCGAGCCGCTGCTTTCAAGAACGTTGAAATGCTCCTGTCGCAGATTCAAATGGCTTGTTTATGTTCACTACAGAAAGAGTAGTTTTGTCAGTTGAACAAAGTCGAATGGTTCAGGCGGTTTTTTTTCCAGAGAAACAAGGGATACACACGATACCTTGAAATCCGCCGAGGGAGAACCGCAAACGATATTCCTGATGTGAAGGCTCTCACAGATAGTCCAGTATTCATGATCGAATTCTATCCTTTGCCAAAAGTAATTTCCATATCTCTTTTTGTCTTCCATAATTATGATCAGTTCAAGCTACCTTTATTCTACGAGATACTGTCACGACTTCGAATGAGGACCGGATTAGGCATTGAAATCAGTCATTTTTCGGTAGCTATCAGTTTATCACTTTCGCTTCAGCTACTCGGTTTTCCTCCGTTTAGATGCGGAACTATTTGTATTTCAAAGATGACTGTCCTTATGCTCGTTGGGTCCCTTCGAATTTGGATAGGAACGCTGCCACGTCTCAAGACGATGACATCTTCGATGAGTTTCTGGATCGGGTTGGTATTAGCTGCAAATGAAAAATCGCATTTAGTTGTTTATGACTACCCTTTTGCAGACCATCAAAATGAAGGATTTGTACGACGCTAACAAATACGCTGTGAGGCCTGAGTGGGTCACTGATGTGTTCCGAGAACGCAGATTCTCCTTGATATTTCTCATAGAGCTATTAATTTCTAAGTAATTGAACTGCTGCTAGAACATCGTGTCTAACTTCTTGTGTTCAGGGGGGCAGTTGTAAAGGATCAGCTGCTGCTGGATAAAGAAAGCTGGTGTCGCTTTCTGATGGTCGTCAACGATTGTTATTTGAGGGACAGAGAGGTATCTTCTTGCTCTTTCAATAATCTCCAAATGCTGTGTAGTCATTGCTAACATTGAGTATGTGGGTCATCACAAATAATATATAGATCTTATATATAAAGATGAATGTCTGTTTGTTTGTCTGTCTGTCTGTCTGTCTGTCTGTATGTCTGTGTGTACGTATGTTCCGAATAGAAAATTCCATTTCTGAACCGATCCGGACCAAACTTGGCACACATATACATCGGGCCCCGGCGGCTGTCATAGGCTACTTTTCGTCATCGATCGACATCGATTTTATCGATTTTTTGCAAAATTTGAGCTACAGGGCTGGGAGTTGGCACAGGGGGGTAATCGAGCATGCTGATTACGAATATAATAATGACAGGGCCGGGCGGAGCCGGGTAAGTCAACTAGTATTTCATAAGCTTTGGTAAGATAAATTTTGGACAAAAGAAATGCAGGGTAATAAATGCAGGAGAAATTTGGTCACTGGATCGGTTGTGGTTTTAGCTTCTACTTGCTATAAAGTACATGCTACCTACCCTCTTGAGATTGTCCCGTTTTTTTTAGGAAGAACATGGAGAAATAAGCGACCACAAACACGAATACGTAACAACCCTTGTTCTTGAGAAAAATGAGCATCCGATTATTTTGAATCATCGTTTGTGTTGTGAATTCTCTGTCACACAAACGCTCATAAACGAAAAACTTTAGGACTGACTTGGTTTTGTATGCTGGGATTGACTGGGTCCCTTGCTATAAACTAGATTTATTTTTCTTGCGACAGCATGTCGACTTTTTTTATTCTGAAAAAAGAAAGATTCATACAATCAGATACCCCTTCAATGGCTCATTGCCAGCCAGGCGGCTATATATAGCGGCGGCGCCTCATTTGAGTGTCCTTGGGGGATTGTGTCTCAAGTTGGAATTCTAACATCTACGGGAGCTGAAGGGGACGTGCCGTCGTCTACAGCGTTGGCGTTGCGCGGTGGATCTGTTGCGCGAAACCTCGGGAGCCACTGTATCTTTTGAGATTACTTGTAGACGTGCATCGGTAGCATGGGACGGGCCCTCTCCCTTGTTTCATTTAGTAGTAGTAGTAATTTGTTTTTAGTTTAGTATTTCCTTTTGTCTATTTTAGCTGTGGTGTGTCATAAGGATAATTTACTTGATCAATCTTATGTATCTTTCGGTCGCGCATTACGTGCGCAGTAGGATAGGTACGTCGCTTAGCATCGGGCGAGCATTAGGCCTCGGGTTACATCTAGGTGCCAAGAGCCCACTGAGTCGCCACTCCTGTCAACTTTAGAACCAACTCTCATTCAAAAGCGAGCTATCACACTGTGGACATTTTGTATAAAGCACTTGTTCAGGTCTGCCTTTCATCACTAGAACGCATTGCAACGATGATTGACGAACGAGGGAAGCTTGATTCCATTCGTTGGGTGAGAATCAATTATCTTGAAAATGCTTGTGCTCATTTACCGAAAATCAGGCTCTGCTGAATGAGTTTGAAGATGAATGTCGTCATGGGTATACTATGCAATTGTCCAAGGAGGAAATCAAACGTGGTTACCGTAGAGTTCGGAAGGTACCTCCGACACAAGCCTGGATATTACATGTCTGATCTGTGTCATTGCAATCTTTTTACAGATAGTCGTTACTCCGTCACGAATCATCTATGTTCCGCCTGAGACATTGATGCCAAACCGAGTCATAAGGAAATACGATCATGATGGCGCCAGAATTCTGCGTGTGACATTCAGGTAGTTGTCATTTCGTATTGTGATCATCAGTACTGTTTTCGTTATTTGTGCTGATATAGTAATGTTAATTGCAGAGATGACGATAATCAGCCAATGCGGCCATCAAAAACTTCAGAGTTATTGATCGAAGAAACGTTGCGAAAAGTGTTACGCGAAGGAATCGTTGTGGCCGGTAAATGTCTTTTGCTGTTTTTTTTGTTCCCAATGCTATAACTTACGGATAGGTAGTGGCTTAAAGGCAGTGGCTCTGCAAATCTCAACCTAGTCAAATTTGCGCCCTGGGGTTTTTCAATACGCTGAGACCGAAAATCCACTTTTGAAAGGTTGAAAACGGCGAAAATGAGCGTTTTTCAATGACCTTCCCTTTGGACTTGGACGAATGGAGCAAGGTCGATGACGCTAAATCGTAGCAGGACCCAATGGTTATAGCGTTGCAGCGGGCAGCCTCCAATGGTGAGAAGGAAATTGCCAACTCGTCCAGATGCGTGTAAGATTGGCCTGCGCGTGTAAGTTTGAGAGCGATTTTCTCGGCAGGGAAAGCATGCTGTGCAACCGGGAGCTGTTTTCATACTTGGGTGATAAGGAACCTACCGCGTTAAAATCCCGAGTTGTTGGATTTTGCCGATCCACTGCCTTTAAGCATCGTTGAGAAGCTACGACCTAACGGCGATCTACTTCGGCAAATAATGATAACACATATTGATAATGATCTACTTTATTGAGTGGTACAGGTCATTCGGAAGTTTTTTCTCGCTTTTTAAGCATTCGGTTTGTGCCAATTTTCCCAGTGGTGGGCGTCAGTACTGACATGCATATCATTTCACGAGTTTTTTCGATACCAGCTTTTGAATCAGGTCCGTTCTATGGAACTTTTACGAAGACAAGCCTAGATTTTCGACGCATCGCACTTTACGAGCTCGCAGTTGGATTGAAGACAACCACGGCAGCTGCCAATATGCATCTTGCGAAACTGCACCTACTTTTAGACAGCGCAAATTTGGTTTGTCCCGTCCAAATGTGGAGAGCTGACCATTGATGAAAAGCCGCGCGCAGCGGCTGCGAGCGGTGCGAAAATCCTTCCTGTGACGTAGAATGACAATTATTGAAAGCCGTTGGTGAAGGCCCTAGGTCTAGCTGTGCCAAATCGTCAGCAGGCTCAAGAAGCTGCAAGGTTAAAAAACCGATAAGTGGGTCCCTCGTGAGCTATCACAGTCAGAGCTGTCACTTGTGGCAGATGCACCTACGACAATGGGAAGAGGTTGCCACAGTAATTGGATTCGAGTGAGCCACGAAGTTGGCCTCAAGCAGATCAGCAATTTTAAGATGCTATGCTCTCATTCTGGGAATAGCGCAAGGCTCACTGCACTACAGCTTCGTAAGGCCCGTATGCCCTAACATCCCTGCGGCGAGGGGAGCGGCTTCTCCAATGATGAAAAGCTGCAGCGCCATCCGCATGCGGCCTTATGTAACGGTAGACGCCACTCGTCTTGCCGCAGAGATGTTAGTGCATGCGGGCTATGTACTGTTGCAGCGGAGTCCTGCAGTAGGGATGTGGGAACGGCATATCAAAAGCCGAAGGTCAGGAACCAGCTTTGTTAGAAAAGTTATCCTTCTTCGCGATAACGCAACCCCATGTGGGGAAAGTGGCTCATGAAATATTACAGCAACTGTGTAATGAGATGCTCCTCATTCACATAATTCCCCAGATCTTTTGCCTACGGATTACCACTTCTTCAGGTTCCTTGTTGTTTTTGAAAGGGCAGGTGGGTTGAGACCGTTAGAATGGGCTTCCGAAAAATTTTCGGCTTTCTGAATAATGCTTTCTTCATTGAAGGAGTCAGTACATCGGTGGAACAGAAATGGTACACATTAGTGATTATTTTGAACTAGCTGGCTTACCCGGCTCCGCCGTATCCGGACCAAACTTGGCACACATACACTTCGGGCCCCGGCGGGTGTCACAGTCCACTTTTCGTTATCGATCGATGTCGATTTTACCGATTTTTATCGATTTTTTTGCAGAATTCACCTACAGGGCTAGGAGTTGGCACAGGGGGGGGGGGAAGTGAGCATGGGGATTCCGAGTACAATATTAGTTTCCAGAATTATCGATTACTTTTATTGATTTTATCGATTTTTTGTAAATTTTGACATGCGAGGCTGGGATTTTGCACAGGGGGTAATCGAGCATGCTGATTACGAACACAATATTAGTTTTCAGGATCGTCCATTACTTTTATCGATTTTATCGATTTTTTTGTAAAGTTTGACCTGCGGGGCTGGGAGTTTGCACAGGGGGGGGGTAATCGAGCATGCAGATTACGAATACAATATTAGTTTTCAAGATCGTCCATTACTTTTATCGATTTTATCGATTTTTTGAAAATTCGAGCTAGGGGGCTGGAATTTGGCACAGGGGTGTAACAGCATGCTGATCACTCCCCTTGGGGGTGATCAGCATGCTCGATTACCCCCCTGTGCCAACTCCCTGCCCCCTAGCTCAAACTTTGCAAAAAAATCGATAAAGTCGATAAAAGTAATCGATAATCCCGAAAACCAATATTGTATTCGGAATCAGCATGCTCGATTACCCCCCTGTGCCAAATTCCAGCCCCTAGCTCAAATTTTCAAAAAATCGATAAAATCGATAAAAGTAATGGACGATCCTGAAAACCAATATTGTATTCGGAATCCCCATGCTCGATTACCCCCCTGTGCAAAATCCCAGCCTCGCATGTCAAAATTTACAAAAAATCAATAAAATCAATAAAAGTAACCGATAATTCTGAAAACTAATATTGTATTCGGAATCCCCATGCTCACTTCCCCCCCTGTGCCAACTCCCAGCCCTGTAGGTGAACTCTGCCAAAAAATCGATAAAAATCGGTAAAATCGACATCGATCGATAACGAAAAGTGGACTGTGACACCCGCCGGGGCCCGAAGTGTATGTGTGCCAAGTTTGGTCCGGATACGGCGGAGCCGGGTAAGCCAGCTAGTATAAGATAAAAAGGTTGATTTGAACAAAATTATGATTTTTGATTTTTGTGTCGAGAGGAAAAATTTTTTGAATGACTAGGTGTTTCACTACAGTATCTCACTGTCATCACTCGACGGTAGTTTTCCCAAGCCGAAAGATTATTTAATTTCGAAGTTACGTCGTTAAAACGTAGTTTACCAGTAAATTCAATGTGCTAGAAGGCGCGCTCGCTTCGGGACCGCCCTCGGTTTTCTGCTATTGGAAGATTTTTGAGTTGAGCTAACGATTCCTTATTCATTAGATCACATGACATCGTTATGTTTAACATCGCTATCGTTAGTTTGTTTGACAAGCAAGGGAATTACTTCGATGAAAAAAAAACTTTGGAAATCAGTGCAGTGGGCATTATTCAATAAATAGCTCTGCGCCGTCGATGGCTGGCTGTCCATCAATCAACATGAAATTGGGCCAAATCTATGCCAAGTATTCAGTTAATGTGCCAATCATCACCGAGTGCTCAAATGCTAGAAGAGATTCATAGCACGCTTTCAGGGAGAAACTTCGGCTATCTTGGAAATTCGAATTCCCAAATGCGTGATAGAGGGGCGTACTTCATGGAAAAGTATTCCCGTCATCAGTTTTTTGAGTATTTAAATAAACATAAACTATCACCAGAACCTACTTGGCAGCCGAGGGTTGATCAAGTGCGAGAGGAACTAGGAGAGTACGTGAAATTGACTCAAATCAATGTAATCGCAAATTCACTATCATTTCAGTTTTTTGAAAATGGAGAATGTATACAAACTGATGGCCAGACTTGGACAATGCTTCACGCAGAGCAGAGTACGTTGAAATAATGCTTATCTATTACGTTGCTTTTCTATCCAAAATTCATTTATTTCAGGAGTCTGGGGCAATCTTCCAAAGGAGTGAATATTTTGCCGTCCCTGATGTCATCGGAGGCCGCAACAGTTTGAAGTGAGGTTTTTCAAAACATGTTGCAGAAGCCTCTCTAGGCCGAAACATTTTTGGTCTGTACTATCAGGTTTTCCAAAGTTTGCTTCGAAGATTTTGTGAAGAACTTGCTCTGTTTTCAACAACTTACACAAGCTACCCAAATATGCGTCCGAGAAGTACGCATGATAAATTTATAGAAATCTGGCGAACCGCCAAATCGTGTGAAAGTGGCGATTCGGCCGAATAGCGTGAGGTATGCCTTAGGCCTTAGACGACTGCACTCGTAGATGGAGTGGTAGAATGCTAACGATAATAGGCGTGTCAACTATTTAGACACATTTTTCACCTTAGAATCTTGAAAATGTTGCTGGTGATATATTTTTATTACATACAGGGTGTCCCCAAAATGTTCATCTCAATCGTTCCTCCTTGTCCTGCTTCGTTGTCTTTTGTCGATATCTAGATATATTAAGTAGGTGGTTCAACTTGAGTTTACAGTATTGATCAAATCTCTGATCGTATCGTAATCTACATTGACGAAGAGGAACTTTGAAGAGGTTACAAGCAGCTGAAGTTGCATCCCGCATTAGAAAGGGAATCAAAGAAGCTCAAAAGTCCAGCGAAGCTAATCAAAGTAGCTCATTTTCAAAGATGAAATTTGCGCATCACTGTCATGCTTCTTCCACCAGTCAAGTAAATTGTAACGACTGCTTTTCTGATGTTTCTTGAGAATGTATCACGCCATTAAAAAGCCTCAGAAAACTTAAAAAGTTACGTTAAAATCAGCATGGTGATAATCCTGCTAAGCAACTTGCACACTTTATTTTAGAAAATATTCTTCATCACTCGGCCTATTTCACAATCGCGCTGTTGCTGGAAGTTCATACCGTAACTCTACACCAGTGAGGGGGATCGGAGATTCGCTTCATACTGTTCCACGTTGAAGCAATCCTTACAGAATGGTCTCAAAGTTTGGCGAGAGACCTCGAAGCAGGAGAGCTATCGACGATCAAACAGTGTGCACACTTTTTTGGGACACCCTGTACAATCAGTTTGATGGAGTCTATGCCAAGATGAACGATAGCTAGAAATAATACTGTGTTTTTACGGCTGTGAATATGGGCTCTAAATTCTTATTTTCTGCTGCGATATGTTTTTTACTGGATTGAAAATGGTGTCGAACAGAAAGAAGTAGGGCTTCCGAGCTTCCACCGTTTTTTTCTAATTTTCTAGCAAAGAAACGATCCCAAGTAAAAATGGCGAACTGGAAGAACCGCATATTATTAGATGCCTCTTGATGAGCTGATTTCAAGACTACCTTCCAGCGATGCCTTTCTTTGGAAAAAGTTATGAGCGATTCAAGGCGTGAAATAATTGGGGTTTCAAACTAGCATGATATTGAGTGTACTGGTTTCAAGACTTACTCACATTTACCGGACACATATAAGTGTTTTTGAACGACTAGCTCTCGAGGATATGTCGCTAAATGTCTGCAAATTTTGGACCTTTGAATGCTCGTAACTTTTTCAAAGAACCACATCGCAGATATGGAGGTAGATCTGAAATCGGCTCATTTAGACGCATTTAACGATAGGTTCATTCCAGTTGGCCACCTTGATTTGGAATCGTCCTCATGTAAATATCATCGCAGCGGATATAGAATTTGAAAAACATCTGACCTACGCAACGCATATGGCTGGCACAAGCTATCGTTCATTTTGGCTGCCCCCATTTGATGCAGTGTTAAACAACATCTCAAGCCCACGCTATCGCCCTCCACATTTTGAATTTCGCGGGGGGGGGGGTGGAGAAGGTGACAGGTCTTAGTTGCTGCAAAGGCTTTTGATTTGAGGCTGTAGTTGTACAAAAAAATTTTGAGTTTTCCAAACGTAGTATACCTATGTGAAAAGTAAGTTTGCATAACGGTGGGTTTTTCGTCCCGTGAAAATTTCAAATTGGGTACTCGAACTGGTTATCGTTGTTACGTCGCATATGCATTGAACCGTTTTGAGTTCTTCGATTGATGCAGTGCAGTTAAGATAATTTGTAGGGAGTATTTATAGTAGCGTCCATCATTGCTTCATCGTAAAAAAGGAACAAGATCAAACATTTTGGATTGCATGACTGTTCTAGAGACATTTGATAGAGACTGAGTCGTAGAACCAAACTAAAAAATTGACATGGGCATTATCTTGATTTACCTCGCGACGTAACAAGGAAGCTCCGCAGATACCGTAGGTAGATCTGGAGTCAGCGTTTCTTGCGTTCCAAATCTGCACACACCCATCTTAAAAGCCAGACTGACCATTCTTCTTGTTAGTTTAGCTCTCCTTTTGCAATGTATTTTTCTGTGAGCATTCTACTGACCAGGAATTTAGTCGAATTGTCATAAATCTCATGTTGACTTTCTGACTTCATTATGAAATATGTATTCTAATAGTGAACCAGTAATCAAAAGTGCGTTGATTTGCATTTGCACGTCGGACCGCGCCGCGGTTTCCCGCTTTCTAAGTTTTTTTTTTGAACTGGCGCTACGATTTTTGCATATTAGATCACACGCTTACAAGCGCAGCTTCTTCGATTTTTCGCAGTCCGCTTAGTCGCATCAATGTGTTTCGGAAAGTAAGCCTTACACCGCACGATTTTCTTGAGCAATATGCCGCTCAATATAGGGTCCTCTGCTCGCCAATGTCTGTAGTATAGTGGCGTATCTGGGCTGGTCGATTTTGGAAATGATCGTCACCCTTGTACGCGTGAAATTATGGCAGTGAAATTGAGCTTTCTTAAAGGCACCGTCCACCCAGATTTTCGATTTCCAGGTTTTTGTCGTTTTAGCGCCTTCTCATGTCCCTGATTCCAAATATGAAGTCGAGAATCCGCGGAAATCCCGAAAATCCCCATTGCGGAGAACCCACGGGCCGGCTTTTCAGAACGGTGATTGGATGAGCGCGCACAAATGGGCGGGCATGGATGGGGAGGGGCGGGCATTGATGGGGGTCCTCGTGCATCCTCGCTATTGCGAGGCGATTTTCTCGCTTCCGAAGCGGCATTTTGCGCCGCGGCTTGGGCATTGGCTTGATAGGAGGCCCTACTGTTATATGCTGCCAAAAGCTCAATACCCTCAGCTTAGGGTGGACGGTGCCTTTAAGTGGGTTGGACGAACTAGAAGTCATTATCCACCAAGTTTCTCGACTTCCATGTTTTGGTCGTTCCTGGGCGTTCTCGGGCAGACTCCGGATATGAAGTTGATAATTCACAAAAATACCGACAGCTCCCGTTCCGCAGGCCGTGAGGGGAGCTGTCGGAACGGCGATTGGATGGGAGCGCACGGAAGGGCGGGCATTAGTGGAAGGGGGCGGTACCGAATTGGGGTCCTCATGACTCTTCGCTATTCCGAAGCGATTTCCTCGTTTTCAAAGCGGAATTCTGCGCTGCGACTTGAGCATTGGTTTAGTGGGAGGTCCTACCACAAGCTGCCAAAAGCACAAAACCCCTAGGGTGGACGGTGCCTTCAATGAACTTGGTATTATATGCTTACTAGCCGGCGTGGCCGGCTTCGCCCGCATTGGGGGTTAACGGCTTAACAAAAAAATTGGTGAGCCAGTTTGGAAGCTCAACATATCTGAATTCTAGCTTCCTTCTTTTTCTTAACACATGGCACGCTGATCGCATCTGTATCACCGCCACCCCCCCCCCCCATCGTGGAATGAAAATGAGTCCTTTCGTTCCACTCCTTCTACCGCTATTTTTTTACACTCTGGAGGCGGATTGATATCACTTGATAAGAGTTCATTTTTCTCGGAATCGATAAATCAGTAGAAGGAGTGGGAATTTCGCTGCGAAAAGTAGCCTACCGGGTGGACCGGTGTTGAGAACATATGTGTGCAAACTTCGGTGCTAATCGGTCCACATACGAAAATTTCTATAATGAGCACACTAGCAATTTAACAATTAGTTATAGCTTTTGGATTGCTTTATATACGTATGAATATTCAATAGTTTCGTGTTTTTGATTGTAGGTTCTATCCATAAGCAGTGTCCAATAGTCTAGAGCAATCCAGATATGCCTGTAAGGTTTTGAAATTACTGATGATGTTCTAATTTCAGTGAAAGTTACAAGTTCAGCGACGGTGTGGGGATGCTCAGCATGGCCTTCGCAACAGAAATTGCAAGAGACATGATGCTAGGCAAATGCGTACCGAGTTGCTATCAGGTAGGTTAGCTTTCATTTGCTTGACGGGAGACGATCCGAAGGCGCCCTCTATTCATCACTCACTTGAAAAAAGCCTGAGGAAACTCCAGTGAGAGTCCGGCTGCGTTTACATTGTTCCGTTCAGGCAATTGCTGCAGCAAACCGGTCGCTTGGGCTTTGCTTTTCATTCGCAACCGCAAAATACCAGCGTCGCGTGCATCAGGCCCAGAAATGGCCAGTAGGTGTGAGCTGGCGAATCGCGTATGTATATATGTCACGCTAACGGCGGCTAACATGCACGCCTGTAAGCTCAGAATTGCTGGTGGCCCGCGCACCCTTAGGTCGTGGGTATACCTCAGCGATTTCAGTTGCCGCGCGATCTGGCATTTATGCCTTCAAATCCAATATTGGCAGACCCCAAATGCACAGCATGTAAACTTCCGTAGTTTGAGAAATGCCCTATCTTCCATACCAGAAACCCCATACTACGGGTACAAGAATAAGCACTAGTTTGTCTTGTGTTTTACCTGAAAACCAATTTGAGCCGATTTCGCTTTTTCTCGAACACTGCTTCATTTGGAGTTTTTCATTAGAGCCGGAATAGTAAGCAGGACAAAAAGAGGATATGTGGTCTTTGAGAAATGGGGCTGAAACGCTCAAAAACCTAGTCTCATCAAAAGACAAGAAAAAATCCGCGATTTTCGTTACCGTGTTGATTGAAGTTTGGAGTCACTTGGCTATATCGATGACAAAATGATTTGAACTACAAAACAAGTTTCTCCCCCCCCCCCCCTCCCCTCGTCTCCTCTCCCTTCCCAACAAACAGAAACAGAGGAGAACGGACGGGCAAAGGGAAGTACGGCTTTTACGCAACGACACAAAAAAGCGTCCATTCTCGGACTTCAGATCTGGAAGTCTTTTCTTTTCAGGAGGAGACAAGGTATCAGAACGAGACGAAAATAAGTAAATTTTGCGTGTATATCGGTGAAAACTGTCAGTATTGGTACTTTACCGCTCTTTAGCGCATGCAGCACAGTTCAGGCACAGTCTAAACGCTGTGCTGGGATTGTGCCGGAACCGGATCAGTGTAAAAACGTAGTTTTTTTTTCGTTTCAAAATACCAGTTAGATATCACTTGTTGCATCTCGAAGTTTTTGGGCGAGAGAAGTATTGTTCCAATGCCAGCACAGCTCAGTTTCAACTGTTTCTTGAATTCGTTTTGACCATAGCTGTGAATTATTTTTTCTTGATACATCTAGTCTTAAATGTTCTTCGCAAAAATTTCGGCATCCACTTGGCTTTCACTCTGCCTGTCTACCAATGGCGGGCCGACGAGGGAGGGACGCCTCTTTCCCGCGAGAATGGTCGCAAAATTTAAGGGTTACATCTTATGTATAAAACTGAATGTCTGTTTGTCTGTCTGTATGTATGTCTGTCTGTGTGTACGTATGTTCCGAGTAGAAAATTCCATTTCTGAACCGATCCTGACCAAACTTGGCACACATTCACTTCGGGGGGAGGGGGTGTATCCCATTACTTGTGACCGCGCGCGACAGGCTGGTGGTAAACAGTTGCGAAGAGAGCTTGGGTAGCCGACTTGCAAGGCTTAGTATTTCATTTTTTGTAGGGGTTTTTACACTATCATTTCAAATTTCACTATTTGATGGATGTTTGGATCCGAATCTTGCAAGAATGATTAAGACAGTGAATGAAAAGATCGAAATTACTATGTATCTGGTCAGAAAATATGTACTTTTTGTCCGATATAACAACAAGACCCCAAACATATCCTCTGGAACATTTCCTCTGACCCTGTTGCCTCTCGCTCAGGTTACTGTAACGCCGCGTCGCGGCAATTTCTAATTGACACTCACAAGTAATGGGCGCCCCCCGGGGGGAGGCGGTCGATTGATACCCGGACAGCCGCTTGCAGCCGCATAGGGTGGTAATTAGCGAGGAGCGACGTAGGCTTACTAGCGTTGCGCTACGCGGCAGCCCGAACCTATGCCATTCACTCACCACACTCTGAGGTGCGAAAAGACCTAGGTCGTGAATCACAGTTCTGATGGTGCAGCCAATACAATTAAATTAGAAATAACTTAAATAATACTGATATAACGAGTCAAATCAAGTACCTGTTAGCCTAATCAGAACAAAATTTCAGAACAAATTTAAATCTTTTGCTTCTTTTCCTACTAATCATCTTGTATTCCAACAAGGGGGCAAAGCGACGATGCCCGCCAAATGCATACAGTGTAAAATCGCTCTTACTGACTTCCACTGAATTTTACTTGTGGCATCGAGTCATGTATCTGCTCCCACCCCCACCCCCCACCTTGGCGCTGTGCCATTTCAGCACCGAAGAGCTTTGAAAGTCATAAAATTTAGGGATTGTCGCCTCTCGCACCACACCCTTCCAACAATCTTTGAAGATAAGTTGCTTTACACTTTTTAACTGTGGTCAGATTTCTTAACTTGAATTTTTCCCGGCTCTCCGAAAATTGAACGTCTCAAAATTTCGGATTCTTTACCCACAAAATGAACGGATTGCAACCCTACTTTTGGAATTTTTGAAATGTCTTAATTTTCATAGTAAAGCCAATTCTCTTAAAAGAAATGCCTAGAAAGTTGAATAAAGAGCAGAGGGCTTGCATCAAGACGGCCTAAATTGTTTATTTCTCAAAAATCTCATATTTGAAATGTGTCTATATTCGATAAATTCAAAGAATTTTTGAAACCGTAAGTCGGATGGTTCAATCGTTTAAGTATTTCTAATCATTGTTCTATATCTGTTCGTTTGAATGGTTTTAGAACCCTTTATTGAAATTGTTTCATTAAAACCTCCATTTACGAGAAATTTTCGGCCGTTACGACTGTTTAATCCAGGTCATTTCGCACCTCATAGCGTGATGGCGAGAGACCGTAACAGAGAGGGAGGTATTAGAGAGGCGAGAGAGATTGCCGCATAGCGCAGCGCAATAAGGGTTGCGTCGCACCTCGGTAATTACCGCACGGTGCGGTGCGAGCGGCTGTCCGGGTATCTGTTGATACGGACCCCACTTCGGGCCCCGGCGCGTGTCATAGGCTACTTTTCGTCATCGATCGATATCGATTTTATCGATTTTTTGCAAAATTTGAGCTACGGGGCTGGGAGTTGGTACAGGGGGGTAATCGAGCATGCTGATTACGAATAAAATAATGACAGGGCCGGTGGGAGCCGGGTAAGCCATCTAGTAGCTTATAAAAATGTGCAAGTGACTGAACGCAAATTCTGGGACCGCCATTGCTGTCTGTGATCCTTGAAATTTTAAGCTTGGAAGTCTTACCCTTGTGTTTGCACGCCACTCTGGCGACAGCGATCACAGTCAGGTTTTGAAGTTTGTTAAACACTTAGATAAAAGTAGTTCAATTTTACGTTCACATGGATTGGCATGTTTTTTAATGACCACAGAAGTACTTATTTAGTTCCGATTCCGTGGGTTCAAAGGAGTCATGGCGGTAAATCCATTTTTGGATGAAATTGCTCAGTGGGCAGATACAAACAATATCCGTGAGCCGAATATGTTTGGTTGCGAAAGGTGGCTGGTGAAGATGATTTTTCGCGAGAGTCAGCAAAAGTACGTTATATGTATTAATGTATTTCATTGTGAATACCTGTATACTATTAACCCTGGAATGGAGATCTGTTAATATTTATTGTTATAGATTTGATATCTGCAGATTTGTCACAAAACGCAAGGAGAAGGAAGCGATCGAGATAGTGAAATACTCGAGTCCATCTCCTGTAGCTTTGAACAAGCCATTCATATGTATTTTGAATCAGGTTGGACGTTCTGAATTTTATCTGCCAATACTATGTAGTGTGTGTTCCGGCCAGCTTCCCATAAGTACTTCCGCGATGCGTTCGCAGCGCGCGCGCTGCCTTCAGCGTTCATGCTTCTTGTCTTCTTTTCGTTGATTGTTTGCTTTCTCAATAAGCGGCAGAGGACGTCCGTCGTCCTTACTGGGAGTCCAACAGAATTAATTTTTCGTGGAAGTAAGTAATAAGATAGTTTTCTTTAGCTTATCTGTTGGCTCTGATCACTTTGCTTCTGATTCCGCATTTTTCTGTAGAGAAAAATCCATCTGAATCGGCGCGCCTCAGTTTGGCACGCGCCGGAATGACTTACCTATCGCGAGCACCGCGGCAACTCCCGCATTCTGCATGCTACTCACAAGTGCAAAAAGTGCAGTGCAAAAATACTTATGGCAGTTTTCTCACCAGTACATCCCCACTTCCCCACTTTCTAATCCTCGTCCGCTGTCTGGATTTTTGGGTAACACCCCAATATCGGCCCTTGGCACCATTCGAACCTAAAATCAGGTTCTGCATGACGAAAATCCCGCAATATGATGAAATGTCGAATTGGAAGTGGCACTGCTTTCAAGCTATGTGTCTAGCCAGGAAAACTTGCCTGGTTGAAGTGGCGATCCGGAAGATGATGTATACCGATGGATAGAACTTTTAATGCTGATGATAGACATACTTTCTGTATCTGCGAAACATCCTTTAGAAAAAAGTTATGAACTTTTCTTATGCCGAAGTTTCGTGCATTTTGAACCGTAAAATCACGATGATTTTGACAAATGTATGCCTCTGCAAGCAACAACCTAATAAGCGTTGTAGGTCTAATCTGATACTTTTGAATGCTTTTGAGTGTTCTCCAATTAAAGGCAGCGTCCAGGCAAATCTGAACCTATGGGAATTACATGGAGAGTAATTTTGGCGTCCTAACTAAGCCACTGCGGGTGCGTAGCAAGTGGTACCCAGGCAGCCGACTGCTGCCGCAGCCAGCCGTCAGAGTTGACGTCAGCGCTGTCGCTTATGGTAAAATAATTACGCTAGCCGTCTGAAATCTTCTGCCGAAAGGTTTCTTCGCACCTCGTCGCGCTGTGGTGCAATATCAGCCTCAGGGGCAGCGCTATTATCGATATTTATATCATTTTGAATAGCAAAAATTTTATATTGCTCTGATAAAAAGCAAATGAACAAATTACAGAGTAGAATTTTTTCAAAGGAAAACGGTTATGAAACATTGCTTGAAATCCCAAAGGAAAACGGTTATGAAATTCAATTCCTCAAAATAACCACCAGAAGTTGAAAAATTTCAAGATGCAAAAGGTGTTCAATTAGCAATTTTCCTGGGAATCAAAAACGGAGAAGTACGAGACGTAACGAAAAGTCATTTTTAGAATCATTTTTCCGCATTCGGTCAATTTACAATATATTTTTTGCAATGTTTTGTAGTAGACAGCTTTCTAATAGCATTTCTAACTTTCATAGATGCCCAATCGTATCTAATCTATCTCAGGTGCAGCGCTAATCTATACACCTAAAAAGATCTAATCTATCCAATCTATACACGAAAAAAGAAAATGTTGCAAAATGTATTGTAACTATATTTACATATTTCCACTTTTTATCAGTGACCTACGGTTTTTGACCTACTTTGACTCATTTATTTGCCTACTTTGGCTTATTCAGCTCGCTTAAATCACAGTCTTGAAATGCCAATTTTAACAGACTTTTTTAGGTCTTGTCTCGTACGTTTTTCTCCGATTTTAAATCCCAGGAAAAAACTTCAATAACTAAACACTATTTTGCATTATGAAGATTTCAAGGGATTAATTGCACATCCCGTTTTCCTTTAGGAAAATTCTATTCTGTATTTGTTCATTTGCTTTTTATCAATGCACTAGATGGCAAACCCGGCTCCGCCCGGGGCCAAACTTTGCACACATACACTTCGGGGCAGGGAGCGTGTCATAGTCCACTTTTCGTTATCGATCGATGTCGATTTCACCGATTTTTTTTGCAAATTTTGAGCTACGGGGCTGGGATTTTGCACAGGGGGGGGGGGGTAATCGAACATGCTGATCACCCCCACGGGGGTGATCAGCATGTTCGATTACCCCCCTGTGCAAAATCCCAGCCCCCTAGCTCAAATTTTGCAAAAAATCGATAAAATCGATATCGATCGATAACGAAAAGTAGCCTATGACACGCTCCCTGCCCCGAAGTATATGTGTGCCAAGTTTGGTCCCGATCGCTTCAGAAATAAAAATTTCTATTCCGCACATACGTACAGACAGACAGACAGACACACATACATACATACATACAGACAGACATTCAGCTTTATATATAAGATTAAGGAATTTTTGCTGTTCAAAATGATATAAATATCGGTAATAGCGCTGCCCTGAGGCTAATATTGCACCTCAGCGCGACGAGGTGCGAGGAAACCTCTCGGCAAGAGATTTCAGACGGCTAGCATAATTATTCTACCATATGCGCGGCGCTGACGCCAGCTCTGGCGGCTGGCTGCGGCAGCAGTCGGCTGTCTGGGTACCACTTGCACGCCTCCCAGCCAATGCCCAACCGGCAGCTCAGGTAGTGCTCTTACGGCTGAGATAATACCCTCGAAACTGGACTTCAGGATCGTATTTCGTATGGATTCATGGCCCCATCATTTTCGCGTGCGTCCTCGCGCGAAACTGATGGGTTGCGTTAGTGAGTCATCTGCGCTGCTGCTTGGGCAGTGGCTTAGTTAGGGCCCTAAAATTACATTTCAGTAAAATCACCATAGGTCCAGATTTGCCTAGGCGCTGCCTTTGAGTTTTGATCCACAGGTCGTCATTTTCGTTCTAGATCACACCTCCATTGTAACAAAAAAGCCCATAACTTCTTATAGGAAAACGCTACGCAGACAAAGAAGGTATCTGAGATCAGCGATTTAATCTCTATCTGTAGGTATTCACCTCCCGAATGGCCACTTCCACCAAGCGAACTCCCTCGCAAGTTCTGAATTTTCGAGTAGTTCTAACTTCGATGATTTTGTATTCACAAAATTCCTTCTAGTCAATCCTGAGTCCGCTTAACATCCTCTCTCAGGACTGTCTTCAGATGCCCAACATGACGTTAAAGAGACGGTGGAAGACCTTTTCCAACCTTTTAAAATGGACCTTCGGAGCTTTTCGGCAGTCCGCCAGCTATGGAACTTTTTCGATACAAGTCGCAGATGTTTAGGTTGTCTTAATCGAATCATTGAAAGCAATCATCATTGAGAGCATCTTTTGGAACGCAACGCAACCTGTCTTTGTCTAAATCGGGTTTTTTGCCTTTTCAGTGTTCCATGTTGAAGCCAGAGATAGTTTTTCTCAATTTGGGATGTGAAGTAGGGAATTCGGTAGGCGAGGCTAACACTGCAGATGCGTGCACATTTTATCAGTTACATCACAACATATGAAGAATGAACTAATTCAAAAAATGCGAATAATTCAAAAACTAATTCAAAAAATACGACCGAATTACAGAATACAGACTTTTTGCAGCTGTGACATATACATGTGAGAAATTGTATCGGGCAACAATTTTGCTTAACTTGCTCATCGAAAACATCTGGGGGCACAAGCATCTTAATCGATGGCACAACAAATAGCCTGGATGTGGTTTTATTGCGGAAATAATTTCCTTTCGTAAACCAGTCATCAGGCATCGATGTTCTTAAAGTATCTTCAAAAGTTGAAGTGATCCAGAAATAACTAGCAATGACGTGTGTAAGACTATCGAATACAAAAACATGCAAACATTGGTTTTTGTTTACTTCAACCGTCAGTTTTTTTTGTTACTACTCAAGGATGAAGCAATTTTTTATGCGGTTGATGCTTCCTTTGGAATTTCATAGACTTACTTTTTACAGACATCAAAGCTGCAGTCCCGTGAGAGCCATGAACGTATAACCAACAGAATCGAACAGTTTGCAGAGGAGCAGCTGCGAGGCTTTGCTCGCTCACTTTTATACGAGAAAGAATGCAGGAATAAGCTCAAGGTGTCTCTTATACGACACTTTGAGAGGTTTCAATTCAATGTCTTTTTAGGAGCTACCTCAGCGGATTTGCATTGATCGGCTTCCATTACATGCCGGTTTTTCTTTGAGTACTGAACCATTTTTCCGTTCGCTGGTCAGAGCCATGGCAACATTTTATATAGGTATGTTCAAGTTGCTTAAGTTTGACTCATTTTATGGCTTTGACTGAGCCTTATACAGGGTGCAAAAAAATGTGAACACTGTTTGATTGTTAATAACTCCTTTATTTTCACGTATTTCGCCAAGCTTGAGGCACCATTCTATAGAGCGAGGTTTAATAACTTAGCTTTACAGTATGGAGCGAATCGTCGACCGCTCTTTGTTGCTGTAGCATTACGGTAGGAACTTCGACAAGGATTTTAGGCCATTATAGGCCATATTCTGTCCCGGAACAAAACCAAACAACCCAAAAACTTCTATACTATGGTAATGGAAAACGCTAATTTTGAATATGAAGTTTCCATTTTACTGTGACGCTTCTTTCTTTCTATCCTGATTAAACCGTAGTAACTGAATTTCTAACATTTGTCAGAAATGTGACTACACCGTCAAAAAAGCTAAAAACACTCGTTAAAAGTTGTTTAATGGAATCAGCGCACACAAAAACCCTAGTACACGATTTTTCAGATTTTTTGAACAAATTTTGTCAAATAGCATATTTTGCAATAAATCCACATGCTAGAAGTTCATACCCTAATCCTACAGTAACGAACAGCGATCGGTGGTTCGCTCCATACTACAAATCTAAGTTGAACCTCGCTGCACAGAATGGTGCCTCAAGCTTGGCGAAAGACGTGAAAACAAGGGAGATATTAACAATTAAACAGTGTTCACATTTTTTTTGGGACACCCTGTATAATGGTGGAAGCTTCAGGAAGTTCTTGCTGAGGCTCTCTATGATGTACTGTGTTTTTAATACTAGTCATAAAAGAGCATAGCATAGAAGAATTTGGTTGCTTAATTCACCATCAACTGTGCGCGGAAATCAACTAGTTGTTTTATGCTTTATTGAACGCGGGAGAATCACTGTAAACGAAGGATGTTTTGACGCGTACCATGTGTCTATATTATGTTAACAGACCAATTTTAGAAAATTGCAACGTATAAGGAGCAGCTACATGACAAGTAAGCACGTCTATCACTGTAGTCCAGTTGGGCTCCATCCATACTTGATGGAAGGGGTGTAGACGATAGGGGTTTGCAGATTTCCTTCGAAAAATCGTGACTTGGGTGTATGTCAAGAGGCGCGATTTTTATTGCCAGGTGGATACCAATTATTGCATTTTTAGTGTTTAACAACGTTCTAAAAAATTTCCAAGTTCCTGGAGAAATATGCAAGACCGTTGGCAGGGCTGTTCAATCTCATATCCTGGAATAGATTCAACAAGATGCTGAGGGACAAAATCCCTTGGAAATGCAACTTATCACAATCTCGTGGATAAATTGATCAATTTTTCCAAAAGCCGTCGAATATAGTTAGTGGTAACTTCAAATAGTTACTAACCTAAAATATTTTTTCTCGCATGGCTTTAAATTAAGCTGTTATATTGGTGACCTCAGAAAAAATCGCGCCTCTTGACCGTCTCCCCCATAGGGTTATACTACGCACTTTTCGGTTATACATCGTCGATCTAGAGCTGCTGCTGCGCACAAGCTGCTTTTCAAGGTTGTCATTTGGTGTAGTGACTAGAAAGACGTAATCAAGCAGCACCAGCAATGCATTGACGGAAGACACAGGCGATTCCTTTAGATATAAATGGTGGGTATAGGGGCTTGTGTTTGCGTAAATTCAGAGCAATCATTACTGCGAGGCGGTTCGCTGCTTGCACCTCCTTCACACTTCATCGCAGTTTTGAACATGTTTCGATTATTGCACGCTTGATGCACATAGGGTGGACAGAGTCAGTGTTGATAGGGATATTTTTGAAACTGCCTTTGCGATAACATTTCATTGTTATAACGTCATTGGATAATTTAGGCTATTTTGTTCAGATAAAGGCATCCTTCGTGGTTTTCGCGCTTGACATTGATTCCTTTGGGGTGTCGGTCAAGAATCCTGTAACCTTCGCCATTCTAGACCGAGTTACGAGATTTCTGTGGCATAGCTGAGTTATAGAAATGTGCAAATGACTTATTGCCACCTATTCGTTATGAAATAATTTTTGCTTGCAAAAATTTGGAGCTTTGCTGAGAGTTACTCCACAAATACTTTTACTCGAGAAAAGTGCTGAGAAAATTTCGAAAAGCATCTCAAAATTGTTCTTCGCAAGGTAAGGTAATCGCGGTTGTTTCTTCGACATTTTTTTGTCTCATCCTCTTTCGTCATTTCCCTCCTCAAAAAAAAAGGTTTGGGAGTCGTCACTTGGTATGACTCACCATTTCAAGGTCCGTGAACTTCAAGCACATATTCGGTGATGAGATCGCGCTGGATTTGAACTTTATATACTTCAAATGTTATAATATGGCAATGCTTTTTTTGACTAAAGAAAATTTGGGTATTCAGTTAAACAAATGCGGAAGCAACAGTTTCCAATACCATTCGATAAAGGAAGAACGATGCTTGGTGTGATAGACGACACTGGGCAACTGCAATATGGTCAAGTGTTTGTTCAGTATACCGAGCACAGACATTTGAAAACTCCACCACCGCAGGCTTCCAAAAAAGTGCTTACTGGTTGGTTGCACCCTGTTCATCAGTTTTGTGCTTTATATCATAAATTTAGGGAAAGTAATGCTGACCAAAAGCCCGTGTATTGTGCCTGGCGACGTGCGCGTATTTAATGCAGTCGATATTCCTGACCTTCATCACCTATGTGATGTTGTTGTTTTTCCGCAGCATGGACCTCGTCCACTTACGGACCAGATGGCAGGTAAACACCCATAGATGAAACATAGTTTTTTTTAGAGGGAAAGTTATTGACCGTGGTCATTGGTGTTCTGCGCTCAAGAGTTACATCCATATTGAGCAGTATCGCAAACCTAAATACTGTCCCAAATAGGAGCATACAACGATCGTGTGTCATTAATTCTAGCATTGTTCAGCCGTGGCAGCCTTCTTGCACAGGAAGTTATTTCCTGGTCCTGGTTATCCAGCTCAATATCTCGCCTCTGTAAATTTTCGTGAAAGTGGAGAGAATCAGTGATGTGCTGCGAAGCAGCTTCTGCCATTCACTAATGTAGGATATAGCACCTGTTCAGCTGGTATACCATATTCAAAATCAGCTTTGGAAGAGCCCTTTTGACGTTTTTGCTCTACGAGGTGGATATTCAGGATTACATAGCGGAAGGTAAACGGCAAAGCTGTATAGGTATCTGCTTGGAGGCTGCCTTCAAACTAACGGAAATTCTCAGATCCTTGAAGCGCAGAAATGTGAAGCTTTCTTTGATAGCTCTCCCCCATTCTTCGGCGATGATATTTGGGCATTGACTTCAGTAGTGTTTGCGCCGTTGTGTATGTGCATTGTGTTCGGTCTCTCGCAAGCGACTGTCGTTGCTGGAGCGACTGCAGTATAAAACAACCTTTACATGAAATGAAATTTTTCCTACGGAGCGTCAAGCATAAAAGTGAGCCAGAAGTTCATCTATCTTCTGTGGAGGTGTGGAATGGTTTGTGGATCGCGCGACTTGTCCAAGGAAGTTTGCTGCCGCTTCACAAAGGATCCTTAAACGCTAGTCCTTGCGCTGCCTCGCCCACTCCTCCATAAATAGTCCAGATTTTCGCAATAGTCGTTGTTCGTCGCAATTGTCAATGCAAGGTAATCTGAGGTGCTCTCCACTCCTGCCAACAGCGGTTGTGAAACCTCATGGCTTTACGATTTGCTGGCCCCTAAAATTTAACATTTTGGTCGCTTGTACTCACCCCTTTTATTAAATGTAGGGTTCGTTAGGATAGATGTTGGCACTTGAATGCGTGTGTGTAGTGATTGATGCGGTGGTCCAAAGCCGACTGTGGCTCAAAGAATATCGTGTTAATTGTACTATCATCATTGTCTAGAAACTAGCATACTATCATGATCGTCTAGAAAGTTCCCTGTGCAGGAAGAGTGACACTATACTAGTTAAATGCCCGAATTATGGTGACAAGTCCCAGGTGTTGATATTGGGGATATTGGGGCTACGTCGATGGTATAACTGGGCCTTCAGAGTCTAGTGCTCTACAGCGCGGCAGGTGTACTCAGCATTCCGTGCAAGCTTTCCTACCATCCCAAGTGACGCTGAACCCTTTAAGAGGGGACCTTCGGTTCTCACGCGCCGATGCAGATGAGCCATCTGCACTGACGTGGGAGCTGAGGGCCCGATCCGGCAAATGGATAGCGGTTGCAAATTATGAATTTATTGAGTAAATGATTGTTGGGCTTCATTCCTTTCGGTCCTTTAGGGTCGGATCTTGATGGTGATGAATTTGCGGTAATCTGGGACAAGGAACTTATGCTTGACAGGAATGAAGAAGCTTTCGACTACACATCTGAAAAACCAGTGTATAAACCTGTCAAAAAGGGCACAATTGTATGCTTACAAGCCCGTTGAGTTCTGTTTCAATGTGTTATCGTTGCAGTCCGAAGACATGGTGGACGTTTATGTTAACTACGTAATGCATGATTCAATTGGCACTATAGGGAATGCTTTTCAGTTCCAAGCCGATCTTTATGGAATAACTTCTAAGGTGTTATTTATTGGATTGTTGTAACAACTTTTCCTTAGCGTTATTCCTAGGTATGCTTATCGTTAGCGAAGAAGCACTCGCAGGCGGTAGACTTCTCGAAAACTGGCCGGCCTCCATCCCGCCTGACGGAGAATTGGTCAAGTGGTATTGCTTTTACAGCATTCAGTTATCAAGTGCAGGTTATATTGAATACACTGTTGCAGATGGCACGCCTCCAGAAAAACCGGAACGGCAGCCTGACTTTCACATCACAAACGAGATAGGGAAACCTATCTATCACAGTAAAAATCTTTTGGGAAGCGTTTGTAGGTGAGCATATCTATTCAATTAAACGGAATTTAGTCTCCTTTTTTTACAGAGGGATCAGAGTTGTTGATGATATCCTTAGATCGCCAGAAGCATCAGTAGATGATCAGATAGAGCTGGACAAATATATCACTATCGATGGCTGGGAGAAAGACGAGCAGATAGCCATGCGTGAACTAATGCGTTACAATGGGCTTCTCAGGGTAATTTTGATGTTTTAAAAGGTTCTTTGATTTTATTCCCACTGATTACATACAGTCATGGGACTTGTAGTACGTTTGTAACATGCCGCTGCGTTTTTGTAGATTCCAGTTTGTAGATTGGCAGATTGTAGAATCCTTGAGATAGATTTTTCAAAGCGATCACATTTGTGCCATTGAGGGGAAATCTGTGATCTTTGGTCTCGCTATCTGCGAAGGGGAGAGCGACACTGTATCAATCATAATAAGTAGTTTGAGAGTGCTCGAAGTTGAAAATACACGATATGCCGAATCTCTGGGCGCGTAAAAATACTCTACACGAGTGTTGTTTGATTTATACTGGGGTCTTTTCTTTGAATGCTGGTAATCATGATTAGATTATACTCTATTCGCAGGAGATGTACTTTGTTTTTGGCTTAAGGAAATAATGTTTACTGTTAACCCGCTCCTGAGAAAATAGTCTCGAAATTATTACCATCATTTCCGTTTCTGTTAGAGGCATCTATTTTCTAGACTGAGCCCCTCCCCCTTTACCACACTACCGCAAGTGATTCATCCAGTGGTCCTATATTTAATATTGAGTGGATGTGTTTTTCCAGGCTACAGATGACGGCCATTCGTGTTTCTTACATAACTTCCAAAAATGTCTTACGTTCTGGTCAAACCGTATAGGGACAATGAACAAATTTAGCCACTACTTATAAGCCTTTTGCCATTTTGGAAAACTCAGAAATTACGCTAGTTCAAACTAGTTCTCGAATTTTGCTTTATGTGCTGGATATCATTGCATTGTATCCCGTTCCTAACAAAGGAAGCTACCTAACTTAGCTCGATCTTTCGGCAAGGGACATATATAGTCTGAATTACGTTCAAACGCTGATTCCAAACATGCTATTCCTAGCTGCCACGCACCATTCCGAAGCGAGTTATGGGCTTTTTCCTGCGCAATTTGCATGCTCATCGACTCACGGGCATCAGTCGTCATCTTTCAAGTGCTGAAACAGCTACGTTAAGCTTTTTTTGGGCCCGTATGCACGTACATCCCCGCGGGGAGGGGAGGGGATCTGAGAGGGGAAGCGTCATATCTCGCTAGTCTATGTATCTTTCTTCTTCTTTCTCTGTCTTGGTTTTGAAGGTTCTCATACACTAATACTTGCGCATAACGGATGCCAGGTTACTGCCATACAAGATTAGATATTCACTATTTCGTCTGATCCCCTGGGGATCCCCAGGGGATCACCTCACATTTTCAAAGTTATTTATCTTTCTGAAAACCCGATGAAAATGTCCTAAAATTGTACTGTGGATATACTACAGCACTGCTAAACATATTTATGGTAGAAATGAGTGAAATCTCAAGATATCAAAATCTTCGATGAACCGCTGCTCGCGAGCCAGGGATTATCGAAAAAATCAAAATCTTCAGATTCAAATTCTTTTGTAGAAAACATGCTCAGCAGTATCGTAGTATACCTTCAGTACAATTTTGCAGCGTTTTCATTCATTTTTCAGGAAGATAAACGACTTTGAAAATGTGAGATGATCCCCTGGGGATCCCCAGGGGATCGGAAGAAATAGTGAATATTCAATCTTGTATAGCAGTAACCTGGCATCTATTATGCGCAGATATAAGGGTATGAGAACCCTCATAAGCACGATAGAGAAGAAAGAAGAAAGATATCTAGAGCAGTGGGATATGGCGCTTCCCCTCTCAGATCCCCTCCCCTTCCCGCGGGGATGTACGTGCATACGGGCCTTGGTGAGAAGAGATTGGATTTGTACTATTTCGATACCTCAGCACCTTTTTCTTGCAGATATCAACAGGCGGTCTTCTCATGTTAGTAGTATGCCAATTTTGCGTAGGAAAAGCCCATAACTCGCTCCGGAATGGTGCGTGGCAGCTAGGAATAGCATATTTAGAATCAGCGTTTGAAGCTGATTCAGAATATTTATGCCTTTCACCAAAAGGCCGAGCTAAGTTAGGTAGCATTCCTCATAAGTTTTGAGTTGATGAGCTTGCTATAGGTTTTCAACATACAAGAGTGAATATCCATCAATCGTTTGATAAGCGTGGATATCGCGATTTGATCTCACGATCTCGACCGTCCAGAAGTGGTTTTGTTTTTGTTTTCATTCTTGCGGTAACTTAACAGATCTACCAAGGACGGAGAGAGGTCAATTTAGAGCTATACGATTTATGCGAAAATCATTCACGATAGTAGTGGGGCAATATCTATCAATCTCCAATGGTAAGTGTTCCAGTTTAGGTTACAAGCCTGATCAGACGCGGGCACTCTACTCTCGCGGTGCTCTAGCGTGGGCACTTGACTGTGCAAAAGCCCGGTTAGGTCAGCAGCACCTGCTGACCTAGATCTGTTGATTATCAAATTACGTGACGTAATGCTTTTTTAAGTGCTCGAGTCAGTGAACCTCATAAGCGGGGGGTCTCGTGGAAATCAAGAGTAGGCCTAGTAAGTCTGCTCTTGTAGGGGAACAAATTTTATTACTCTCTCAGCAAGAAGATATAGAAAAAACCTTGTGCATCGTATCCCGCCTACGGCGCCGGGTAGTAGCAAGAACGATGTCAGGGTCCTTAGGGCGTCTTTTGGGTCGACAAAAACGACACGTCTGCCCGGACGACACGCCGTGGCTGCCTCATGCTCTGCATCTATAACGCCAGGACAGTCTCCACAAACGCCCACCTCATAAGAAATAATTTCTAATCAAGAAGGTAGATCTGATCGTCCTTTTTCAAAGAATTATTGCGATCTGAGATTCATTCTGATTTGATTTTGTTGCAGGAGACTCGGTTTGATCTCTTCAATTCGTGCTCTGCTTCTTTTGCAAATCTTTGAAATTACCTCAACATAAAGTTTCTTCGCTTACGTGGGGTAATTCGACGCGGTGATTTCGAAAATATACCTCGAAGTGCACGAACATGTCGATTACCAACTTTACCCAAGGGTTCTCATTTTGAATTCGGACGAGTGGAGCACTCCTCGCCTTTATTAGAGACGTAGAGTTGCGGGACCCTCTTGCTTATAACGTTGTGGCATGCCGCCTCTGACGGCGAAAGTTGGACCGCAAGTTTGTCCGAGCGCGTGTAAGAATAGCTTGCCCGCACGTTAGTAGGTTTCTGGGCGGGGCAGCATGTAGTGCGCTTACCTGCTCTTTTGTGATGTTTGAGATGCAAGCAATTTTTCCATTCAAATTTTCGAGATGTTTTGTTTTGCCGAGTCACTACCTTTAAGTATTACTCTTACACTAGTGAATGAATCGTTTGATTTACTATTACTCTCGAGCACATATAGAAAGACGCTTCATTTACATAATCTGTGGTCAACCGAGGCCAGGTAGTTCATCATACTTTGCAGACATACTCGGTCCTGTTTTCCGGGCTGCACGATCAGGCGCCTATGTTCGCGCATTGCGGGCCTGACTGAATTACGACCTGTATGGGAACACTTACTCGAATGGGCGATTGATACATACTGCCTTTGATCTAGGCGATGAAGGTGTTGTGAGAAGTACTTTTCTAAATCGAGCTATCATGACTGTAAGCGCTTTTCTTTGGTTGCTCATCATGTAAAACGAATGCTCTTGTTGTGCATTGATTCAATATACTTCAGTTTTACTATCTATACACTGGAAACAGGAACTAAGGGCCGCATGCCCCAACATCCCCGCGGGGAGGGGGTCGCAGCTCAAAAGAAAGCTTTACATTTCAAAAGTGCAGGTACCTGGATTTCAGGTTGTGTACCTATCCGTAAGTATTCCCACTACCCTTCACTATGAACATGTTGAAGAGGAGCGAGAAGCTGTACGAACCGCATTTTCCAGCTTTTGTATGATCCCTGATGATCCCCGGCGCTTTTCTTTGAAGTCATTTTTCTTTCTTCGAAGTTAACAAAAAACCTCCAAAGGATTGCAGATTATCTAAACCGACAGTGCTAAGCATGTTGCTGATAAGAACAAATGATGTTTGTGTTAGATGTTTAGTTTGGAAGGTTTTCGTGTACTTCGGAGAAAGAAAAATGACTTTAAGGAAAAGCGCCGGGGATCATCAGGGATTATACAAAAGTTGGAGAATGCGGTTCGTACAGCTTCTCGCTTCTGTTTAACATGTTCATAGTGGAGGATAGCAGGAATACTTACGGATAGGTACACAATGTGAAATCCAGGTATAGGCCGTCCGCGCTGCGCACGGAGAGCAACGCTGTTGCGTACATTGAAGGCAGTTCACGACTGGAAGAAGCGCAGAGAAAAACAGGCGGCGAGAGTGCACGAGGAAAGAGGAGTGACGCGCAATACATACCTTGCGCACTCTCCGCGCCCTGCGCGGACGGCCTATATCTGGAGTTTTGAAATATAAAGCTTTCTTTTAAGCTGCGATCCCCTCCCAGCGGGGAAATTAGTGCATGCGGCCCTAAGTTAACTAGGTTTGAGAGGTTCGAGAAATCTATGCAGTTTAGGAAACCGTGACGGCCGGCTTGTTTTGCTTTGCGAATTAGGAGATTAAGAAGTTGTTAATCCATAAGCTCGCGTTTGGATTAAGTCTACATTATGACGGCTTACGAAACTTTGCACTGAAAATTAATCAAAATGAGTTTCACACAGGTATGTCATAGATAAAGGACTAAGAGAGAAAGTCTGTGTCTGAGTGCAGCATGCAATGCCATTCTCTCTGGGAAGGGGATCGGAGCTTGAAAGAAAGGTTCATACTCTGAAGCTGCAAATTTCTAATTTCACACCTTCCCTCCACAAACATAATGAACGAGAAAGGGAGCAAGAAGTTGTACCGCAGTTTACCGCTCTCTGTATGGTCCTCTGATGATCCCTGCTGGCCGGCCTTCTTTTTTTTTTGAAGTCGTTTCTTTTTCTTTAGAGTCATTGTTGAACATTTCGAAGTTGTACCCTCCCTAATCATCAAATGGATAACTGAAATATTAGGATTTTGGATAAATTCCAAGTTTTGACCTGTAGTTCGTTGACATTTTCATCGCTTTGATATTTCATTTGTCTGTCAGAAACACGCACTTTTGCGTTAGGTAATCGGTATCAATCCGACTGACTTCGAAGAAAACGACTTCAAGGAAAGGCGGTCGGCGCCGGAGACTTTGTACAACTTCTTACTTCCGTTCTATCATGTTTTTAGGAAAGGGTAATAGAAATACCTGAGAATGGATAGAGTTTTAGAATATGAAGGTTTCTTCGAAAGGGCGCTTGCATTAACATTCCCGCCGTGGAGGGGATCAAGCTTACAAAAAAATTTATATTCTAAAGCTGCGGAGTTTCGGATTTCACCGGCCTATCCATTCTCGAGTGCTGCTACGCTTTACTACGAATATACAGGCGAAGCAAAAGTCGTACAAACCGCATGCCCCAGTTATGTATGATCCTTTAATGACTCCGGTGCCAACCATGTTATCTTCGACATTTTCCTTCTTTCATTTAGTGGAAACATTTCAGAGTTTACAGTTATTTAACTTATGGTTTAACAGTGCCAAGCATGTTACTGATAAGGGTGCCTTCATACCGGGCCGGCAGCCGCCGCTAGCAGCCCGTAGCAGCCGCCAGCAGCCCGTAGCAGCCCGTAGCCGCCGCTGGCCGCTTTTGTTAAAGAGGCGCAAAATCATCAGAATCATCAGAATCTTACTACTTTGAGTGCTCCTGCCTACGCTTTTCATCTTACACGCTTTTTCTTCTGTTACCGCCAGTGTGTGGCTCGACTTTGCATATTACATTTGTGTTCATTGTTCTGCTGCCGCACAGCGCATCCTATCGGTGCCCAAATTTCACTTTTGCAAACTGTTTTCTCTAAAACGAATGTGAGTCATTGTCAAAATTGAGAGAACCCACCTGCGAATCGACTCGGCGAAATTGCGAAATAGTAGAATGCAATGCAGATATGCACCGATAGCCAAGAAGAACATTGAAGTAAAAGCATACTCAAAAAGTAATCAAATTGCACACCTGCAGGAACTGGACGCATTCAAAGCCAGAAGGAGTCACACCGGAAAGTATCTTCTGCGAACTATGGTTCAAAACAGGATGACCATGGGCGACATTGTAATGAAATGGACACAAATATGATTTGTGAGATCGAACTACCCACTGGCAACAACAGAAGAATAGGCAGGAGCACTTAAAGTAGTTTTTTAATGATTCTGCGCTTCTATAACAAAAGCGGCCAGCGGCAGCTACGGGCCGCTGCGGGTTGCTGGCGGCTGCTGGCGGCTGCTACGGGCTGCTACGGGCTGCTGGCGGCTGCTACGGGCTGCTAGCGGCGGCTGCCGGCGCGGTATGAAGGCACCCTAAGAAATAAATGATTTGTCACAGCCATGAAAATTGCTTTGAACCATAAGTTGGAACTTGGGATTTTTTAAACCTGGGGTTTATCGAGATTTTCAATCTAGTAGGTCATTTGTTCTTATCAGAAAACTGCTTACTGTTAGCACTGTTGGGTCAGATGGTAATTATAATTTTGACAAGTTTTTGATAATTGCAAAACAAGAAGAATGATTTTTTAGGAGAACTAATCCCGCGCTGAACACCGTAGGATCACACAAAAAATCCGAATTGCGGCTCGTTCAATTTCTCGTTCCCGTCTATTTGCTCAAAGTAAAGGGTAGTAGAAACATTTTTAGAATGGCAAAATGATTTGAAGTCGAGAACTTTGCAACTTCAAAATATGAAGTTTTATTTCAAGCTGCGAATCCCCCCCCCCCCTCCCCCCTCCCCTCCCCCCGCGGGATGTCAATGCATGCGACCCTAAGAACGAAAGGGAACTTTATTAGAGGCAGCGTCTGTCAGAACATGAAAACTTCAAGTATAGATTCGCCCGCTCTGGTAAAGATCGCGTTCAAGCGGCACTGCACCATTGCTTCTGTAGAGAGAAAGTAGCTTCAGAAGTGACGAACGGAGCTGACCCGGCGACCGGGATGAGTTAGTTCTAGACCAGAGCGCGCATATCCCACATAGTCAAGGGGGAGAGTCCCACAACGGCTCTGCGTCTTAATCTTGGCGGCAGTCGTCTAATTTCAAAATCAAAGCTTTTGGAATAGCTCATTTTGACTTTTCCAAGCACACCAAGTTGCATTTTCGGAATCAGCGGGAAGGATAAGGCCAGGTAAGCAACAAAAGTTTTATCCGAAACTTTGCCCGGACGCTGCCTCGAAATACTCTAATGTGGAGGGGACTTTTTTCTAAAAGGCTAAAAGTCAAATTCGCGTCGGGTTATGTTTAGAAAACGGCGCAAAATAAATTTTCTTGCAAATGCTTGTGATCGGCAAGCTTATTTTTTTTATTTTTAGAGGATATGCGTTTACAAAAAGTTTAGGCCGTAGGGAGTGAAAAGCACCTTGAATGTTTTTGCATCTTACTATGGCTCAAAATTTTTTTCAGGGTTTATTGGAGAATTACGGAATAAAATCAGAAGCAGAAGCATTTACGGGTTGCATCACAGAGATGCGAAATCGCATTTCGGATCGCGATCAGGATGACATGTCTTATTTTACTACCAATGAAGTGATTGAAAATAGGATTGCAAATCTTTTTCGCAAGTTCAGGGAAAACTTTTTTGCCGTGGGTTATCATATTGTGACGCAGTTTGATTTTTTGACCTGCTATTTGATTCAGGAGTTTGGTGGTTGGCAAAGTTGCTTGAAGCACGCAACCACTCCGTACGCAAACAACGATGATGTTCTTGATTACTACATAACCTGTCCATCTCTGAGCATGAAGAGAAAAGCTGTCGCATACTATCGCACATGTTACGGTCAGTTGGTTTGATCTACGTACTGCTACATCTGCTCGCAGATTGGCTCGTTCGAATTCATACGGGAACTTTAGTAACTGCTCAGCCCCATGCCTAAATAGCTATTTGATAGATATGTAAATAGTTGACAACGCTAGTACAACGTTAATGTCGGCAGGGAACCATTTGCCCCAATGCATATCCTTTGTGGCGAAGTGGGTGGATTAGATGCACGATGGGGCTTCCCATGCAGCTCATCAGCCCAGTCATTGTGGTAAATCAGCTCAGTCGCTGTGTTGAAATTGTAGTAAATCTAACTTTTCTTGTTTGGAAGAAATTGATTCACAGAAGATTTAGTTTGTTTTTCTCTACTCTAGATTATAAGCCAAGCTTGTTATCTATGGGCCCAACTCTGACAAAATTTCTTATTTTCCGAAATGTTTGCAACATCCAGCTATCTCAAGCTCAGTGACAGTCTCAAGAATGGCCATAGGTGCGATAGCCCGAGCAAAAGCTTACCCCCTTCCCCCCTCCATTTGGAGGCTGGACCCGTATACCTTCACATGAGACAAAACAGATTTTTCGCAAGAGATAGGATAGTGTGTTCGTACAAGGAAGGGTACTCGCTCACCGTGGCCATTTGGGATGCGATGTGTACTGTAAGATGCACCTCGAAACGCTGATTCCAAATCTGTGCTCGATATCTGCGAAACGATCTTCTGAAGGAAGTTATGAACTTCTTCTCGTGAAAAATTTGCGTACTTTTGTGTAGTTAAAATTACCAAATTTGTTCTAGGTTACCATTTGAAGCTATTGAAGAGAATATTAAAAGGAATACTGTTGTATTATACAATCTAAATCATATTCAGCATTTGAAAAGGAAAGAAAATTTTTCATTGATGATTTTGACCTTCCGCAGTAAGCAGTTTATTCATGGAAAAATAATCATAACTCCATCCAGGTTATCGTTTCGCAGATGTGGAAGACAGTATTCGAACCAGCATTAAAAGGCGCATTTTTTGATATACAAATCACTATGAATGGTCGCGGTGACCCAGTACCCTTCCCTTGTTAAATTAGATATACTGGGAACATTACCTAATGAGGAACGCAGGAAGTTGGCTATTCCACTATAATAACGCCCGCCGTCTGCTTTTGCATGTGATTATCTGAAATGTGCTGTCACAGATTTTATAGGGCAGGTTCCAGCCGAATTTTGGGCTAATTTTTTGCGCAACGCATGCTACCAGCATGTATTAGGTTGGTGTAAAAGTTCTTGCGCACGATTTTCAAAAATTCATAACTTGTTGAATTCTTAACGAAACTGCAAGATCTAATTTTTGCATAAGAGAAGAACTAATGCTCTTTGGGTACTTGAACCGTTCGCTGTCGAGAACAGATAAAGGAGATAGAAGCTTGAAACCAAAATATTCAAAATTTGTATTTTTTGTGTAGGGTCATAAAAAATCGAAAATTTGCAACAAAAATCGGAGCAGTCAGTATCGTAGGTTCTTTTACCAGCTCTTTCCAACAGTGCAAAGTTTGCGCCGATTGAGCGTCTCTATGAAAAGTTATGATTTCCCTGGAAAATGCCAAAATAAATCAAATTCGCCCTTTTGTATTGCTTGCTCGAAAATAGTAACTTCTCATAGAGACGCACAATCGGCGCAAGCTTCGCACAATTGGAAAGAGCTGGTGAAAGAACCTACAATACCGACTGCTCCGATTTTTGTTGCAAGTTTCAGATTTTTTATGCCCTACACGAAAAATTCAAATTTTGAGCGATTTTGGTTTTCAGCTTCAATCTCCTTTATCTGTTCTCGACAGCGAACGGTTCAAGTACCTATGCAAAGAGCATGAGTTCTTCTCCTATGCAAAAATTAGATCTTGCAGTTTCGTTGAGAATTCAACAAGTTATGAATTTTTGAAAATCGTGCGCAAGAATTTTTGCACCAACCTAATATATTCACCATGTAAAAACACGAGCGGATCCGATGCATGGTTCATACTATACTTGGGTAATTCGATAATTTTTCATTGACTGAATGAATATCGAATAAATTCAAAAAGAAAAAATCTTGAATAAACGAATGTCGAATAAATTCAAAAGTAAAAAATCTCGAATAAACGAATATCGAATAAATTCGGAAAATCAAAAATATCGAATGAATGAATATCGAATATATTCGAACATTGGAAGTCGAATTTCAAATGAATATTTGAATGATTTATCGAATAACTAAAGCAATCACATCTCAAACTCGACATATCTGGCTAAAGCCGATCCAATCATAATCAGCCCCCTAGTATCCCCTATACCAACTCCTAGCTCAAAATTTTCCAAAAATTGCTGAAATCAAAAAAAATAGATTTCGGTTTTAATCAGCACCCTCACTTACCCCTTTGTACCAACTCCCAACCTCGTAGCTCAAGATTTTTAAAAATCGATAGAATCGATAAAGTAAATTTTTACTCATAATCAGCACCCTCACTTACCCCCTTGTACCAACTCCCAGCCCCGCAGCTCAAGATTTTCCAAAAATCGATGAAGTCGGTCGGCAACTAGTCTATACATCAGCAAAAAGTCGTATTTTACCCATTATTGGACGATCTAAAAAAGCAGTCGATATAAATTTTTATGCTGTGCTCAAAAGATTCAAGATTTGTGGTAAGCTGCCATTACATCTGAAGACATCTCGTAACTGGCAAATCGAGTACGACGATCGAAATTTGTCAATGCTGCACTACAACTGCGATGTCCTTTACTCAATATACACCAATTCGCAAAAAACTCCAAGGTAACGAAACGCAGTTTTGCAATAATTTATGCGAGCAAGGGTGCTCACTAGTGTGGGCTTTGCGTACCGCAAGCATGACCAATGCAAAGAAAGAACAGCCATTTCAATTTAGTATGAACTCAGAACATGAGCTTGAATTTGATATCTTCTTTGCTGATTTGGTGCCAATAGCAGTGCGAACAATCTCATTGATCGAAAAAATATCAATTAATCCACATATGATTTTTTTACTGTCGCAAGCAGTCTGAAAAATGCGACTCTTTATACAGTTCAAAGGTATACCGATTGCAAAAGATGCATTACAGTTTGCGAAAAAAAAACGCGGACGAAGTGAGCTTGATACTCAGCAGTTGGCTCTGCAATAAAGTCGAATAATCTGAATACGGAGTACATTCGAATACGAATTCGAATAAACATTCGAATAAACATTCGAATAAAGCATTCGAATAAAATCTATTCGAAACCCCGTTTTTTGATTATTCGTTTTCGAATAATATTCGAAACCTCGTTTTTTGATTATTCGAGTTTTCGAATTTTATTCGAAACCCTGTTTTTTGATTATTCGAGTTTCGAATTTTATTCGAAACCCCGTTTTCTCAATTATTCGAGTTTCGAATAATATTCGAAATTGGAAGAACTCCGAATATCGAATTTCAAATACGTATATTCGAATGTTTTATTCGAATGATCGAATTTCTATTCGATTCGGACCCAAGTATAGTTCATACAGTGCTAGACAAAATTACAGATCTACACCGAACCATAACTCAATCTGTTGTCAATAAAATTCTCCAAAATGTGGTACAGCCGTGGGTTTATTAGCCTACTATCAGTCATTAAAAGCGGCCTCGTTTTTATTTGGTTATTCAAGAAAAAATCAGAACAGGCTTGAAGGCTGGTCAAAACTATAGGCCCAACTGGAGTTTTCACTGATTGGAACACTCCCTTGCATCCGAATTTTTTTAGGTGGGTACACATTCAGAAGTGTTAAACAGTTGCTTTAGTCAAGTTTTGTTGTACCTCCAAAAGAACCGATTATTTTTTGCCTTGAAAATGCTTTCACATGTATTTCGCTTCAGAACCCTGCTTTGAGTAGGAAATTCTGCAGTTTCTCAGCTGGATTGGAAGCGACGGGGTTTCATCTACCTTCTGGATGCTTTTTGACGTGAGCATTAAGGAAAAATTCTGGTTTTTTGGTGCTGAAGCAAATCCGACATCGGCTCAATCAACCTGAGCCTCAGTTTCTGCCCTAACTTTATGCATCATCATTATAACCTCAAGATATAGTAGAAGCATTCCTTACACAAGAATAAATCTGCATGCCATAGTGCCAAGTGTTCACAAAGCTGCCTTTGTTTCTTTTTTGACATGAGTTGTGCAACATGGTGCTGTCATTCACTTCCAAAATAGCTTGCCAAGTGCTATATCACTTAGATTTTTGACAATAATTATTTACTGGATGTTAGCACATGACTCTCCTGAAAAATTTGGTCAGCCACAATTAGCTCTGGTGCTTATCGCAGTCAGTTTGTTGCAGGGTGATTTTCGTAATTATATTCAAATGCTAGGATCTCTAGAAAGTATGATTACGGAATACGGACTTCTCTTCGTAGAAACAATGCCTTTACTGTACTTAATGCTTCTGAGGACATTGTAGAAGAAGAGTTTGAAGGCAGAAATTTGAGCTCAGGGTGCAATATCAATGTAGTATTTGCTTCAACAGCTAAAATTCAGTTTTTTTACTCAATGCTCACGTTGAAAAGCATCCACAAGGTAGATGAAACCCCGTCGCTTCCAATCCAGCTGAGAAACTGCAGAAATCCCTACTCAAAGCAGGTTTTTGGAGCGAATCACATGTGAAGGCATTTTCAAGGCAAAAAAAGCAGATAATAGGTTCTTTTGGAGGTACGATATAGCTTGACAAAGCAACTGTTTGAGACTTTTGAAGTGTTACCTACCTAAAAAAAAATCGGAAGCTAGGAAGTGCTGCAATCACTAAAAACTTCAGGTGGACCTATAATTTTGGCCAGCTTTCGGCCTGCTTTTTCTTGAATTTTTGATTTTTCCTTGAATAACCAAAATGAAACGAGACCCGTTTTGCTGAATGTTAATAGGCCGGTAATTACACGGCTGTATCAAATTTGGAACATTTTATTGACAACAGAGTGGGTTATGGCGTTTTTAATGTAGATTTATATTGTCCAGCACTGTATAAAAATCGAGCGTCGATACGGAAAGGAATATACGGAGACAAGATGGAGAAAGTTAACATGGAAGCAAACGGTTGCTAGTGAAATGATCGTGTGAAATATATAACAAGCATCTACGTAGCTGAGACGACGAAGTGCGGCCCGGCTGTCTTACAAGAGAATGGCCAGAAATCGAAGTGGCCAATCCAGACAGGCTGCATACCATTAGATGCAGCATGAAGCGCTGACTCTAAATCTGTTTTCTTTACCTGCTTATCGCTTTTCTGAACGAAGCTATAAGCCATCAAAAGCCATTATTTTGCTAAGAAATTATGCGTGAAGGTGAAAATCTAGCTGTACAGAGCCACGTTGGCTTTAATGCTGGGCCGAAACATGCAGCTAATTACTTCAAATTTTTAAAGCTTGAAGCTCAGCTAAAAGTGCAACAATGTGCTCAATTTCGCTGTTTTTATGTGTGCTTTTTTCACAATAAGACTGCTTGTAGTTTCGTCCACAAAAGCGATAAGAAGGTAAAGAAAACAGTTATAGAGTCAGCGCTTCATGCTGCATCTGATGGTATGCAGCTTGTCTGGTTTAGCCATTTAGACTTTGACCATTCCCTTGTTAGTTTTGAGTTTTAATCCTTTGTTGCATGAAGGGTTAATGCAGCTTTTATCTGTTGCGTAAATGGTCAATGCAGCTTTTGTCTCTTTAAAATCGTTTTGCATTGCTTCCCGCGCCGCCATTTAAGCGTAGACTCAATAACTTAGCATCAGCGCATGACTTTCGACTATGTTTTCACATTCAATGTTTCGAACAGTTTAAGTGTTCTTACGATTATTTATATTTTGCAGATCTCGCTAGAGGTAGCGAAGAGCGGTTGCTTTCGTTCGCATGGTTGGCCTATGATGTGTTAGCTGTCGTAAAGCAACATAATATCATTTGTGACGAAGATTACTATCCGCCAACCTGTCCCGTGTTAGATGTGAGTTGCTTCAGTAAGTTTGAGTAGGCAGCAGGTCGAACAAAGTTTTCCGAAGGGGACTAGGAACAGGGCTTAGCACAGATGTATTGAAGTCAGAGCAAATAGCAAAAGGGATATCGCAAAACATTAAATGCATGTACTTGAGTGTATGTCGAAAAGCGCGCTTTTTAGCAGTTGCCATTGCCCAGCTGAAAGCAAATTTTAGTCCCCCGAAGTTTTGTCTATATATCAAAAATTGTGAAGGAGGATAACGTAGTTTAAGTCCGGAAGAAGCAAGGTAGATTGGAACTTCTACGTGGAGTTTTAGTAGATGATAGCCAATCAGTAGCGTCTTCCAATCTCTCTCCATACACCTAACCTCCAGACCTGCTAACATGCATCCGATCAAGTTGGTACGCGATTGACGCGCTCCAACATGTTCTTTCGCACGGGTGAAATTCAGAACGACGCTAAATTAAACTTGTTTGGGTTGTTTCAGACTGCCGCACTGACCGCAGCAGACTGCAGCTGACTGCAGCTAACCGCACTGACGGCACCGGTCGCTGCCTGCATATACCTGTTTTGTAACATTCTAGTCCTGTTGTCTGTTGCTTTTAGGTATAAATTGTTGTTGTTTGTTTGAGCCACACTATAAATCCTCTCCACATTTAGACTTGTGCGGCTGTAGCAGTCAGTGCGGTCAGCTGCAGTCTGCGGCAGTCTGCTGCGGTCAGTGCGGCAGTATGAAATGACCCCTTTAGCCCTCGGGCAGAGCTCACGCGATTTGATCGTCGCGATTAGTTCGCTAAAGGCAAGTGTTACGGGTTCATTGCATGTTGGGCCTCTTGTATTTCGGTCGTGATAGTTAGTCACGATTAGTCGTGTTGGAAAACTATCACAACCGAACTACAAGAAGATTGGCATGCAATGAACTCGTAGCACTTTTCTTTAGCGATTGAATCGCGGCAACCAAATCGCGTGAACTCTTTCCAAGGCCTTACGGCGCACAGTTTGTCTCATGATATTGAATTCACGTATCTCTACATCGTGATGCTCCTAAGTATTATCTAAAAATAACATTAACCAAACCAATACGAAAAATAGGTTCTGCCTGGCATTTAAAAACAAGTTTTAGCAGTCTGACAAGCTAAAATATTGTTTTTTCCATTTTTTCTTGCCTAAATTCTGTTGACATTCATGTCCCTCTCGCCATTAAACTTAGTACTGAAGCAGAATACATCAAAGGGGGCTTTAGATTAATTGTAAGGGTCACGGGGTTTTTTTTTTCAAAAATGCTCGGAGCCAACACGTACCGATCCATGATTAGGTATCCGGGGTAGAATCGTCACATCCTTGACTTGCGGGCGCATTTTCACAGAGCTGATGGTTTGTAAAATTTGATTTCATCAATCCTATTCGCAAAGATAGACATTTTGCACCAGTTTTGCAGGTACTGGAGTCTCGTTTGGAGTTATTTTATTTGGATAATTTGGAGAAAATTGAAGCTTTGATGGGACAACTAAGCGAGACAAAGACACAGCTGTATCGTTATCTGAGGTATTACCCAGGTCAGTTAAGGTCTTCCTAGACAGCATGGATTGTGGAATGTGCCAATCGATTTTGCAGGTTTGGAACAAATATTTTATGTATTGGTTTCGTGGGCACGGTGTAATCAGCTGTTGAATGGATGTATACAAGCGGAACATATGTGTGTGGTACTAGTTCTATTCGCTACCGGTCGTATCGCTGGATCTATCAGTATAATGCCTCCTGTATTGGATACGGTAACATATTTGCAACATATCTTTTTGATAAGGTACTGTATTGCCTTTTACAGCTGTCAGCAGCCACGATTGAAGAGGACGATATTATCAAGCCTACCACTGAACAATACATCAATATGCTTATTTTATTTTACGAGTACATGGCTTCTAGATATTTCAAAAATCTCACGCAGCTGTCATTCGCGGAGTTGGGTTGTGACTCCGTATTCTTGCGAGGGCAGTGGCTGCCTGTACATGAGGTGACTCAACCTAATCAAACAAAAATCACATATTTTTATGGGCATATTTATAGGCAGCAGCTAACACCTATTACAATTTGGTGCTCAATATGGACTTTGAGGGTTTATTTGATCCTCTGCAAGGTTTTTTATCGACAAGTGGTTCATGCCAAGAGTGTGAACCATTTATCATCGAATTACCCGGTTTGTTTTGCTTCAACTTAGAAAAAAAGGGAGCTTTATAATGGTTTTCAACATTAAAAAAGCTGGTTTTATTTTCTCATCACGAATGTTCCGAACATTACGAGTTTTCGGAAATATGCAAGATTAGGAGGTTTTAGTCTAATTAGCTAGAAGGGAATCGACTAGATTCTAGGCGACAATGTTCTACGCTAGAACATATGATGCGATTTGTAACAAGATTATCAATTAACACATTGACGACAGCGTGACCCACATGGTGGATCATGCAATGATGCCACTTGGGACAATGTGACCCACATGGTGGGTCACGGCTTAGATTTTGTTAAAATGATTACAATTATTGGGAACATTCGTTTTATGAAGTCTTCCCCTTCTGACCCTAAAAGATACTTTGACGCACTTTGGCTTTTTTTAGAATTCGTGTAGGTATAGTACAGATGAGGATCTGCTTGATTTTAACTAGAAATTTTCGACTTATTCGTGGAAGGCATTGTCCCACGAGGCAGACAACTAAGAACGCGCGTTGTCGTCATCAGAGCATGCGGAGCTCATTGCTTCGAATTGATGAAAACAAGCAGATAGTTGAACGAAAAATAATTGACCTGCACTTTAGTTTCTTTCTGCCAGATCGTGCAAACCTATTGCCTTCCATCAGTAGTTCACGGGAAGACTTCAGAAAGCTATGATCACCTGTATCACTCACCTGTATCACCTGTATCCCCGTTGATCATCGTGTTGCACGAGCGGGTACCAGTGACGCCTCCATTCGTCCCTGTCTCGGGCGATTGTTGACCAATGTTTACGTATCGCACCAGGAACACGTGGAACGCTCTGAAGGACTTCATTAGAGAACTTCGTTAACATATCTGACCATCGCGTCGGCGGTCTTCCTCGTTCGCGTTTGACGTCCAGTGGTATCCAATCTGTTACAGCTCTCGTCCACCGGTTGTCGTCGAAACGCATTACGTGCCCAGCCCATCTTATCTTGTTCTGCTTGGCATAAGCGGCAGCGTCCCTGATCTTCGATCGTTGACGTAGGGTAGAACTTCGTAATCCTTGCCTCACTTGCGTGAGTCGATTCACTCCTAGCATCACTCTCTCAACAGCTCGTTCGATGACGCTAACCGCGTGTTCATCTTGCTTTCTCATTGTCCATGTTTCTGAAGCGTACGTCAAAGCAGGAAGAACCGTCGAGTTGAAAAGGTGGGCGCGGAGCCGGATGTTCTTGGTCTTCTTCACTACGTCCTCAATTGTCTTATATGCTCCCCATGTTGCACGTTTCCTCCTGCTCAGTTCCGGAGCTAGATCGTTCATCATATTGAGTTCACGACCTAGGTAGGTGTAGCTTCAGCATTCGGTGATGTTCGTCCCGTTGAGCATGAAAGGAGCATCAGGCACTCTTCCGTTCCTCATGAACATCGTCTTCGTTAAATTCAGCCGTAGACCGATCTTTCCACACACTTTGTCAAACTGGGCCAGCATTTGTTCCGCTGCGTGATGCTTGGTGTTATCAATACGATGTCATCAGCAAAGCGAAGGTGGTGTAGCTGCCGGCCGTCGACTTTCACTCCCATGTTGTCCCATTCCAACTTACGCATGACGTTCTCCAGAGCGGCACTGAATAGTTTCGGCGATATAGTATCGCCTTGTCGCACACCTCTCTTCACGTCAATGATGATGTCCTTGTAGAATGGTGTTATGGTGGTTGTGAAGTCGTTATACAGCTCACGAATTATCTTGATGTATTGAGTCGGAATACCTCGATTGCTCAAGGCATCGATGACGGCTTCAGTCTCAACCGAGTCAAAGGCCTTCTTCAAGTCGATGAAGGTGAGACAGAGCGGCATCTTATACTCTCGTGACACTTCAATGAACCTTGACACCGTGTGTATGTGGTCGATCGTGCTGAATCCTCTTCGAAACCCAGCTTGCTCGCATGGTTGTCCTTCGTCCAACTCTCTTCCGATCCTGTTGAGAATGACTCGCGTAAAGAGTTTGTAGACTACAGACAACAAGCAGATAGGGCGATAATTGCCGATGTCGCAGGGATCTCCCTTCTTGTACAGCAACACGGTTTTGCTGGTCTTCCATTGCCTTGGAACCTTGCCTTTTGTCAGGTACCGCGTGAAGAGCCTTGCCAAGGTCTTGATGAGAACTGGCGAAAGATTCTTCAGATGTTCTGGCTTAATCCTGTCGGGACCGGGTGCTGTACGGTTTTTCATCGACATGATAGCATGACGAATCTCGGAAGGAAGAACAGACGGTGCGACATACTCGTCCTCCTTGAGATGGCATGGTGGAAGGTGGACGTGGCTCGCAAAAAGATCCGAGTAGAAGTCGTGGATGACCTTCTCCATTGATCTTCGGGAAGCAGTTATGGTTCCGTCAGGACGACGAAGTGCGGTCATCTTTGTCTTGAAGTTGACGAAGCTTCGGCGGGCGTTGCGTATACTTCTTCCAGCCTCCGCGGCGTCAACCATCACTGCTACTCTTCTCTCCTTAAGGTCTTCTTTTATCGCTTCTCTGCATCGCTTCGCAAGCTCGGACGTCAGTCGGTAGTTGCCTGTGGCTCGTGCGCGTCCACGTTGGCGTATCCGCTCCAAAGTCCCCGTGGTGAGACGCCTTCTCGTACTTCTTAGACTCTGAGCTTCCTTGGCACAACCGTGGAGATGTTGTACGAACCGCTCGTATTCTTCGTCGATGTTGTCCATCACGGTATCTCGCCATGAGCCGGATATCGAAGAAAACAGATCCCAGTTGGTGGTATCCATGGGACGATGTTTCCTGAACTTGACGGCTCTCTCTTCATTCCGCGGAAAGTAGAATTTGGCGCGCAGGAGACGATGGTCTGATCCCGTGTAGAACTTCGGAACAACAGCGACGTCCGTCAGGCAGTACCTTCTGTTGACGATGATGTGGTCAATCTCGTTATGGTACTCTCCACCGGGCGATTCCCAGGTCCAGCGTAGGGAAGAGGGCTTTTGGAACTGTGAGTTTCCATGGATGGTCCTCGTCGTCATGATAAACTCGGACAGTCTCTCCCCTTGTTCGTTCCACTGCAAACCATGGGTTCCGATATGAAGTTCCTCAGTCGACCTTCTAGTTCCGATCTTCGCGTTGAAATCACCGACCTTGATCTTGTAGAAGGTATGATCTTCTCTGTAGAACTTCTCCAAGTCCATATAAAATTCCTCGAGTTCGTCCTCGTCGTAGCTGGATGTTGGGGCGTACGCAATGAAGACGGTCAAGGCAGGGATTGATCCACATCTTGATATTCGCAAACGTCCGATTCGAGTTGTAAGTTGTTCGAACGAATCGATGTTCATGGCCAAACTCGTGTTGACAAGGACTCCCACTCCACCTACTCCTCGACTGTCGCATGTTCCTAGAAACAGTTCTTCTCCAGTCTCAAATGTGGCGTTCAGCGATGGTGCCTCCTTGTCTCGGTCAGTCCGATGACGTCGTACTTAATCTTCCTTGCTTGCATCATGAGATCTTCGATAGATGCGTCCGATGCCAGCGTCCTCGCGTTGTAAGTACAGATCGTCATCATAGTCCGTCTCGCCCCACTGGCGCTGCCTTACCAGTGGCTCTTCCAAGATTAAAGGAGCTCTCCATATTATCACTGTGTCGAACAAGAATTCACTCGCAGGGATAGCTTGTTGGGCTCAAAACCCCCGCGAGGGACGATCGGAGCTTGTTTGTTGGAGGCGACTCCGAACTCGCCTCCCCACACACCTACCCGGGAAATTAGGGCGCAAGCTTTTAATGGAGGCAGGGAGTCCGTCCCCCGGCTCCGCTTGCTTATCAGAGCAGGCGCGGGGTCGCTTTTGGTCGGCGATTATCCCCCTATCCGCCACCTGGGGACGCCCCACGTGGCCTCGCGACTAACCGACTGTGATCCCTCTATGAGGGAGATCCGTGGAGAAAGCTATGATATAAACAAAAATGAGGAATCCAATGAAGCGTAGTGAATGAATAGCTGTAAGGAGGAAAGGATTTGTGTAAAGTAATAAGGATAAATTCAAGTGTCAACACGCTTATCTCTCGATAGTTCCTACATGTGCAAGGCTGTCGTTTGCGATACATTCTACTTTATGCTACGGAGTGAAGAGATGCGTGGTCACCATTGAAACGGCAGCTGGGCGAATTTCGCCATTTTGGGACCGCTTCCGCAAACAGCCGATCCTTGCAATTTTCATGTGCTCGTAGGCCTTAAATCTCTATTCATATAAGCAAGTTTGGAGTGTATATTAGAGGCATGATCTGAACCCTATACGTAGGGTGTTTCCAAAAACGTGCACACTGTTTGATAGTTAACAGTTATCTATAATTTATAGTCTCAAGTCGCAGACTACCTTTGAAGATGCTGGCTTTAAATTAGGCTCCACAAAAGAAACTACTGATAGCACTTCATCGCTGCTCATTAGTGTTTAACATAAAGACTTCCACGCACTGGCTAGTGGTTTGGCTGAAATTCAAAGTTTCAAGGGCCAGGCATCCTGCAGCGAATGCATGGTTGCGAAGCAAAAAAGCAACTTTCACACGTCGAACGCATGATCGTTTATTCATGCACACGTCAGGCTAGTCCTTTGCACAAAGCGCGAAGAAAAGTTCATAGGATGAGATTAATTATAATTCGTAGAGTGTGCGCTTGATCGTGAGAATGCACAATATGCTGCATTGGTATAACTATGTCCGAGCGATTAGCGATTATCCATTTTTTTCGCGCGTCTTCTTCGCTAGTTCCCAGTAGAACGCGACAATTATACTTGCGACGGCTTTATTGCTCGAGGTATGCCCGACCCTTTACGTGAACGTGCGAGAGGGGCACATGTCATACTATTTTTTGTGGTCGACGTGAAGGGGATTGCTGGAACGATTTGACAAGTTTCCTTTCGCATGAACTGCTCAGTATCGGCAAGCAGATTGAATGGCGTAGTTGTATTAATCTTATCAATCAAGATATAAGTCTCTTGAGCCTTAAGCACTTTCCTAATGGAAGTGTTGTTGAAGAAATCGACTACGTTCTGACGCGCCAACCACGAATCATAACTGATGTTGGTGTTCTCAACAGGTTCAACGCCGGGAGCGACCACCGCCTGATTCGAGCCGATGTGAATCTTCGCTCGACACAGATCAAATTCCGTACTCGTCAACTGCCTCAAGACTATAGCGAGATAAAAGTGAAAACAGCCTTGCTGAATGATACGAATTGCCAAGATTTCATCCTCGACATCTATGACGGCTGACCCGGTGGACTCTTGGCAACAATTGTGTAAATCTATTCAAGATGCTGCTACTTTCGCCGAAGTCTCTTGGGAGCCGCTGGAACGAATCTCTAAGAAAACTCGTTCTCTTCTTCTTCGTAGGCGTGAATTGAAGTATGGGCTAAAACAGACGAAGACGTTGAACACTCATGTTGATTACGTAACCGTTTGCAAGATTGCGCGATGGTCAATGAAGGACGGTCTTTACCGGCATCACTGTTCCGTCCTAAAACGAGCCATTGAACGCAATCGTATAAAACGCGGGCGTTTCGAGCTTATCCGTCAACAAGAAGTCGTATGCCAATTGCGAAGGCCAGATGGGACAATGACCACTACTTCCACAGAGGCTCAATTACTCGCTAATACCTTTTTCGCTGAGCTTTACACGGCCCGCGAGATTACCGTTCCATTCCACAGTCACCGACCTATCACTCATCCTATCAGCGCCGATGAACTAAGAAAAGCGGCTTCAAAGATTAAAGGAAACACTGCTCCAGGAGTTGATGGTATTCGCTCTATTGCTGCAAAGTACGGTGTAGAAGTTGTTGCACCCCAACTTGCAAACATCATCAACCGAATGTTCGAAGACAACCACATCCCTGCCGACTTCGCCCATGCCACCCTGATTCTCCTCACAAAAGCGGTGACCGCTACGATATCAAGAACTACCGACCGATCTCCCTTTTACCCACAATCTACAAAGTTCTGACGAGAGCACTGGCATGTCGAGTCGAAGAAAAAGTGTGCAAGTGCCTATCTGTTGAGCAAGCTGGGTTTCGTCAACGTTTCTCAACTGCTGACCATTTACAAGCTATCAATCAACTTATTGAAAAAAACGCATGAATGTCACCTACCCATCGCATTCCTTTTTCTTGACTTTCAGAAGGCATTTGATACCATTGAGTTCAACTCAATTTGGAGAGCTCTTGCTCACTACGGAGTTGATACCGATACAATAACGATGATACAACTCCTGTATCAAGCAGCTACGGCCTCGCTTCAATCTGATAAAGCCAATGCTCCGTTCAAAGTACAGAGGGGAGTTCGCCAAGGGGATGCTTTATCGCCAGTTATCTTCATTACGTGTCTTCAGTTCGCAATAGATTCTGTCCACTGGGAAGATGGAGACGGCTATGATATCTTTGGAAAGCAACTGCGCTATCTTGCATTTGCGGATGACGTTGTGCTTATAGCTCGCTGCCCGAGTCGATTACAGTCAATGGCCGTGAAAATTCTCAAAGCTTGTCAGCAAGTTGGACTTCAAATGAATGAAAAGAAAACCAAATGGATGGGTGAGGACAGAGATCGCATTTGGAGGAGTTCAACAATCACACTGAACAGCAACACCATCGAACGCGTAGACTCCTTTATCTATCTCGGTCAGCTACTGCAGTGCCCACGTGATCACGATAAAGAAATATCCAGACGCATTGGGATGGCATGGAACGCTTTTGGCAAGATGCGGAGATTTCTTACCAGCAGAAGCGTAGCTGTTCATCTAAAACGACACTACTTCAACAAAATCATCCTTCCTACACTTCTATATGGCTGTGAGACGTGGTCAACCACTAGAAAGTCGATGCTAAAACTACTGCGATGCCAGAGAGCAATGGAAAGGCTGATGCTAGGATTTCGACTGAAAGATCACAAATCTTCAACATGGATTCGTTCTATAACAAAGCTGAAGGATGTGGTAGCAGCGGCACGGCAAAGGAAGTGGCGATTTGCTGGGAAAATTTATAGAATGCAAGGCGAAGAAAGATGGACAAGGATTCTCACGCGCTGGATACCATCTGTTGGACGACGCTTTGGAGATGGCAGACCAAGAACTAGATGGAAAGACGACATACGAAAGCACTGTAATGTTTCCTCTGCTTGTAAATGGCAAGAAAAAGTCATGGATTCTAGCCAATGGAGGCGACTAGAACGCGCATATGTGACAACATACTGATTAACAGAAGCCTCAGACAAAATCATCACGGTTTTTATCACTAACATGTATAACCGTTGAGTATGATTAAAATAAAGATAAAGATAAAATTGTATGAAAAGCTTTTTCAGTTGACTCATCTCTTGGCGCTTTGGAAGAGCGAATTAAGAAGAAGACGGGAGTCACTGGTTTATCCCTCCGAAGATCTGCTAGTCACTATTATAAAAGTAGGTTGTATTGGTTTTGGAGTATTTGGATATTGTAACTATTTTTTCAGCTAGAGTAGCTGTCTGTGCTCGTGGAACAACCTACAGTTTACGCTTGCTCAGGAAGCTTCTTATTGTTACACCGCCGCAGGCTATACTTGATCATGCCTCGAAAATCTCGGAACTTCTGCCCACTTTACTCTACAAGAAAATTATGGATTGATGTACCCAACTTGCTTGTCTCCGGCATCGTTCATATTTTGAGCAATCCTGCCAAGTTGCGTGCCGCGCGATTTGGCAATTTGCCGGCGTGCCTACTAATCCATTTCGCGCAAATTTTCAGTACATAGATATCAGCTCAGGTTATGTTACAGCCTTTGTAAACTTATGCAAACAGGTCAAGTATTGCTTGTAAACATATGCATAAATTTGCGAGTGATGCTTCTAGGAGAGTGCAGCGTCGCCAAACAAGTTTTCAGTATCAATCCTCATTTGAGTATGTTTGCATTGTTGGTACTTGTTATCTACAATCCGTTCTGGCTCAAACTTCCCGGTTCGCTTAGTCTATAATTTGAGTAACACAAGTAGTAGCTTTTTTGCATAGTCAACTTGTACATATTGGATTCATGTGCAGGCAAAATACATATTGGTTTCATGTGCAGGCAAAATCAGGTGGAAACCTAGATTCCACTTGATAAAGCCCATTTTGCAAGCTGCGTTATTTACCATTTCATGAAATGCCTAATATTTCTTTTATCTTTCGCTACCTATGTCCCTCATTTGAATTCAATACAGGAGAAAGCCATAAATATAGAAAAACGCTACAGTGTTTTTTGCTGTTCCTTCATTCGATCTCCTCTAGTTCAACATGTTGTCAGATCGTATAGTTGTGTATTATTGTTGAACTGTTTGTGCTGTACCTGCAATAAATACTGTAGTGCGATACCGAGTGTTCAACTTCTGACAAAAACTGTGGATTTGTGGTGTGATATGCCGAGCAGTAACTACCAAAATTGTTCATTTTTTTCAGTTAAAGGCAGCGTCCCCTCAAAATGATGGGTATTGGGATTTTATAGTGTTGTGATGGTAGACCCTCCAGCTAATCTATTAGTGAAGTTTGAAGTGAAAAAGCGATTTTGGAAAGCCCAAAATCCGCTCTGGAAGTCTTAAGGACGCCGCCTATATCCAAACATCGCTCACTTCTTACATGTAATATGGAGCGAACACGGAGCTTTGGAAAAAGCTCACTTTTCGCCGTTTTCAAGCGCTGAAAAGCTCAGATATGGCTTCAGCATGGCGAGAAGGCTCCGGAGAGGTGAAAAACCGGAGAGAGAAATTTTGCCGGGACACTGCCTTTAAAGGCAGTGGCTCACCACACTTTGAGTCTCGGGATTTTTGCGAACCACATTTTCCCTGGTCACATAAACCTCCAAACGGGTTTAGATTTGCGTAAAAATTTCAGAAATTCCGTTGTTAGAGTCCATAAAAGCAAGGCGGAGGAGCTGCATCCCTTTACGTTACTTTGGCTGCAGGTTCAGCGGATGAGGGGGCTTGGTAGACGTGTTAAGGCGCGAAGGAACTTGAAAGTCATTCAGGCGCGTGTAGAATAGCCGCCGCACAACTTCGAGTGCAGTTTTTCCGATGTAAAATTGGTCTTATCGAGCGAGACTTGGGCAATGACCTAATAAACAAGCAGCCTCTATACAGGGTGTCCCAAAAGTAAGTACACACTTTTCAATCGTCAATATCTCTTTTCCCAATGGGTCTTTTTTGGCCGTTCAAGTACCATTCTGTAGGGGAGACTTCAACTTAGATTTACAGTGTTGATCGTTTCACCGATCGCTTTTCGTTACTGTAGGATTACGGTAAGAACTTTCAGCATATGGAACCATTGTGAAATATGCCAACTAACAAAACTTTTTTCTAAAAATCTGAAAATTTGTTTACTAAGGTTTTCGCGCACGCTAATTCCATTACACAACTTTTTACGAGTGTTTTCAGCTTTTTTGACGGTCTAATCACATTTTTGACAAATACTGGGAATTCGGCTATTACGGTTCACGTAGGATAACTTTGGAAAGAAGCATCACAGTTGAGTGTAAATTTCATATTTGAAGTCAGAGGCTTCCATTACCATAGCGTAAGAGTTTCTGGCTTGTTTGGTTTTGTTCCGAGGCAGATTATGGCTTCTATTGGCCTAAAATCCTTGTCGAAGTTCCTACAGTAATCCTACAGTAATGAAGAGCGATCGGTTATTCGCTCAACACTGTAAATCTAAGTTGAAGCTTCCTCTACAGAATGGTATTCGAATGGCAGAAGAAGACATAATTGGGAGAGAGATATTAACGATTGAAAAGTGTGTACTTACTTTTGGGACGCCCTGTATAATTCTCAATAAAGCAACATAATTGTTTGCCAATTTATTGCAAAAGACGTGAGTGATTGTTTTAACATTTTGATTGGTAGTCTCAGTACATCAAGCTCACAAGAGAAACCACATAATGGATGGCTTTATTAACTCAACGCTTAGATTGATTTGACGATAGTTTGCATTTGAGTGTATCACAAGGAAACTTTTGAGAACACTAATCCACTCCAGTTCAGCTCACCCCGCAACAAAAACAATAGTCATTTGTAACACGTCAAAACTGATACAGACGTGTGCACTGGCGACGAGGGAAGGTTTGAACTGCAGAAACTTGCGTCGAAGGTTGCACATAGTCAGGTATGTGCAACAAGAACACCATCGCGGAACTTCGCATCCTCAAATGCATATCGTGAGCGAAGCGAAATAAGAAACCCCTGTTCCCCGTTCATATCAGATGGAGTCAGCGCAGCGATAAGATAATGCGTACACCGAACTGAACCGCCGAATGATGTCTACCTGTTGATATCCTGAGAAACAGCATGAAAAGATACGTGTCCTGGAGCAGTGCATTTTCTGCCCTGGTGCGGAGGCAGGTGTAGTACTGAATTAGGAGTGTTTGAGATGTCAAGAATGCCATATGGGAGAGGCGTGGTAGAATCATGACTTATAATAAGCGGCTAAGGATGTTTACGTCTTTTTATGTGTGTATGTCCGTGTGTGTGTGTGTCTGTTCGTTACGAAATTCGTAGAACGTGTCCCAGCCAACGTCCTGAGCCCAACTTTTGCATAGCGCTCGCTACCAGCGTGAAAGCTCACTATACAAAAATATGAGCGGATCCGTTGAGTGGATCTGTTGAAAATTGCGCCTCAAACGGATCCACTTAGCTTCTGGCCAGCAAACTTGGGTCCGTAGTACTACTTTTTGCAGAGTTATGGATATATTTGACAAGTTAATGTGCAAGCCAGGGACGTTAGCTCAAAGAAGTGATGAAAAGTCTACTACTTTACGAAAACAGCGCCAAAAAGCATTGGCCGTTTAAACGGTCAGTTTCTTAAGATTTTACCTGATCATTTGAGAAAATTTCTGCACAAAGATGTAGCCCACGGTGTTTAGTGTCCTTATGGCGACTGCGAAGCCATAAAAATTCCAAAAACTTCAAATTTGCTCTGTTCTTTTGGGAAAGATTTCATCTACGCGAAAATACCGATCTCACACGAAAAACCTCTAGTTATTAGTTGTTTACGAATTATTCGTAATAGTTTACCAGCGCGGTGAGTTTCAATGCAATTATTATGCGGGAATGAATAAGGGGTAGATAAAGTAGGGCCAGTGCAAGCCTCTGCGAAGCAGAGGTGACGCACTGGTGCTAAGTACAAGGCTAAACGGAATGGCGGGAGAAAGAGTATAACAGCACTGTTGGGCGACATGCCACTGAGACGCAGGATGAAAACCTTCCTGACATTAAATGCACTATATTGTCGTATGAGTTGAGTTAAAAGCAAGGAAGTGTTTTGGAGCAGCGTGAATTTCTGCGAGCAGACCAAAATGAATTGCCAAATCAATCAGCACTGATCTTCAGTGGTATCTATCATCATGCAATGAATATGCTGCTTAGGGAGTGTAGTAGCCCGGAGTATCTTTACCATAGTTTGCAGGTGGACTAGGAGAATAGTAGTGGATTCTAACACGAAGAAGTTGCTGCGGCGCAACAGAATGCGATCAGAAAACGTGCATAGAACACGTAAAATCTTTGTTAAAACAAAGCCCGGTATTCTATTTATTTGTTTATTTATTTATTTATTTCATACGCTCTAGGCGATCCTCATAAAACAAAAATACACAGTTACTCATATAGTAAGTTTCAATCCGGTTTAGGCGGAAATTGGACGGCCGGGAGTCCGCTTCGCATCGATTCGCGCCGTTTTACAGTCTGCGTCTCTTCATTCTCATTTATCACACTGAGCCATTGGCGGTGCGGACGCGCTGCTCCACTTGGAATCTATCGCCTATTACTTGGGGTTTAGAAAGACTGTACTCTAACCACGATAGTTCATCATGTAGTTATCTAACCTTTCGGACTGGATTGTTGAAAGTGTGATGAAAGCCTGTATGTGACTGCTCTAAGGCTGTGGTCAACAGAATTGAATTAGTGTATTTCATGGAGATGGTACCCATGCCCCCTTTCTTGCCAGAAAAACAATTTTGATTCTAACAAGCAAACGACTTGATGGTTGATAAACTGTCTAATCTCACCAAACCAGTACGCCGAGGAGAGTGCAGTGACTTGAGTAGCAGTAAGGATTGTAATGAATGGATAACTATACATTGTTTGTGTTACTTTTCATAAACTCTGGGGGAAAAATGGGTGCTAGGCAATAAAGCGAGAAAAATCAAATTGAGGTAGTAATTGTTATATATTATGCCAGTGCCAGGTTTTCGCCTCTCCGCACTGCCGGGTCTAGACGTCGTCCCGCACTCAGCGTACTGAGACATGTTGATCAGAAAACGAACCTTTATCCACCGTAGTGTTAGTGAGAGTTCGGTGGAATTCTTTATTGGCCTTATCGACAATTTCGTCTTCGTCGGAGGCCTGAAAATAGATTGCAGCGTTATATCTGCGAAACCAGACCGTCAAACGCCTCTCCGCACTGCCGAGTCTAGACCTCGTCCCGCACTCAGCGTACTGAGACATGCTGATCAGAAAACGAACCTTTATCCACCTAGTGTTAGTGAGAGTCAGTAGAGTCAGTACTTAGCCGCACCGAAGAAACAGACTACACTGAGTCTTGCTCAGCGATCGACACTTATATAGGTGCAGGGCTATCGCTCACAGATCGTTAAGATAGGCAAGAGTTCGGTTGTTATCGACACGCATTCATTTCTGTTATTCATGCTAGGATTTCTGAAAGGAATCCACGCTGCCTCGACGGTCTTTCTTACTGTAATCTCTGCCTCGTATGACAAGATAGTGCACTCAACGTCAAATTTGCCATTGTGCGTCTCAATCCTATGTCTTCCTAACGGTGATAACGCATTTGCTCGTCTTTTAGCCGCCAGATGTTCCTCAAGTCTAACGTTCAGCAATCTACCCGTTTCTCCTATATATGTCGCCTTACACTTCAAGCATTCTAATTCATATACTACTCCTGCCTTTGCGCAATCGCAGATTAGAGGATTAGCGATGGGACAACGTCTAGCTCCAGTCCCTGCAATTTGTTTTATGAGTAAGATCGAGGAACCAGTACTTGCACGCTTGCCATTGATTATTGCAGTTACATTGATGACTGCTGCGTTATAACCAGGGTTGAGCAAGAGGTCAGGCACAAGTCTTTCCAAAACGACCCCCCTCCAGTGAAAGCCCCTAAACGACCCCTCTGCTTCATCTCCAGGACCTCAGGCTGTGACAATTCGAAGAGATCAGCCGTTTTTGGGAGGTTCTTGTTTTTTGGAGGTATGTAGGTCGACTTTCTGCGATTGCACAGCACACACAACTTGACGGCAAGTTTTGGATTTTGGATAGCCCTACTTTTAGAGATATAATTCCCACAGGGGTGTATTGTTTGGCTCCAAATT